GGCATTTTTTAACCCCTGGGGGCCTAGAAAAGGCAATTTGGGGGGCCCTTTTGTAAAACAAAAAGGAAATCCAGGCCATTTTTTAATGAGATTTGTTTTTTACTCATATTTGAAACCACCTAAAAAAAGTTTATTGGGCAGGTTCAAACCCTACCGGGAAAGTGAGTTGATAAAAATTATCATTAGTTTTTCAAATAATGTGGGTCCCTCCTTAAGGGCCCTTTTGGGCTAAACCAATGCAAGCCAGCCTTTTTTAAGGGATATTAATTTAAAAAAAAATTGCTGAAAAAATGTTGGCATGGCCAAACCAAAATTTTTAAATTTAGCCCAATTGGGTTTTCTCTTTTAGTTTAGACTCCCCTGAGCGATTAGGAATTAACTTTAAGCAACAGGACTTAAGAAATTGGGAAAAAAAACCAGGCCACAAACAAGGAAGCCGGGTCCAAAAAAAATTCCATTTTCTTTTTTTAAGTCATGACATATCTGAGTGAAGGGCTCTTGGTTTTTTTTTTGAGTTAGAGACTTCAAATTAACTTTTCATGGACTATAGTCATAGCCGATTAAAAGTTATCAAAGGAATTTTTCTACATCAAAGCATGTGGGCGTGGCTAAGCATCAAACTGTTAACTCCAGTCATACAAAGCCATGCTTTTAGGAGGAGGAGAAGGATGATGAGGATGAGAAACAAACAGCAGTAGGAGACGCAGTGAGAGCAGCAGCAGGAAGAGGAATATGAAGAGAAGGAGCACAGGGGGAGGAGGATGATTAGGATGATAATAAGAAGAAGTAGAAGGAAGGGGAGGATTTAGAAAAGCAGCAGAAGGAGGGGAAGGATGAAGATAGGCAGGAGCAACAGGAGGATGAGGAGAATGAGCAACACAAGGAGGAGGAGGGTGGTAAGGAAGAGAAACAGCAGAAGGAGAATGGGGGAGGATGAAAAGAAGCAGGATAAGGAGGATGAAGAGGATCAGGAGAAGCAGCAGCAGGCAGGGGATGAAGAGAAACAGCAGCAGCAGGATGAGGAGAAGGAGATGCAGCAAGAGCAGCAGCAGGATGAGGAGAAGGAGATGCAGCAAGAGCAACAGCAGGAGGAGGAGAAGGAGACGCAGCAAGATAAGCAGCGGCAGGAGGATGATGAGGAGAAGCTGCATTAGCAGGAGGATGAGTAAGAGGAGGAGAGGCTGCAGGTGGAGGAGAAACAGTGGCAGCAGCAGAATAAGAAGGAGGGGGAGGATAAAGAGAAGCAGCAGCAGGTATAGGCTGAAGAGCAGGAGCACAGGCTGGGAAGGAGCATGGAGGTGGAGGTCGCTTGGTTCCAGCGATCGCAACATACCAGGCGGTGCGAGCTGCGAGGGCCGCACAATGCCACTTGTGGCTTTAATTATTATTATTATTTTATTCAATTTTTTTTTTTTTTTTTTTTTTTTTTTTTCCTGTGGTACGAGTGGGGGCACTAGGGAGGGAAGGCATGATTGAGATGGTGTGTTTTTTTTTTTTTTTTTTTTTTTTTTTTTTTTTTTTTTTCTTTCCCAGGTTGGGGTCTCAACCGCACCCTCTCCCAAATACATCTCAAGTCTCCGCTAAGTGCGGAGCCCTTTCCCCCCGTCCTGCTCTCCCTCCGCTGGCTGGCGTCGGGGCTCACCGGTGCACTGGTGGAGCTGGGGGTGGATGCCCGGGGGACTGCTGGCTCATTCCTGGCGGCCTCTCCACTGGCCCCGGCCGGCCGGGGCTTTGCTGGGGCTCCTGTCTGGGGGTGGGGTGCCCTTGGGGCCTCGGATCCCTGGGGCCTGGGACTGGATCCGCTTCGGGGTGGGGCTGGGTGTTGTTCGGGGATTTTCGGGGTCGGTGCCGGTGCCTTCGCTACGATGCCGGTTCCTTCGCTACGATGCCGGTTCCTGGGCGGTGTTTCTTTCCTATGCCGGTTCTGTGGTATCGGTTCGGGGGGGGGGGGGGGGGAGCTGCGCGGCATGGTGGGGTGCGGGTCTTGGGTCCTGTTTTGGGCTCCGGTTTTTCCGCTCGCACTTCTCCTCTTGCCTATTTATTTTAATTGTAATTATTAATTAATTTATTTATTTACCTATTTATTTATTTATTTTTATTTATTTTTTTTTTTTCTCTTCCTCGGTGGGGGGGAGCGGTTGCGGGCGGGTCGGTGTCTGGTGTCCGCTGTCGCATTGTGGGGGCCCCTTTTTTTTTTTTTTTTTTTTTTTTTTTCTCTTTTTTTCTTTGGGGGGTTTGGCATGTCTGTTTTCTCGGGGGGCAGGCGGGCCTGCTGGGTGGGGGTCCTGCTGGCGGCGCGCCGCTGGTGTGTGGGGGTCCGGGCGGCTCCGGCGGGGGGTAGTGTTGGGGGGCCGGTCTGGGCGGGCTGGCTGCGCTGGCTGGGTATTCGGGTGGGTTTTCCCTCCTGGAGGCATGGCGGGGCTGCTCTGTTCCCGCTGATCGCGGCGGGTGGGGCTGCGGGGCGGGTGGGGGCCTGGGGTGGCTATGACCGGCGCGTGGTGGGGGGCCGGGGCGGCGGAGCTGCTCTGGCCGCGTGTCGGGGCCTGGTGCGGGCTGCGGGGGGGGGTGGCGGACGTGGCTGGTCTGCTTTGGCATCGTCCGGTGGGGGGGGCGGCGCGGTTCGCTCCGCTCTGGCTTTGTGCTGCCCCTCGGGCTGCTGGGGGGGGGGTGGTTGCGCCGGCTGCGGTCTGCTCCTCTTGCGGTTTTGCGCCGGGCGGCTTTTCTGCTCTCGGGCTGATTCTGTGCGCGGTGTGTTTCGTTGCGCGCTGTTGGCATCGGTCTTGGTGGGGTGGGGCTGCGCTTTTGGCCGGGGGGGCGTTTTGGGGGGGGTCCCGCGGCGCTCGTGGCCGGTTCGCGGCGGATGCGCATGGGCCCCGGCCGGGGGCGGGGCCGTCTTAGTGTTTTCCTGGGTGGTGCGGTCGCGGTGGGTGTTGCGGCCGGTCGCCGGGGCTTGGTGCGGGGGGGCGGGGCGTGTTTCGGTGCTCTGTGGGGCTGGGGCGTTTCGGTCGGCGCCGTGGGGGGGCTGGTGTTCGGCGCCCGGCCCTACTTCGGGGTGGCCGGCTGCCGGCGGGGCCCGCAGACTCGTCCCCGCGGCTCCGGCATGGCGGTGGCTGGGGGGCTTCCTCGTGGCTGTCTCTCCTCCTGCCTTGGTGGGGTCTGATTTCCGGGGCTGGCCCCGCCTTGGTGCCTTCGCTTCTGGGGTCCCCTTGGGCGCCTGGGGCTTTGGGTCTCCCGGCGCTGGACTCAGTGCTCTGGGGGGTGTGCCTCTCCGGCTCTCCACAACCACTATTGAGCATTTTTTTCTATGGTTAAAACTTTACATGCACAAGTTCACCCTCACAAACAAATACAGGTGCTAGGCTTCAGGTACTTAGAGATTCACTTCCAAACAGAAACCCCACATTCATATCTTCAGGTAACACAGAGTACATGTCAGACTTAATAATATTACTTTAGTGATAGTTTCAAGGTGTTTGCTTTATTGTATATCTCGTACCATGTTTTTTGGTTGTGCTGTTCTTTTTTCTTTTTTTTTTTTTTTTTTTTTTTTTTTTTTTTCTCCATCTCATTACAGGTGTTGAAGCAGACTGAAAATGTTTTGTCATTGTCTCCTTCCTATCTCCTCTTTCTTTCATCTTTTGTCCTGTTTTTTTCTTTTTCCTTCTTCTTCTTCTGTTTTTCTGCTCTACTTACATTGCAGTGTCCATATGAACTGTAAAACTCCCTGCATAATTATAATAAAGCAATTTATATACATGAAACAAGTGGAGCGGTATGGCAATTGCGATACCGCTACACTTGTGAAAGTAAAATCTGTTGGGCTCCTTTTGGCATCAAGACAATTATTCTTATTGCCACCTTGCCAGACAGGACACTGTAAAAAAAAAAAAAAAATAAAAAATAAAAAAAAATAAATATTGTAGGGCCTGGTGTTCAATGCAAGGTAATGCCTTTTTTCCCAATCTTTTATTTTGAAAGATAAATAGATCATTATCATTTAGGATGTTTCTTCTGCATGTTTTCTAAATGTGTGTAATTACTTCATTTTTAAAGGTGATATTAACAAGTTAATTAGTGGTTTTAGTGTTACTTATATCTTCTTTTATTTATATACTGTAAAAGCTACATATTCTTTAGCCAGAATAAAACAAAAACAGAATCTTTGAATTTATGAGACACAAGCAAACTATCAATAGCTTGTACATTCTGTTTGAAATCTTTTATTAATTGTAAAGATAAAAAAAATGGCTTTTTAGGGCCAAGCAAAGACAGACAGGCACCAAAATATATGGACAATGAAATCCATGAAACCACAGAGCTTAGTCTCATGTTTATTCCTAGACAAAAATATTTAACTTGTATCTGTGAAATTAATTTAGCGCTTTTTTGCCAGCAGAGAAATAGACAGTTAGAGATGTCATTTTCCCTAGGGTGAGAAGAGAAAGCAGGACAAATTTACACCAGAGTAAATGTTGGAAAACTACCCTGAAAACAATTTGTAATGATTCACTTATGGGAACAAACAGTAATTTACAAATGTGGTTAATTACAGATAAAAAATGTTTCCCAAGAGACAATGACATTTCTTTATTTAGTTTCCAAGATAGCACTCTTAGCCAAGATTTTTGCCAGACTTACTTCCCATCACTGCATCAATCTTCATCCAAATTTCAATGGTATAAATAAACCTTTAAATAGTAGAGTCTCCTACTTATAAATGTCCTGAGGTATTAATTTTGTGTCACATACTGATACCCACGTGTGGTTTCTGTAATCAAAGCCATACATAATTCTCACCTGTTTTCCTGGAATTATTACATTCACTTTCTCTTTTATTGTTTCATTTCATGAAACATGAAAACAAATAAACCTAAAAGCTCCAAATCACTTCAGTCAATGGGAGGATGCTAAACCACTTTCTTAAAAAGCATGTGTGAAGGCAATATGAGCTTTTCTTGCAAAATTCTAACTGGCTCAGCATGCATCATTTTGTGCTGGTGAAACTTTTTTTATATAGAAACGAGAAACAAATTTAAAAGCAAATGAGATTTGAGCATCAAGGTCAGAGCTATATGTGGGGTTATGGGTGGCCATGGCCCACCCTTAGCCACCCCTGTGACCCCTCTAACCAGGTGACTTATTGCCCCTATGTGGATGTTGTCCTCGTGTGGATGTAATTTACCATCCCAGAACATGCTTTTCCCTCTAAAAATAGGGTTATTAAAGGTACAGTGGATAATTTCTTTACAAAATTATCCACTGTACCTTTAATTGGGTAAGCAATGTTGAAGTTACTTTTACCATGAGTATTTGAGGCCATCCTTTCTCTACCTGCTCTACTGCATCGTATGAAAGAATCTCCCAAATACCACCTGGTTTTATTTTCTTCTTCTAAATGCTTTCATATTCCTCTTATAAACTTTAGGACAATTGGATCTCTGTGACAATCAGACATTTTTTAAAGAATACAGGGCTACAATGAATGGCTAAAACTGAAGCTAACTGGATACATAAACACTAGAGGTGTGCACCAGGATGAAATGAGCATGTCGAAAAGACTTACATTTAAGACAACCAGAAGATAAGATGATCCAGCATCAGAAAATATGTATGCATGAACATGAATGAGAAAGTAATTCAGGAAAATCTAGTCTATTTTCTCATCATTCCTTTTCCTGTTGATTCAGTGTGGTTAGTGTAGATTAACCATGAACTGGTTCTGGTGCCTGTCTGTCTTCAGCCACCCCTCAGTAGACATTGGTCGTCGCCCCTATTAAAGATGTCTGGCTCTGTAACTGTTTAAAATAACACTTTTTGCCTTTAAAACGGAGAAAGAAAAAAGTTTTTCTTGGACAATCTTTGAAACTTTATTGAGTAAAATATTTAAGTTTTGTTCTTTTGATTAACATTTTAACTGTGGTCACAGTAGAACTGCAGTGTCATCTGTTATGCTGTTTTATAATTTTGTTGTCTCTCTCAGATATCTGCAGTGAAAGTGAGTTCCAGCGAAATCTCTGTGTGTAACAGGCAGAGCAGCAGGACCTTGTAACATCTGTTTTTCTGCTGTATAACTCAACCCCCATGCCAGCAGAGATACTAAAAATACTTACTGAAGATCACTAACAGTCATTAAGAGCTTTATGCTCCCTCCCAACATCCAGCAGTGGTGTTTTCCACAGTTCCACTTAAATCCATCCCAGCGTTCCTAACGTAAAGGTGTCCCCTTTATGAGGTCGGCTAACCATGCAGATCTTCATCCAAGTTAGACCTCTCTTACTGAATTTGAGTGTAAGTTCCTTTTGTTTGTGTTTAGGACCACTGGCAGGAACAATCAGTTGGCTCCTGGATGGTGTAGCTGACCCAGGTGGCATTGCTGCTGCAGTAAAGCTGCACAGAGCGCCGCTGCAACCCTGTCTCCCTGCAGCACTTGCAGAAGCGAGCGTACGTGTTGATGTTGTAGTTGTAGATGCTGGCAGAGGGACACTTCCCATCACAGGATACAATATTTACCTGAAGGACATCATCAGTAAGGGCAATGGCATGAATGCAAAAACTACCATGTTTGTTTTGACTTCTAAAACACAGGTAGCAAGTTATAAACTAACAGCAGCAACCTCTTTTTCTGGAAAAAAACAGAAAATAACTCCCTGTAGAGGTTATTATGTGATTAAATATTGTCATGTCTATTGATAGCTGATGTTGAGCAATTAGACCAGACAAGCGAGCAGCTGAGTAACTCCAATTAGATACCCACCGGCCGGTTGCTGCGGCAGTCATTCTTCCTGATTGTCATCCTAACTGTAACCTTTTGACATGACTTCCCATCTTCTTTGCCTATATAAAGAAAAACCAAAGGGAAATCTGCTGGATTGAGGAAACAAACGTTGAGCACAGGAGGCGGGATGACAGGCAAGTAAATAGGAAATGGGAAAAGCTGATCATGCAACGTCAGTTTAATAAAAGAAAACTGAACAAGGGAGGAAACTACACAAGTGGATCTCTCGAACCACCCTCCACCCCCACCCCACACACACACACACTTTGCAATGAATAAAACTGACTTCGCCCTTTTAGACTAATTTTATTTTATTTGTGAGTGAAGGTTTCCTGTTTCCTAAAAGCGTTTAAGATTCCACACAATGTAAAGACACACATTGAACACTTATGTGCAACTAAGTTTGCATACAGTTGAAGTCAACATCGTTTAGGTCCCTGCAGAGTGTAGGTTTACACATATATGTAGAAATATATTTATTTAAGAAACAAAAAAGATATTAACATTTTAGAGTAACCCAGCCAGTGCGTTGACTGAAATCAGATACGAAAGTAAGAAGCTGCAGATTAGTGTGATGAAAAAAAAGCCTTTAAACCTGAAAGACAACAAACCTGAAAATAAAAACCTGAAAGATGAAGCAACAGAGAAGGATCCCCTGCGGTGAAAAACTGGTCGTGCATAAGCCTAAATCTGAATTTTTTTTGTTGTTTTGCAGATAAAGACCCAAACACCAACACTCAATCTACTGAAACATGCAGATGTCTACGGCCGACTACAGGGCCACTACCAACAGTACATTGTTGGCAATCAACAATGCACTGCCCAGACAGTGCTAATGGGGAGGGAGCTGACTGATGAACGTGCATGATGCACTTGGAGGAGAAAGAGCTACACATACGTTTCTGTCCTCTCAAGTGTGATTTCATTTTAGGCTGCCTACATCTTTAGATTCTATTAAACTATAATTCTACAAAAGGACATTCACAATTGATTGGTTTTATATAGATTCAATTCTGGTATATATTAGGTTATTTCTCAATACAGACATTTCATGAAATGAAGTGACAGATGAGAGGACATTTCTGAAGAGAAATGTAGGTTGCAGTTGCACTTTTTGGTCTCTCCTGTATCTTTTCAAACATTTTTGGAGGGAGTACATTGTTGAATATCAACAATGGCACTAAGAAGCCTTGTTGTTCTGGTACCTTGTTCACAGTTTGTGTTAACTGTGGGAGTCATTTGGCTAACTGGAAAGGGAAACAGATGAAATCCAGTACCTGGTGGGATTGGTACATAATGGTAAGGTGAAGCACACAAACCACAAACCGTTTGCATGTCATCAAATGCTTCTCAGTGAGAGATATCTTATAAATTCAGTGAGAAGTGTAGAAATCTGAACAAGCAGCAGACAAACATATCTGAAAAGAGCAGCTGGGTTCCAGACGGGAGCCAATTCAGTTGCTGTAAGGCAGGATTTGGGGGTTTCAAGTGGACAAACTGAAGTGCATGTTAGACATAATTTAACGGCAGTTGATGAAGGCGCTCTTCAGTGTCAGCTGCAGCCTACAGCTCTACGCTAACTACAGAACTGCTGCTACGCTCAGATTAGGTACTCACATGTCTTGCAGCATCCATCCATGTAACTTACGACGGTTCCTCCAATCTGAGTGGATAAAGATGTTAGGATGCTCAAACAGAAAAACAATGTTTTCAGTAATGAAAACTTAATAAAATTCTTCTAAAGCTGTCTTCTATCCTATTCTTCTATTTATTATTATTACAGAGTACACTAAATGCAAATGTTGATGATCAGTTAATTTTGCATCATGCTCAGCAGATCTAGAGTCTTAGAGTTTCAGTGTATAGAATAAAATATACCTTGACGTTACGAGCTTCCCTTTTTGTACTTACAAAAAACGTGAAAACTTTTAACCTCTCAAAACCCACCGGGTTGCAAGCGACCCGTTTTAAAGCATTTACAAATAATAACTTAGAATGCATGAAAATTACACTGGTAAAATGTTTACCAATATAGGCATGTTAGACATCGTTGAAAAGTTTAGATTCTTCTCAATTCAACCACCTAGTTCATTTTATGGAAACAGCAAGCCACAACAAGCAAGCATGTCTTTATAACTGCTGTTCAAAAAAGACCTATTATATTGGAGAATAAAAAAACAACAACTTTGAGTCTTTTTTAAACTGATGCAGCTTTGGTGTTTTACTCACTCAATTTTCATGTATATATTCAGAAACTAGAAGGTGTTAGCTTTCAAATAATGTATCACAGATGTAATTTGGGCTTACAGTTCCTAAGTTATTTGCTTTTCCATTTCGGTTTGCGAAATAGGTGAGAATTTTCCAAAATGAGGTGGATATTAAGAGGTTCAGAGACACTTCAAACCCATTAATGCAACACAGATGGAGTTATCACACACCTAATCCAATTAAAAGCAATGTTCATCACAGCACAAGTATTGAATGTTTGACTGCAGAGTAATACCTACTGTAATATCTTCCTGAGGCACGTTCTAAACTGATATACTGTAAAAGCCTTTAAATAGGCAAATTACTTTTCATGCTGACATATTCTGCTGCAAAATTGCTTAATTACAAACTTAGGTAGATAGGTATTTAGTTACTTGCTTACTTTGTCACAATGTGACTCAGTTACTCCCTATGTAGCATATGATCAACTTACTCCTTAGTTCTCGTTTAAATGATTTGTTTGGGTTTTTTTTTTATTGTTTACATATTTTAATGATGAGATACTTATTATTTAATCACAGAGTTACTTACCCAATGGTTGAATTGCTCTTACTTCATATGTAGCTTTATGTTTCCAAAGTTATTATTAACTTCTTTACTCAAATTCTGGTTTAATTGTTCTTATAAATGCTTTGTTACTTTGTATATAATTATTAACATATATATTTACTTACCGTAGTTTCTTAGTAGTTTGTTACTTACTTTTTCACTTTATCTATTTACTTATTGGTTTAGTAGCTTGTTAAGTATCATTTAGTCATTTATGTATTTATCTACTAAACTTGCTATGATACTTTTTTTCTTCCATAGTTATCGTTTTTGTTTTTCTCTATTACTTACTAACAACTTCCCTAATTACTTTCTAACTAATTTACTTTGATATTAACTTAGTTTATTGGATTTTTTACTTATTCTTAGTCATTTACTCACTGTACCAGTTTATACTTAGTTACCCACTGATCTTTGTTCCTAGCTGCTTTAGTCAATTTCTCAGTTACTCTATGTTTTTATTTATTTAGAGATCATGTTCCTATTTATTTATGCACAACTCTACTTTCTAACTGAGACTATTAGATAGCTACTTATGAATTTAGCTACTTAGCAATTTACATAGTTGTTAACTTATTTTCTTAGTTGTTATTTTGCATGTTTAGTATAACTAGCAGCTAAAAATGAGAATTCTTAAACGTAAGTAAAAGTTAATTATATTTTAAAATCATCATCGCCTGCTGTAAACTTCTACAGATTAGTCAAGAGTTTTTCTCAAGATGCACGACATATTTGTGCCTCGGTTTCTGTGTAATGCTGACCTTCATACACTCTGTTTCATTGAAGGGGGGGCAGCTGTAGGAGTAGGAGATGAGGGTTGGCCCGAATGAAGTGTCGGAGCAGTCGAACTTCTTACAGTTTGAAACCCAGGACCGTCCAGGCTGAAAACATCAACATTATACTAAGGTTACCCCTTAAAAATGTAACATCTATACGAAACTTGTTTTTTCAACCACAGAAAAACTTTGCAAATGCTGGAATAACAGTAAACTGCTGCCAACAGTTTTAGAAGACAGGAGTCAAATAATGTTTTTAAATGCTAAATTGAGCTTTTCTTTTACTAAATTGGTAAGTAGTGAAATGTGAAATATGTAGAATATTTTTTTAAATAGTGTATTGGACAAATGACTTTGCATCACATTGGGGAAACTATTACATCAAAAAAAATAAATCATTAAAGTTAAATGTTTTTGTCACTCATTTCATAAAGTAAAATTATATCGTAGCAAAGTAAAATACATTTCAAGGCTTTGTTTCTTGTAACGCTGATAATAAATGCATGCAGATAATGAAAACACAAAATATAGTGTGAAGATATTCACATCTGAATATCTTGATATCTTTCAATTACAAAAAATTATAGCAAATGTTGATGAGTGCTTTGCAGTTTAATCCAGAAAACTAACAAACAATACAAGCAGGGAAACAATAATAAATGTTACAATTTCAACAGAAGGTGTGACTTTAATCCATTTGTGTGCAAAGTTTGTTGTTTGATAATGAACATGCTCAAATTAACTCTTCAATCTGTCATCCTAACACCACAAGCCATTAGATTTTGTGTTAACACGACAAAGTACGATAACCCAAAATTGTTTTCGTCAAATATTAATTAACATGAATTCATACAAGTATCGAACACTAGAGCAAACAATTCAAATAGTCCAAAGCAGCTATAAAAGCAAATTCCATACATCTCAGCAGAACCACAGGCGACTCATTTCTATGACTGATAGTAGTTCATCCTGCAGGAGGTCCAACCAAAGACTTCTCCAAAGCACTACTGTTTAAAATATCCGTTTTTATTTATACTGTAGTAATATTCTAAATATCTAAATCAACAAATTTAGGTTGTAATTATCTATAAACCAAAATTCCCATTCGTAAAAAACAAAATACTTGTAATATTTGATATTGTATGAGTTTCTCTTTTTGAGATCAGTTGTAATGAAATAGAACTTGTTTGAGGTGTTCTACTTTTTTAGATCTATCTTTATATATGCAAAAAAAAAAAAACTGCTCAGAAATTTTAAAGTTAATTTGATACCAAAGCAACAACCAATGGAAAAAAGGGAAGCTTGTCCTCCTACCTTATAGAGGCTCATTGTCCCATTCTCATGTTGATAGAGGCAGGAAATGTTTTTACAGACGCCGCAGCAGGTTGACTGGTCTTTAGGAGGAACATAGATCTGATTCTAAAACACAAACATTCAGTCTTACTCAAACAAAAGAAAATAACTTCTGTAAAGCCACTTTCGCATTTCTTAGATCTGGATGCACACTGGGGATGAGTAACTGGTCTTTCTGTTTTTCAGTAAGTGTTGATCAGCTTTACTAGACAGCAAATAAAAAAAAACATTTCATCATCAATAGTTCCAACAGGTAGATACAGAGGATCCAAACCCATGCTAATCAAACAGCTCCTATTTCTGAATACCTAATCTGAATGGCCCAGAAAGTCTTTACATCCAGAAGTAAAAAAAGAAATAGTTTCCTATGATAGATTTAGCCACATGATAAAGAAAATAAACCAAAAGTTAAAACTAATGATAACAGTTAACATTTTAATTTGAAAAGTCAAATGTAACTCTAATGGAAATGGGAAATGGGTTTCTAATCCCAATTACTAGAACGTACGGGTATAGGACTTTTAGTAAGTACATTTTTTATTTGCTTTACAGACAATTGTGTTATAATATTACAGCAAACATATCAGTTAAATGACTTTTTACAAACTGAAAAACTGAAGTAGAATTCTGATTATCATAAAGAGCAAAGCAGAAATATTAATCTATTGGACTCACACAGCAAATCTGTTTCCATCATCAAATTCCCTGTATTTTATTCAATTGTAATGCAAACATTAATGTTTTAAACCCTAAACAATTATATAATTCTCTGAAATTTCATATTTTTTGAAACAAAAAAAATAGATCCAAATAAGTTAACTGATATCTTATTTGCATGATTTGTACATTAGGCATTTCCCAGCAATTTATTATAGATTTCCTGTTCATTACATGTGTATGATTTTATAAAACTCACATATCACAACTGAAGTGTTAAAATACTTTGAGCATTATTTGTTAAATCATTTATGTTACTTTTGTAAACAATATACAATCATTTAAATTTTTCTGAATTTGATACTTCTTAGGTTCTTATATCATTATCTCTATTATTATTATTATTATTGCAGATCTAATGCTTAACTTCTGTTGTTAAAATAATTTTAAATCATTTCAGGGTGTTGATTTTTTTTTTTTTTTTTTTAAGTTGGCATTATCTTGGAAACTACAATCAGGGTTTCAATATTATAAGTTAAGATACCTAGGTGCATCCAGACTAAATTTTTTCAAGACAAAAAAAAAATCACCCTACAAGATTTTTTGAAAAAAGATGCAAAAGAAGTTTTCAAATAACATGTATAGCTGTCTTACCGGCTGGCAGTGGATGGAGCAGTTGACTGTCGAGTTTCGCAGCAGATAAAATCCACTCTTCTGATCCAGAACCTGGCTGCAGTGGCGACTGTAACACAGTCCGTTGTCTCTGTGCTCAACGAGAGTCTGACCTGGCTGTAATAATCCACGCTCACCAAACACACACACAGCCTCACGCACTGAAAACACACACACACAAAAAGTTAAAATTTGATTTGTGGATCTGCAATATAAAAAACAATGATCATATAAATATTAAACTGGAGTATTTTTATATTTTAAAGACAGACATCAAAGAATTCTATAATTTTTTTTTATTGTTTAAATCATGAATTTTATAAAATATGGGGTATTTGTACTTTTTCTAAAGTTTTTTTTCTTAAAAAATAAACAAATAAAACTTTTTATTTTGGGTATTAGCTTAATTTACCTAAGCTGTAAAATAAGTATTTAACATGCCCCGATTTTGAACATTTTCCACTTTCTAGAGGAACGATAGGTCTAATCTCTGGAACACTTTAACTGAGAAAGACAGAATCTAAAGGCAAATAAAATCAAGAAAATCAAAAGGCAATTATAGTTGAATAACTGTTTTGCAATTTATTGCTTGAAATAAATGTTTGATAAATTTTAAAAACTAAATTTAATATAGGGTACTGAAACCTTTTTTACATTACAAACATCAAACATCTCCTATTATTCTTGTTTAGTTTTGCACACTACAGCAGGGATTTTAACCTACTCCCGATGTTTCTCCTGTTGCTGGGGAGCAAGGAGTTTTAGCTGCCTTTATTCTCTTTTGGGTTCAGGTCTAGTAACTCCAGGACCCTAAAGAATTTCCTTTGGAGCCACTCATTAGATGCCCTGCCTGTGCATTTAAAAAAAGTCAGCCAGAACGTATTTTCAATGCTCTTATTAAGGAACATAAAATATTCCTTCATCCAAAACATATTCCTTCATCCATCGTCCCCCACAGATCCTAGCCTCCTCTAAATCTGGCTTCCTCAATTATCGTCCTTATGGGGCCGGTGTGTCGCACCTTTTAGATGTACTGTATCTCTACTTCAACACACCTGTTTCAAAAAATTTGGTTATTTGCAGGAATCGCACGGGACTGCATACTGAGGAGATAATTCAGCCATTTGATTCACACGTGGAAGCAGAGACACATCTAATATGTGCAGGACAAGCCCGTTCAGCCAAACCGGAGGCCAATAAGACATGTTATTCGATTAATGTGTAGAGTGCTACCATGGCAACTTTTAGACTGTGGTTCCAGTTCTTTTGAGGTCCTCCTGTGCAGTTCTGGGCTTGTTAATCACCTGTCTCATCATCAGTTACTTCATGATATGAAATCTTGAATGGAGCCCCATTCAGAGGGAGATTGACAGTCATTCTTAGTTTCTCAGATTTTTATAATTACTGCACCAACAGCTGTTGGCCTATTCGTCTAGCTGCTTGTCTACTATCCTGTAGCTCACCTTAGCCTGATCTTGGAGTCTGATTGATGCAGTATGTATTTTACGTACATAATAACTCCAAGCCAGTGTAATTATTATCCCGGCTTTCCACTGTATCCAGACTGATATGACAGTATTCAGTGCAGCAAAACACACTTCATGCATGTAGTATCCCTATATGCACTGCCAATTATTTTATAATTAATCAAATCCACTTTATTCTTCCTGTGTCTGGCTTTCTGCCTGGCCTATCTGTTTTTTGTTTTTGTTTTTTTTAGAAATTGACGTCTTTTGCTCTGTTGTCTGAAATAAATACACTCAGACACTATTTCTAACAGAGGAGCTAGAGTATCTGTCAGGCAGTGACTCCAAAGACCCAGTGGGGATTATGACCAGAATGCTATTTGAGTCGGCCTGGCTGAGACATCGAAGAGGTCTGTGTAAATGAGGATAAAGGTGCTTATTAAAAAAATAACAGGTCTTTCACAGCTTTATTGCTAGTTGGTAGGTGATCTATTAGTTATTTCATGAAATAGTATTATAATGGTTTAATTATTTTATCAAATGAAATTGATTGATTGTTCAAATATAATAAAATGTGATTTAGTTTTTTAAGTTTCTGTGTTTCAAAGCTGAAGTGTACCTATTTTGAATATTAAAAGCTCTATACTCTTTGTAATTAGTATAATCTACATTATATAAAATATTTATTTTCCATTCTAAATGCTTGAAACTATTTAAACTGAAATTTATAACAGTAATTAAATTGTCTTTATTTGAGCTGGGTTGGTTATAATAGATTTAAACCGTATTTCCTGTATTTTTTTCTATTTGATTTAACTTTAAATCTAACTTTAGAAGAATTTATTTGTGCTAAATAAGAATGCTCCTACAGTAGACTGTAGCATAATCTCTCTTTAGAAATTAGAGGTCACTTCAATCTCCATTTTTTAAACTCTTCTAAAAATGCACTTTTTCCTATTGACCTCTGGCATAGCACAAGTCTTTTTTGCTTTTGAATCTTATTTTACTGTTTTATTTATTTACTTTTTCTGCCTTTAAACATTGATCTTTTCTTTATATTTAGAATGTTTTATATGTGCAGCAGTTTGTGACATCTACGTATGTGATGTCATTGAACAGAAATGCATTGGACTAAATTATGTGAGGATGAATAAACTCTAAATTCAATTAGACTGAAGTCAGATCATTAAACAGGATCACGTTGTTGATATTTAATAGGACACATAATAATAACAATCATAATAATCATAATAATAATAATAATCATAATCATAATAATAATAGTTGAACTAAATGACTCAGTCTTTTATCTGAGCAGAACTCACCACACTTGTACCTCTTGCAGGCACACTGGTTCTGTGGGTCAGACAGAAAGGCCAGATCAAGCTGTGCAGCTTCCCCCTGAAAAGAACAAGGCAGTATAATGTTGATATACATTAAAAATCCAATATTTTTATTATTTTATACATAATATGAGATATTTAAATCTATACCAAAACCCTTTATTTTGCCCCAATCTTGTCATAATAATAACTAGATATTTCTCCCAGCCTGGATTTTTAACCACAGAACGTACCAGGCCACATTTTGGAGAGGCCACTTTGTCACAGGTGCATTCTGTAAACACAAAGCACAAGGTAATATTACATTTTCCAGCAAAGAAGCTGAGGTTACGGCTTAAGAGAAGCAGGTAGCATGTTAGGATCATACCACATGTTTGCTTGGGACAGCAGAGACTTGAATTGGAAACAGACACAACTGACATCCCGTAAGGACAACTCAGCTGAGGACATCTGTAGGGCTCACATACTGCACACACAAAATACCATTAAGACAGTTAGACAATTACAACACATTGAAAGATTCCCACTCACGATTCAAGCATGTTGGTGGGTTTCCTTCAGCCTTAATTTGGTCTACTACTCTAAAAAGTGATGGAAAAATGTAGTGAACTAAAAAGATAAGATGGTGTGTTTTCTAACCACATTGGTAGGAAGGGCAGCATCGATCCGTGCTGTTGCTGTCAACGCTTAGCACCTCCCCCTCCTGGCAGAAGGGTGGCGTCTCAGAACAAGAGGAGCACACTGGAGGAAACATATTGTAGATTAAACAAACTGTTTAACTAGACAAGGATTCAATGAAAGGGACACAAAAAGGGGAGGATGAACTAACTGCAGATGTGTGCCAAACAGCAGCTGCCATCAGCTCTGGTCGCGATCAGAGTCTGGTCGTCTCTGCAGGTCGGGATGTCAGACTCACAGAGCTCAGGATCACACTCTGAAAAACAGAATGTAAAAAGAAGCAGTAATGGTAGATATAGATGATGCAAAACTCAAGCGTTGCTACAACATAGAGTTTAATCAGTAAAAGGGAAACTCACCACAGACATAGTCTGGACAGCAGGAGTCTGCTCTGTAGTAAGACACCAGCTTTTCCCCATATTTACACTCAGGGGGAAAGTGATCACACAGGCTCTGGTTACACACTGCAGAGTAACATGAGAACAACCACAGATTAACTTTCACTGTTGTTAAAAATAAATAAAATAAGCTAAAGAAGTCTGCCTGTGGGCTCACAGCAGACTTTGTGTGGACAGCAGCTGGTGTCATCGGACATGCTGATGATCATTTCGCCTGTTCGCTGGCAAACTGGAGTGGGAACGCTGGAGCAGTTATACTCCACTGGTACGATGGTGTCATTGTCGCAGCGGTACATGCAACAGCCGTCCTTTGAGGCCTTCCACACCTCGCCGTTTGCACGAGGAACACCTGAGCTGTCGGTGCAAGCTGCACCAAAACATACACCGTACCTCAGACAGAAGTGCTTGGATTATAGAGAATATACCTTAATCTCGACAAGGACTCAAGACTCAAAAAAATTTCAGGAATAATTTAATCAACCATAAATCTGAAATTTACATTTTCATATTCTTATAATCCTCTGGGTATCATATGAGCTAATAAAGTGTGGTCCTTACCACATTTCTCAAAGGGGATGCATAGAGCAGAGTACGGACGATGAAGTAAAGTTCCTTCAGGACACACACAGCCCTCTGTCAGTCCCATGCAGTGGTCTGGATCAGAGTCAAAGTCATGGTTTGGACAGGATTGAGAAGTGCAGGCAGGAAGACATGCTTGATAGCTTAGAGTGCCAGGACAGACAAAGGCTGCAGGGAAATAAAAACATACCAACAGTCAGGATAGCTGTACGTGTTTTTACTAATTCAATTCAAAGCTTATATTTCTATTGAGGTCATACTTTTAAAACAATGGATGGATGGATGGATGGATGGATGGATGGATGGATGGATGGATGGATGGATGGATGGATGGATGGATGGATGGATGGATGGATGGATGGATGGATGGATGGATGGATGGATGGATGGATGGATGGATGGATGGATACTTTTCCAAAATTTATTTTATTTTTCATATTTATTACCTGTAGCGAATAGCTAAATCAATTTTCCTAATTCTGATTCATCTTTTTTTCCAGTTTAAAAGAAATTTGAAATATTATTCGATTTACAGTAAAACTATGAATTGCAAATGGGTAAGTTTAACTGAATTTTGTTATATTCTTTTTTTCTCCACATTCTCATACATATGTGCTATGAATAAAATTCAGTGTGCAATTAAAAGAGTAATCTTACGGCAGTAATCTGGCCTCCTCCACTCAATGCAGATATTGAATTTATGGCATGAGGCCACATAAGCAGCAAGAGCCACACAATGGTTGTTCATATACTCTGAGTCTCTCACCCAAACCTCGCAAAATGTGCTGGGTGGCACCTGGAGAACAAGAAATAATAGTTTAACTGAAATAATTTTGCAAAGATAAATCATTTTGTTCAAATATCTTTATGACAGTTTCAAGAAGACCTATTAATTTACATTCTAAATCAACTTAGCAAGAACAGGGGCATTAAAAGGCGTTAAGAGTAAACATACAAATTCATGACAACGGGTAAAGGTGTTATCCTCCAGCATGGCTAGACAGCGTGAGCAATCGCTGGTGGAGCAGTTGTGCTCACGTCGACGGCTATAGCTGACGTAGCTTGTGGTGTTGGGAACTTGCCAGCTGTCGATAAACAGAGTTGGGTCTTTGCTTACGCCCAAAACTGTACCATTAGGCAGTGTAAGGTCATTGGTCAGGTCTCCATCACAAAATCCTGAGGGAGTCAGAAAAAAAAAAAGAAATGCAATTCAGAATATCTCTAAATGAGACACATGTGACCTTAAAAAGGACTACGGTAGCAAACTTTCTGTCTTGCTGTGATCGTCCCATAGAAAATGCTAACGTTATATCTACTCTTCTTAATTAGAAATGGTACAGGCTAATGTTTTAAAAGCTGGCTGTCATAAAACAGAGGGCTTTGTTTTCTCTTGTTGCTGTTTAATTAAAGTGGGACCCATGCTAAAGACACAACCTTCTGCTACAGGCTATATATCAAAGTAAATTTGATTTAGCCTTTTTACTTCTTTTCTATCTCGCACTTTCATCAGCTTTCAATATGCAATGCAGTTTTGCAATCTTTAAATGACCTTCAGGAAACTGTGGAAATCCACTGATCCAAGAGGATTACAAGAAACTGCAGAGTAATAAAGGATTTTAGAATCGATGCAAATCGTTCTTACCGCAGAGGCCCATGGTGGGAAGTTTCCTGCCCAAGCCATCAGTGTCAATCACCATCATGCCAGTGCTGTGGTACCATTGTACTTTAAGACCAGTTGGGCTGCGGATCAGGTACATGTTGCCTGTGTCATAGATCTCAAAGCCATACTTTTTAAAACGGGGCTTGGCGTATCGTGAGTTTACATAGAGCTAATTGGAAAAAAAAGATAAAGGTTTTAAAATTCATGGTGCAGGATATTGTAGTTTAAGTTATCAATAATATTTGGGTCTTACTCTTCTCTGTAGTCTGTTGATGACGACATGGTTAGATTTGTGCGTGATGTTGAGTGAGACTAGACACAAGTTGGTGAAATTCCAGAAAACCTTCAAAAAGAAACAGAAAATGTTTATTAGTGACCCTGACTGTCTTAAAAAAATTTAACTAGATGATTAAGAGGTTGACTCCCACCGGTAACTCAGAATCCGCTGGACATTCCTGAATCAGGACACTGAGGGTCTCATTGGGCAGCTGGGTAACAATGTAAGATGCAGCTTTAAAAACAGCAAAGCTGTCCCCATCAAAAGTGATGACATTTAGATCAGGAAATATTGAGCAGCGACCTAAGACATACAGAAAAGAAAAAAATAGCTCAGCCTCTTTTTGCAGCCTTCTAAAGAAGATATCTTTAAAGAAGCAAGAAAAGCATAATTCTCCTTACATGGGCAATCCCATTTTGGACAGCATTTGTCTCCGTTGATCAGAACAGAAAAACCAAGCAGACCACAGTTTGGAGGCTCAGCTGTAAAAAGGCAGCTCTGGGATTTGTTGAAGAGGATGAGCTGGTTGTTGACACAGATGTACTTTGTGCATTCATCAACAATCTCTGCATATGGAGGCTAAAGAGATGACAAAATCAAATCTGGAGCAAATAGATGATTCTATTCAGGAATGACAAATACACAGTTTTATTTTTTTATTTTTAGTGGCTGAGAATCAAAAGAAGATGGACAGGAAGATGGACAGAAAGAGAGGGACGTCTAGTAAATGAACTGGGAACAAGAATTAAACAGGGGACAACTCTGTTGAGGACTGTAGCCTCTGCATATGGTATGTCCCTAAGGTACCTGAAAAGAGCTTTTAAAAGAGCAAATTATGATCTAGTTGTAATTTTTTTTTTTTAAATAAAAGCTGTAGTCTTAAAATAAAGCTAGTAATAAACTTCAATTAAGAAAGTAATGCATCTGTAAAAAGAATCTAATTGGACTTACAGTGCACATCCTTACAGGAGTTTCTGTCATCAATGTTGATCGCTGTCCAAAGGAGCTGGTTGTTTCCATTGCTAAATGAGGAGAGCTCGAAGAGAGTGTTGAACGTGAAGTTGTATGAATCTTTTCCATGGTGGTGGTTGCTCCATAGGGAGTTGTAGTTGAAAATGGAATACCAGGCTCCTTGGTTGCCACAAAGACATCAGGGCTCTGAGATTGAGTTTGCTGTATTTTAGCTTCTTTGGTTGTTGTTGACTCAGCAGCAAACGCAGTTGTAAATGGCACAGCTGGTTTTGGTGAAGGGGCCAGGACTGTAGTTGTTATGGTAGGAGGACTCGCCGCTGATGTGCTAACATGATCAGTCTCGCTTCCTGATGTTGCAATGACAGGAGAAGTAGTAGCAGGAGAAACAGTTGGTGAGCCAATCATTGTTGATCTGGTGGTGATAGCTGAGGGTCTCATTCCAATAGTGACCCTTGAGGTGACTGGTCTTTTTGAGGTTGGTGTGGCTCTGGGAGAAACTCTTGTTGTTACAGGAACTCTGGATGCTGCTGTGAGGATAGTTGTCCTCGCAATAGTTGGTGTAGCTCCTGGTATTGACACCAATCTGGTGGTGACCTTTTCCAGAATGGTAGATTCAGCTGGAGCCGTTTGAGAACTTGTGTGGAGTGAATACAAAGTTGGAGGGGACATGTTCGTTGTTCCAGTTGACACTCTGGCTGTAACTGGTTTTGCAGTTTCTGTAATCGATGCAACAATGACAGGTTTAACAGTGGTATAAAGACTAGACAGTTCAGCTCCTGTAGGGTTTGTGGTTAGGAGGGTCTCAAGAGAGCCAGACACATGCGGAGCCGGGGGAGTAATAAGCTTCCTGATGGTTGTGACTCCACCTTCTTCAGGTGTTGTTTTTCCTGTGGTGGTTGTAGTTGTGGAAGATGTCCTAGATGTCTCTGGAAACTGTGAAACTTCAGGTGATTTAGAAGACATGGTAGGAGATTCAGAGGGCAACACAGATGTTGTCCCCATTGGGGGTTGGTAGGTAGCTGTGGAAGCTGAGGTGGTCTCCCAGTGGAAGTGCGGCCCAGATTCAGAGCTCCGTTCAGTATAGGATGGATGGGTAGAGCTCTCTGTTGCTGGAGATTGTGGTAGAGTACTAATATAGCTAGAGGTTTTAGGTTTAGTGGTAAAAAGAACATCTGTGGATGTTTCTGGAACCACAAGAGGTCTTGAAGTTAGCTTGCTGGTGGTGGTTTTCCCTGTAACTGGGACAGCCGCTGACCAGGAAGTCCTCTCAGAATAGGCTGTTGAAGAGTGCAAAGGAGTGGGGCTGCCTCTAACCTCTCCAGGTAAAGGGTAAGCTGTTGTTGTAGCGACTGTTGGGATTCTAGATGCTAAGGATTCCAGGATGGTAACTTTCTTTTTAGTTGATGTTTCCAACCATAAAGGAACAGAGGTGGAGGCAGATGCTGAAGTTGTAGAGGGAGTACCACCATACATATGGGTTGATAACACTGGGACAGTTGAAGAAGCTGCAATGTCACTTTCAATAATGTCTAAGGTTCTTCCTGTGGTTCCAGTTTGTGTTTCTTTACTGGTTGTCAAAGATGTAACTAGTCTAAATGGCTGTGTGGTCTTTGGTGAAATTAATGTTGTAGAAGATGCTGTTTCTGTTTCTAGAGGAGGTAAGGTTGGAACAGGAGAAGCTGATGTGGAGCTTGTGCTTGGTATTTCTGGCAAGATTATAGGAACTGTTGCCATTCCCTCAAAAGGTGTAGCTTTTTTACTGGTGTCTGTATAGAAAGTAGCAGTAGTACTGGAGACAGTGGTTCCATCTCGATGGACAGAGGTTTCAGAGACCAAAGGAGAATCTGCACTCAATGTCTTTGTTCCAGTAGTTTCTGAACTTGTGCTTTTTGCTGTGTCTTCGTGTGAATGCAAAATTGTAGAAGTGCTGATTGTGGTGGGTTTCTCAGCATTAGTAGTCTTTGCTGCAGAAGTTGTTACAGCTGTGCTGGTGAGGAGGCGGGCCGGCGTGACAGTCAGTTTGGTGTAGGAGCTGTCCAAAGTAGCTCTGGTTGTCGTGGACATGGTGGTGCTGAGTAAGCTGACTGTAGTGTTCACTGGCCTGGTTGTCCATCTTGCTGCAGCTGTTAAAGTTATTGGCAGAGTTTCAGTTATTCTGACTGTGGATGGTGGCTCCACCACCTCTGGCCTGACAGCAGGAGGCGTTATTGGCCCTGATGGAGTTTTTGAATGTTTAGGAGTTGGATATAGAGAGAAGGTTGGAGATGAAGTTAGCTCAACAGGTGTGGGTGGTGCTTTGGATAAGGTAGTGTACTTGCTTGGTGAAGTACTACTAGAAATAATGCTGCTGAGAGCTTTTCCTGTGTGACTTGTGCCTGGAGATGTGGATGATGCGGTGCTCTCAGACATTTTAGCTGGAGTGGATGGTGAGGGAGGAGACACATCATCAGGAACCCTAATACCTGAAATGACACAATATCTAATGTTACAAGGGTTACACTAGTGGCTTACAGTAATGTTTAATACATGACTAAAAACTCCTTTTTTTTTAGCCCAGAAAATAAGACATTAGTAAAAATAAATAAACAAACATTAAAGCTGTATACAGTAACAAATGGCATAACAAATTTTCAGTCATCAGTTTTTCATCTTAATTAAACAATATCACTTCTGAACCTAGAGACTATGTGTTAGCATTGTAAGCATATATGGCTACCCAGCTTCTTTTTTTATATATATATTATTATTATCTTATTTGCTGATTGAACATGAAGATATATGCAGAAATTTACAACTTGTAAATCATGTTTATACTCAAATAAAATATTTAATTACAAAAGAAAATCCGCTGCGATTACAGCTGCAAGTCACTTGGGGTAGATCTCTCTCAGTTTTGCACATTGAGAAACTGAAATTTTTGCCTATTCTTTCTTGCAAAAAATGCCCGAGCTCAGTAATGTGGGATGAAGAGCATTTGTTAACATCAGTTTTCAGTTCTTCCCACAGATTCTCGATTGGATTCAGGTCTGGGCTTTGATCTAAGCATTCTAACTAGTGATGGGTTGATGAGGCGTCATGAAACGTTTCGACACATTACCAAACTGTATTGATACTGTGTCACTGAATACTGACACCTGCTGGACATTAAAAATCCCTACAGGCAACCTAGTTGACAGAGTTAACTGACACTGATTTGATGACCTATTATATACACTAATATGATGCAATTCATTGTATGATGCATTGTATTATTATTAAAACATATTTGATATTTTAGACACAGTCAATGGATGATGAGAACCTGCATCATAATGTAATAATCTCTAAGTAAACATGTAGTAAATGAAGATGCTTGTTCACTGGTATTTTGTTTACAAATTTTTATTCAAAAAAATAAGTTGTTGCAACGTTTTGAAATTCAGTCTGTTGCGCTTTTTTGATATTAGTTCTCCAGCTGTGGAAAACACCCGCTCACACGGCACAGATGAAGCTGGAGTGCACAAAAATTTTAAGGCCGGGCGGAAGAGGTTTGGATAAACCGTCCTTTGGTTTTTCCAATATACAAGAGGATCCTGGGACCTCGCAATATTGCCCTCTGCCATGTATCTCTGCACCTCAAGGATGGCATCAGCTGTGGCACTTTTGGTCTGCCTCCCCACTTCGAGATCAAAATGTTCCCAAAGGTCATCTTAAAAAAAAAAAAAAAAGTATTTTAGTACATGATTTACAAACAACAAAGAAATGATGCTCAATATCATGCCTGAAGTGGGGGCAGACAGCTGTTGTGAAGATGTTCCCGGCTTGGGCTCATTTGAGCTTCCAATTGAGGCACATTCTGTCCGCAGTCTGCTGTACTTCCATTTTCACTCGTTCCCGTTCCTCCTCGTACTTTTTGGCCAACAGTTGTTTGATGGTCTGAAAACCCCACCAAGTTAAACCAGAAGAAAATCAATATATTTAAAATAAATTTTATGAATAAACTACCACTTTAGATAATTTCCACACAAACCTTTCTGGTTGGCAAAACATATGAGGGTTCAAGGAGCTGAACCAGCTCCCTGAACCCTTCATTCTCCACAACAGCGAGGGGCTGGCAGTCCTTTACAATGAAATTAAGCACAGCCTCATCAAGCATCTGCTTCCTGGAAGCTTGATGGTTAAAAATGAGAAAGTGTAAATTATTCAGAATTATCAATAAAACAAAGTCAGTAAGTTGTAAAATACCTGTATACCTGAGTTCATCATGGGTGTATCATTGATTTCACTCTCATGCTTGGCCCTATAATGCCTCAGCATTGAGGAGGTGCTGTTATTTAAATATGCAAGCTCTGTTGAGCAATTGCGACATTTAACCTGCAGAAAATAACACGAACAGTAAACTAAAGGTCACTTTGAAATGAATTTCTACTCAGAAAATCAAGTGGAAACTCTGAGAGGAACAGGATGAAACAAGGAAATTAAAACAAATACCTTATTTTCCGAAATGACATCAAAGTGGTCCCACACAGCAGAAACCTTTCTTTTTGCTTGAGAAATCTCCATAATTTTTGATGAATTTTATATTCGCAAAACACGCAAGATTGTTTTGGCAGATGCATCTCGTTGGCAGATGCGCTTCCTTATTAAGGCTTGTCAATCAGTTTGAAACATTGGTCACGTGACCGATACAGGAACTGTTTCGGTCACGTGACTTTTCCATAGCGATACACACGTCGACACAGGTTTCGCTCTATGAGACCGACACATGCGCCGACGCATCGGTGTTGCCCGACCCATCACTAATTCTAACACCGGGATATGTTTACTTGAGAAGCATTGTAGATTTTGCTTTACGTTTTCAATCATTGTCTTGTTGGAAGATAAATCTCCGACCCAGTCTCAGGTCTTTTGCAGGCCTCAACAGGTTTTATACTAGAATGCTCCTGTATTTGACTTAATCCATTTGCCCAACAATTTTTTACAATCTTTCCTGCTGAATAAAACCAGGCCTAAACCATGATGCTTTCCCCAAATTTTTAGACATTGGAGATGGTATGTTCAGGGTGATGAGCTGCGTTGCTTTTATGCCAAACATAACGTTTTGCATTGTTGACAAAAAGTTCAATTGTGATTTCATCTGACCAGATGTCCACATGTTTGCTGTGTCTCCCAGGTGGCTTGTGGCAAACTTTAAGCAAGGCTTTTATGCATATCATTAAGAAATTAAATTCTTCCGTAAAGGCCAGATTTGTGCGGTACATGACTGATTGTTTTCCTATGGACAGAGTCTCCTACCTCAGTTCATATGCCTAACAGGTACCTACAGGTGGATTCTATTTATCATCATCAGTTATTAAGGTCAACATTGGGTCCTTCAGAGATCCTCACTGAACTTCTAGAGAGAGTTTGCTGCACTGAAAGTAAAGGGGCCAATTTATTTTGCATGCACCACTCTTCAGTTTTTTATTTGTTAAAAAAGTTTAAAATATTCAATGAATTTCGTTCCACTTCAACGAAATTGATTCTTGTTGATTCTTCCTAAAACATTCAAATGTTATATCTTTATGTTTGAAGCCTGAAATGTGGCAAAGGGTTTAAAAGTGTAAGGGAACCGAATACTTTCGCAGCCCCTCTAGGTAGGATTCAATTCTCTAACATTAGACATTCCATCAAATTACTATTATTTGTCATCAAACTGAATGCAGTGATGCTGTTTCAAGCTACTTACAGTCTTCAACATGGACACATCGACTGGTGACTTCATCTAGGACCATGTCAGGGGGGCACACAGAAAGGCAGCCCTCCACTCTGCACAGGAGACAATTTGCAATGAGAAAACCTCAATACTGGAGAATTTTTTCTTTGGATAAACTTTACATGCACAAGTGCACTCTCACAAACAACTACAGGTACTCAGAGATTCACTTCCATACAGAAAGCCCATATTCTTATCTTCAGCTACCATAGTATACTGTACATGTCAGATTAAATAATACTACTTCAGCGATAGTATCTAGGTGTTACTTTATTGTATGTCTCGTACCATGTCTGTTGGTTGTGCTGTCCTTTTTACATCTCTTTGCAGGTGATGAAGCAGACTTAAAATGTTATATCATTATCTCCTTTCTTTCATTTTTTCTCCTTTTTTTCCTGTTTTTCCTCTTCTGTTCTACTTACTTTGGAGTGTCCATATAATCTGTAAAACTCCCTGCATAATTATATTAAAGCAATCTATATGCATGAAACAAGCGGAACACTATTGCAATAGCCCTACTGCTCCAACTGTGAAAGTAAAATCTGTTGGGCTCTTTTTGGCATCAAGACAATTATTCTTATTGCCACATTGCCAGACAGGACACTGTAGAAAGGAAAAAAATAAAATAAAATAAAATAAAATAAAATAAAAGGAAAAACTCAATACATCTGCTCTAACAAGATACCACATTAAGTTGAGTCTACGGTAATCCCTGTCTATGTTGGGCATGGATAATCATCAACACTTGTCAGAACTGGAGCAAAAAGTTGTGTTTACACTCCACTCCAAAAAAGAATACATCTCCAACTTTACTCAATTGATTCGATTGGTAACAAGTGATTGAAATGGAGGTGATAAATACAAGTTTAACTTCACCAGTAAGTAGGGAACTCTCACATGCCCTCTCATTGCCCCTTCTTATTTGCCAATCAATTGCCAGGCTAATATTTATGCAAATGCTCACCTTTCCATTAGCAAACATTTACTTTACTATTAAGAAAAGTGATGTTTGTCATTATTTTACTTCTTCTTTGTCATTTCCCACCTCAATAATGTCACTACTAGGATCTGGAAACTCTAACCCTCTCAGCTCCATCTCATGTGACTTCAACTTCCTATTCCTATTCTTTTGAGTTCATACTGGCATCTTTACCAGAAATAAATATTGAAGTATTTAAGGCAAATATTAAAAAGCTACTTATTTTTTCCATAAAGTAATACTTTTATTCTTCACCATTATAAAAATTCTGTGGATGTATTATTTTTGAAAAATGTATAATTTTTATGAAAAAGTTGTAGCTATGATCTTTAGGTTTACTACATTTTGTTGTCATATTTTTGTTTATAGCGTGTCAAGTTAAAGAATTGTAAATGAATTAAGTTGACTAAACATGCTTTAATTACTTGTTACCAACTAAGGCAATTCAATAAATTTGGAGCTTCATTCTTCCCTTACAGTGTTTGGGAAATGGAAAGACATAACCAATGATCTCAATGAACCAACATCTCCTTCCCATTAATATGTGAAGGAATGTAATGCCATTTTTTAAATAATTAAGATTCATTATTCTGCTGAAAGAAATGTTATTCACGAGTGGAAACTTTATAGGAGGACCATGTATTTTGGGCAGAGGAGACCAAATTAGGGATGTTTGGGAAAAAAACAGCACAAGACAGCATATCAGCACCATTACTTCATACAAACTGGGGGATGGCAGATAGCAGGATGCGGTCTTTTCTGCAAGACCCTGGAAATTGGTAATTTGCAGTAGTTGAGTTGACCTTATACTCTTCTATATACCAAATAGGATATTTTTACATAATTTTTACGGTTCACTTAAAATCATCAACCGAAAGTTGAGGAAAAGGTTTACTGTGGGATGGTGACACATGACTCAGCCGACGGGTCGCTGCAGGTCTTGAAACAGGGGCTGATGCAGGAGTCGTAGCGCCACTGACATCGAGGACTTGGTCGGGTGTCTGATCTGGGGCCTAAATGAAAAACACACAAAGCTTTCTGACTGGTGTATAATTAAGAACAAGGAGGTCTTTCGTACAAGAATACAACAGTCTTGAACAATTAAGCCGGCTGCAAACACATTACCTTAAGCTACTTTCCAAAATACGATGCAAGATCCAAGATATGATCTTAAGGATTTATATGATGGTGTAATTATTAGTTATGACACAGAAACAACTGATGCATTTGAATTCAGCTTGAATTGCACAAATATTGTCTAGAATTCAGTGTAATTTACAAAAAAACTATTCAAATCTTGCATAACATTAGGAATTAATGAGGAAGCATTAAGGATTAAAAAATATGCCAAATGCCAAATGCATGCAGGAATCAGGTTTGTTAAAATCTGAAATTGTTACTACTCTTAACATGTCATAAGATTTTCCATCAGGATATTATAGAAGGACCCCTGCTCAAGTGCAGCAATTGTCCATGCTGGGAGCGTGTTTGCAAGTACAGTTAAAAACACAAACATGCAGCATACAAAACTCTTTTCAATAAGCTTTTATCTTTTTTCTTTTGCTTTCTAGTAAATTGGCTTTGGAGCGTGGGCATTATAAGCTCCTGGCTTCTACCAAAACATCCTTTTTCAGACTGTTTTAATTTATGTTATATGAACATATACTGTCTTTATTATATAGTTGTATGTCTGAAATAAATAAATAAATAATAAATAAATAAATGTGACTTTTACATTCTCTGGGCAAAACTCACACAATTATTTAGAAAATGGATAATTATCTTTTCTGTATGGAATACAGAATATAGTTATGATACGGTCTAGACTTGTCCAAGACAACAATTTACTGACCAATTCATAGTGTTCACTGGCCTTTCCAGAAAAACTTTCAACGAACAGCATATAATGTCACTGTCGACTGAAGGGATCATCTCACCATTAGTAAAGTGCATTATTTTTTTGCTAAAAGCTGAATAGCATGACAAATTAGAATATCCTCAGCTTATTGTCCTGGTTTCTGATTAATTAACGGTTGTGATTTATTTTTGGGTGGAACAAACCATATTAAGGATATGTATTGTGTCTGTTCCATTTGTATGACATTATTAGATAGTTTACGATCATTTACTGTTAATAGAAACATTCTTCTTTCTTACAACACTGCTTGCCAGGGTTCTGATTAAACATGCTTAGGAAAAACAAAAATAAATGTCTTGATGTTTCTGCCTTTAATTACTGAGGGTTTGGACAATGAAGCTGAATAAGAAGATGACCAAAGGTTTGGCATTTATCGAATACAAGGTTAAAGAATATATTACACTCTTACATTAATTGTTGCAAGCTTTTGTTTCGAATCGTTCATTCAGCACCACGGACAGTTCTGACATCAGCAGAAACACCTTTATGTGCTTTAACACTGCTGCTAAGTTCCACAATTTAGACTGAATGTAGAGCAGCTGTTTCATTGGCCCTGGTACAGCAGCATGAACACCAGCTGCTAGTTAAAACAATACTGCTCTGAAGGAATAGGAGAAAAAGCCCTACGTTTTAGGCTTGACCAAGGCTGATACCACTGCTGGAAGATGAGAATGCTCTTTACTGCTGTATGTTGAAAATACCACCACATGGTCAAAATGCAGCTTCATGAAATTATGAAACCCTGTCTGGTTAAGAGTAAATAATAATAACGCCTCCAATTCAACAGTAGATAGTTACCAAATCTAAGAATAACAAAGGTTTTAAGAATTAAAAGTGTTTGTTTTTTTTAGATCTAGGAGATTGGAACCAAAACGTTGAAGAGCTGAAAAGCTTTGCTCTGACTTACACAAAGCCAAATATTGTTATTAATATTAAGTACTATCTAAGGTTAAATAAAGAAACAGCTATGAATACAGAGATATTTTTGCAATGAACTCAAATATGGTGTCTGCCCACCACATAAACCGCTTATATTTTGCAACAATTTTTTGTCCATGAATTAAAAAAAGAATTATAAAAACAAGCGACCACTTTATCGCAGCTTTATGGATTGAAAGCCCTGATGTTATTATGCTAGACCCCCTCTGCACTGTCCATGCAAATTAGAAATGCCTTAAGAACAGCTTAAACTCATTGTTTCACTGTCAGTAAAAGGCTGTCGTTTATTTTGAATAAATGCAAGTTTGAATTATAGCAGCTTCTACTTTTTTAAGAGTTTTATAGACAATTTCATCCGTACAAAATGGCATCCAAATGTATTTGTTGGCAGCTGAAAGTGTAAATTAGTAGATTACCAAATTCAGAAGGTGCCCTTGTATTTAAAGGACAAATGTTCTGGATTTTTTTTTATAGCAAAACCTGATATAAAGGTGATGGGTGAACTTTTTCTTTTGTTGTTTTTATCTTACTTGTCTAGTTCAAAGGTCATTGAAAAGGGAAGTTTGATGAAAATATTATGTGTTTTAGTTACATTTAAATTATGCATAAAGCATGTAATACATTAGATGGTGTTTATGCAGCAAAAACTGTTTAACTTTTGAAGATCAATGCTGGTTTTTATCTTTGGTTAAACAATAATCTTGTCGCACTCATACTGGTTGGCAGTTATATGGCTCTAAAGTGCTAATTTTGCTTAAAAAGAGGAGAGTGACATCAAAATATGGATTATAATCAGTGGTCTTTGGAAAAGATTTCTAAAATCATAAAATAATACACCAAAGGAGCATATCTATTCTTCTCTCAGTGTGTCTTATATATGTTACATACCTGACTAGAAAATACTTCATCAGCTACTGCTCCCTCTTCAGGGTGTAAAATGCGTTCTGTGTGACTGAGGAATGCTGACCTGAGAGTCTGAACAGCGAGGCCTGGCGGAAACTGTAAGTGTGTCTGAACTTGAGCAGGTGGAGGCGAGGCATAGTGGCGTGCAGGAAGAAGCCGGGTTTAGCATGTGACTCAAGTGAGTCATAGCCTGAAATCCAGGTGTTCCTGTGGATAATGAAGGTAGCTCCATCCCAGAATGCCTCACTGTCCTCCCACTTGGCCAGCCTAACCTGGCCACTGGCACTGGCATGCAGGAAGTAGTTCGGTCTGTCGACTGCTTCAAAGGAAATCCGTGATGCATCTACGCAATAAAGATATAATTGTCAATCAGACAAGATCCTGGACAATGTCTACCTTCCCTTTAGTTTCTAGGAACAAACATAGAACAACACAGACCCAACTAAAACCTTGAAGTGGAATAATAACATACTGTATTTGTTTTAGTTCCTAGTTACCTCTTTTTTCTTATGAGATTATTGTTATATTTTGGTAATAGAGCATCTTAAATAAAAAAAAGGGGGCTTCGCATATTCAAGTGATTTTATGAAAGTAAAAGAAAAGATGAGGACACCCCTTTTACACACTTCTAAGTACATTCCCGAAGAATGAAATTTTATAGATAATGTTAAAGTTTGAGCTATATGTTCAGCTGTGAACTGCTATTTTAAGGTACTCAACATAGAACTGGTCTAAATCAGACAAAGAAAAAAAAACAAAGAAATAAGACCAACGGTACTTGAAAGAAACAGGCAGTACAAATCTGAAGGGTTTGCGAGTGAGAGCAGCTTGTTCGAGGATTGGCTCGCTGTCAGGGCTGCAGCTTGAGTTGCTGTATGAGTGTTTGCCAATCTGATCTGTGACCCCTTTCACAATGAGTTCATCGCCTTTATTAGCGTTTTCACACGAGAGCTCTGATCCTTCCAAACCGTATCACCAGTAAAAGAAACTGAAGCAGTAAAGCCTGCGTGGCCTTTAGTCACAGAAGAAAAAAAAAAGTTTTACACAGAATCTAAATCAAGTTTAACTGAAATTAGCGATTTAACACTGGATTACGTATTTCTGAATGAAAATAGACTTTGCAATGTAGAGTTTTCTGTAAGATGTTTAGTCACACCACTGAGCTATTTTTCCAATGACAATAACAACAGTCATATTTCCCCTTGGAGAGCTGCGGGAAAAAGGAACAAACCATGCCTGATGGAAGTGAAGTTCTCTCAGGATGTCAATTTGACAACTTTTTTGAACCTCAAAACAAAACAAAATAAAACTGCACCATCTTATTTTTTTCAACTAATACAAGTTGTGACTGGGCTTAAGTCTTGATTAAAAACAAAAAACAAAAACAATGATTGAATCAGATAAAACACATGTGACTAAGTAGCACAAACCTGGCAGCATCTCAATATAACACACATTCTCAAAAGGATTTTCTTAGGGTTCATATTGATTTTAAATCATTTTCAGTTTTTCAAGCTCAAATATTAGAATACAAAGCATTTACTGCCTACTTAGGATTTTATTATTTCTAAGTTCCCCAAATCATAATAAAACATATCACCTTATTAGGCAGATAAGATTGACCACCTTTTTTGGACCAACCAGAAACCTGATCTTAAGGTTTTTTAGTTAAATAAGTGTGGATTTATGTGGGTTATTTATTAGTATCTAAAGAAGCAAACCAATCAATGAGTTTGACCAAAAAACCTAAACTGAGATTTTGTTGATAAAATCCAAGTTAAAAATGTCCCTTACTTTCCAGAAATGTCTTATATTTTTAGAAATTGAACAATAAAAAAGTCAATAACCTTCAAATACTGTTCGACAATGAGTTGAGGTTTGCACACAATCCTAGCTTACCTGTAATTAAAGCAATGGAAACAAAATAAACTGCTTATAAACTCGACATATTCTGATAAAAAGTGACAGTGGAGAGTAAGAGATTGATTGATAATGGCAAATTCACATTTTTTGTAAATAATAAATATGTGCTCACCATGGGGCCTGGTTCTGCTTAAGCCCGGTGTCATCATGAACTCTACCAGGACCCCGGCAGCGATATTGGTGCTGATGTTAACCCGCTGCAGGAAAACAAAGCCACTGGACCTGCTGGCTGCCAACAGAGTTGTCTGATCCCTATAAGTGAAGAGCCTAAACGGGCCTTTACCTAGAACTGCAGAAAGGAGGCATAGATTTTACAAACAATCTAACCAAGTTCAAATTCCATTGACATTTCTTTTTTGTTGTTTAAGCAGATTTCAGTTATTACTAGTTTTTCTGAGCCAATAAAGTAATTTAGCAAACTAAAAAAAACCTGCTTCAATGTGTTTATATATTTTTGAATTCTTTACAGTATCTTTTTTTCTTGTTTACAACCAATGAAAGCGTGGCACTAGGTCCTGGACTTAGCTTTAAGGGCTCAAAAGCAAGTTTCTCAAGTTAAAATCAACAAAACATAATTAGCAAAAATATTTATTAGTAACAAGGAAACTATTTAAAAACTATTCTTCAGAAAGCAGTATGTTTAAGCTGTGCAGATTAGTAAAAGTTGTAAATTACAAGAGAATGCAGGTCCAAGTCTGTCTTATCATAGGAAGTACATTTCTAGGCAAAAGTGTTTAGAAATTCCAATTGTTGTACATCCAAAAAATTAAGATAGTGGTTGTTTTGTTTTACCTTTGTTGTAGAATTCACAGTCAAAGGCTGCAGAAAAAGAAAGTAAACAGAGAAATTATCAAGGAGAGAACATAATTACAATATGTTCATTTTCTGAAGATCAAACAGGTATAGAAGTTTTTAAAGAAACACACTTCAATTTACCAAATGCTAAAAGACTATCATTCACTTTCTTTAATTTTTTGCCTTTATATACATTCAATACAAATATCAGTGTAAGGGGGCAAAAAATGTCTTAAAATGTGCTGGTTCACTTAACATAAGTGAAAAGCAGCTAAAGTTCAAAGAGTGCCTGCATATCTTTGCATGATAAAAGGTGATAACAAATAGCTCTGGCTGCTTGGAAGGAGAAGATAATGGGATAGTTCAAGACGTCAGAAATTATGTTAATCTTCAGACATCTATCACATAGAAACATAAAAAAATACTGTTGGGAAAGCGTTTCCGTACGGCAGAGAGACGGTGAGCGCCAGTCAACAGGGATGCCCTCATGGCAGCATCTTTGAGCGTAAGCCGCCACACTGGTGCAGAAACACTCGCAGTCACCCCCGCGGCTGCAGGCGCATGTATCAGCAAGGCAGTTCATGTAGAACCAGGTAACATCCACCTGAACATAAACAGAATGCAAATTTTGCTGAACAAAAGTGTAGTTAAATATTGATTATTTTGTGTTTCCAAATAACAGGACTAGATTTGTAGTATTGATTATCTTTTTAAAACTCCTCCTAAGCAGCTTTCTGTCAAGCTCGACTGCAGTTCAAGGAGACAATAAAACACAAGAGGAACATAGAAGCACTGATCCATAAATACAGTACTTTCTTTAAACAACATTTTTTAAGCTCTGTTGATCTTTATTTTTGTTATCTTCTGAAAGTAGGTAGACAGGAAATGGGACTAGAGAGAGGTAGAAGAGATGCAGCAAAGTAAAACCAGCCCATGACTTGAACCTGTGATGGCCACATCCAGGACCAAAGACTCTGTACATGTGTTGCGTACTTATGCCCCTGCACTACCGCCGCTATGCCCTCCATAAATACTTTCTATGCTAGAAAATGTAACAGTAAACTAGATCCATTTTGTAGGTGGTTAAGCAGATAAGCTCTAAGCCAGTTTTCATGTCAAAAGGGATGAAAGAGGGCACATATAGTTATTCACGGTAAAAGGCTCACATTAACCATATGAACTAGTTCTCAGGCTTCTCCTCATAATTGTTTTATAATGCACTCTGATCTTGTTTGGGAATCATTGCAATTAAATTTCTACTGAGGTGTTAGGAGCAACCTGGTTGCTTTATTTAGCATCCCAAAGCTTATCTGCATAGTTCGGTCTGGTGTATCTCATTTTCCTCTCTAGAACATATGCCATAGGTTTATTATGGGTTTAAGGTCAGTCGGGTTTGTTGCAAACGCAGTGCCTCTACAGTGTTTGAACAAGTTTTTGGTACTTTCGGTAGAAAAGGGGGGGGGCCGAGTTTTGCTGCATAATAAATAAAGCAAAAGAGGGAAGCATCAAGTGCTCTAACATTTATTAACAGAAAGCTGTGCTGACTGTGGACTTCAGAAAACCCAGTAAGCCAACACCCACCAGCAGCAGACATGGTAATCCAAATAATCCCATACTGGGGAAACTTCATACTTCACTTTAGAGAACATGGATTCTAAGCCTTTCCTCTCTACCTTCAGACTCCGAGATTTTACAAAATGTAAGACAACAATTTCTTTCATCTGAAGAGAGCTTCAGACCTCTAAGAAGCATTCAAATCAATTTAAAGGATCATTCTTATGATTGTGTAGGTTGAAAAAATATATAATTTCCATAAAAACAATCCTTTTTTTTAGGTTTTAATTAATATCCCAACTATCTAAGAAACTGAGTTTAGAGGTTTTATTAAATATAAGCAATAATGATCACATTTAAAATAAACTACCTGAAATATTTTTCTTATTGTTAGGTAAATCTACATATTAGTATAACTACGCTAACTTAATTACTAAAATACTATGTTTATACTGTTTAATCTGATCAAATCAGGGCTGTTGTGGTCCCACTCCTCACCACTGGGTGGCAGGTCTGAAAGACCTCACTGAGCAGGATGGAACACTGGCGCTTTGCAAATGGTTCTCTGAGAGGACTGAGGCTGCAGGGGTGTCTGATGTCTGGACTGTTCACACACTAAAGACACAAACACACAGAGAAAGAGGTTATTTAATCTTTGAGTAAAATTCACAATAATAAAATATCAATGTTATTGTCTTGTAAATGTCAACAAAAATGCTCTGGAAATAGTGAGTTTTCATGTCTCCATAAGATGTACCCATTTAAAAAAAGGCGAATTTAAGCATTTAAAAAGCATTGGGGTTGATTGATAAAACTCTAGGTGTCTCATCTTTGAAATATAAATCATGTAGAGGATGCTCCCTTCACCTCTGTTGCTGTCCAGCTGTTTCCGAACTCCTGTGGTGTTGGAGAGTCAATGTTATCAGGCGTCCGCATCTCGTTCACCGTCTTCAGGTCAAAGTTCCCACACAGGCCACTTAGTTTCCCCTAAAAACATCATGTTGTCTTAATTATCTGTTTCCTTACATTTTTATAATGAGCTTATAAAAGTCTCTGCACAGAATGCAGTAGTTTAGCACTTAGAAGTACGCAGCTCTTACTTTCTTTAACTAAATCATGTATTACAGTGTCTCACCACCAATGGCAGAACTGAGCTAATTGATGATCCAATTACAGTACAGTGCAAGGGCCTTTTAATGTTTTTCAAGTTGCACCCTAAAAATTATAATTTGTGTATTTTCAATTTCCATAGAGGTTTCATTAGATCAGTCAGAACACAGGAATCTGAGAAGGAAAGAGATTTTTTGAGGATTAGCAAGAAAAAATAGTCAAAACTGAGGTCCTACCTGCCAGTGAGGTCCAACCTGGATGTGAACTGTGGTCTTGCGGTCCCATAAGACCGTCACATCTTCTTCTGGGAAGTGAATTATTGTAAAGTATCCAGCCGGCCAAATAAACATCTGCTGCTTCTTGTCAATCACACTTGATGGATTCTTCATGAGATGGAGAATCCTGTTAACTTACTCATCTTACCATTCAAATATAAAACAATGTAAAAATGGCACTTACTGGCTTCCCAGAATCATCATCAAAAGATATGAAAGATCCTCCCATGTTGATAAGGAGTGTTTTTCTGCAGATCATTCCACTGTCAAAGCAGTCAACGTTCTCAGCCATCACATTCAGCACCACATCAGCGCTGCTCTGTGTATGAGAGGTTACAGCCTTAGTAGCAGCAGAGATCTAAACAACTAAGACATTCATCAAAAATAAGAAATTAAAACACAGGGAAGTTAGATTTCTTTAAGTTTGAAAAGATTCATTTTTTTTTCTATTTTTCTGCAGACCGTCCATTAAGGAAGTTTATGTCTTCGACCATCCATCAAGTCCCTCAGAGTCTGGCATTTCTGGTCTTAGATAATTAAGATGTGACCTGACTGCATTTATTTTCCATGTCACCTTAGTCCAAGTTCTTGTAGGAGCACTTTAAGGATCCATTATAAAATATGGTGTTTAAGGAGGGAAATTTCTTAAATATGAAGGACATCACCTCTAAAGATCTGGACTTACCCACCTATGAACCAAAGCCAAAGAACATCTTCTTCAAATATCTTGGCAGTTTGAATGCCTGGTTAAAACCCAAAAGACATCCTTATTGTCACTTTAGGAGCCATCAGTTATCTCCCTCATCTCTTTAGCGAGAGGTCATCTCTTTCAAAGCTGGCAAGAAAAACATATCACGCCATCTTCCTGCAAAGTTATGATGAAGTGGGCATTCACCTAAATAGACAGGTTGTGAATAGGGATGGGTAAAAAAATCGATTTAATCGATTTTGGACTGATTCCTTTACATTTTTGCAAAATCGACGTGTAGGGAATGGGATCGATTAGTTTTGTAGTGAAGCGGAATGCTGACCAAAGTAACACACCGCTCAGCAAGCTGTCCAAACTGAAATCTGATGTCTGGAACCATTTTGGATTTAAAACAGCTAAAGATAATTTGCTGGATATGTGACATAAGGGTGACTTCCCGCTAGATTGATAATGAGTGGCGCCTCACATCTCGTGCTACAGACCACTAAGATTACTTCAAACCAGACAGCTGCAGATATAGCCAATAGGCTGACTGAAGACATTGATAAATTGGGGTCGACTAACCAGCAAGCACCCTGTAGTTGTTAAAGACAATGTTGCAAATATGGTTTGTGCAGTCAAGATAATGCAGCTCATGCATGTCTGCTGTGTCCCCGCTGTGTCATGTCTGCTTTCTCGTGTGTGGCTTTGTTTTTTCACTTTTCACAAACAAGTTTGTAATTTTAAGACAGTGTTGTTTACATTGCAAGTTTAAACTGTCTGATTTACAAGATTGCACTTTTTGTTTAATATGACAGGAAAAAATAAAATACATGAGCATTTTGAAACACAGCTGAACCACTTTCTTTATTGTAAAAACAGATCGAATCAGTCGAAATTACCGTAATCGACTTAGAACTGTATGAATCAAAATCGAATTGAGGACCTTGGCGAAAATACCCAGCCCTAGTGGTGAAAGTAAAGCATTTCCACAGCAAATAAGCTAATGGATGTGCTCTGGTCAAATGATGCCAGTTTTCTTTATTCATTTTCTATGAGCCTACATGCAAAACACTGTGAAATGGAAAACTAGCAGCATGTCATACCCACACAGTTCCCACAGAAAAGCATGCTGGTCCCACAGTTATACTGTGAGGAGGTCTTTGTTGTGCAGAGGAAGTTAACAGGTATAAGGATGAAGCTAAGTACAGAACTATCCTGAAGGTTAACCTGCTTGAAGCAGCTAAACAAGACTACAGTGAGGGTTAAGAACAATAACAATAATAACTTAATTTGTATTGAGATTTAATTTAAACATGAATTAAAATAGAAATAAATTGCTTTACTGAATTTACCTTAACCAAATAAACTTTGCAGGCACCGACATAGTCAAACAGCAGTCCGTCAAATGTCCTGTAGTGGCGATCGCCATAAGACGCGCACATGGATGGACATGGGCGAAACAAACACTGGAACGTTCCATGTTGGCAAACACTACAAAGACAGAAAAAAGGTTTAATGGTTTAACAGAAAATTGTTGCCACTTTGCGCAGAAACTTTTTTATCTAACATTTGTGAAGACCCTGGTTTATTGAAGGCAGAAAAGTGCTTGTAAATTGGCCAAGGCCAGATTGCCACTCATGTGCCATTAAGCTGTCAGCTACATCATCTTTGCTGGCTGTAACTTAAAGGAGAAGGATGGAAGGATAACTGAGATCAGGGGGAGGTTTCTTTCACCACCCATGAACAGTTTGAAACAGATGCAATCAGAGACATGTACAAGGGCCCTCTCTGTTGTCAGCGCCTTTCAAGGCCTTTTTTCTGCTTCGTGATAACAGAGAATTACACATATCAGATGGCAACTTTTGCTACCCTGACAGTCTCAGGACTCTGTAGTTCCAGGCCAAGTCTTCTCTATAAAATGTTGGCGATTTGACTTCATTTCCGAGATAATTCTTCAGCAGAGGAACACAAATTTATGATAAACTGGAAAATGACAATCTAGTCAATTTAGAAAAATAATGTAAGCCTCAATAATAAGAATTAAACTTTATTGATCTCACATTAGAGAAATTTACCTCAGCATTTAACGCATCCCCTTGGGGAGCAGTGGGCTGCCATCATGGGGCACCCGCGGAGCAGAGTAGCAGTCTGTGGGAGTGGGTTTTGAACTCACAACCTCAGCATTTCAAGCTCTATGCCCTAACCACTAGGCCACCCCTCCCGTTGCTATAATTACACAGATAAAATGGGAATCATATTATTCATAATGACATCATATGTGTGAACCTACCATTGATAGCAGGGGGAGGAAACTCTGTCACCAGGGAAATATTCTTTTCCTTTCCACAGACAGGGGCAAGCATCAGGCTCAAAGCACTCATCCCCATGTTTTAGTAACCTGGATGAGAAAAAAAAAACCATGTGATCAGGAATTCTTGTTTTAGGATAAATCAAGGAAACATTTCCCTCACAGTGCATTACAAACAAATAACTTCCATATCTTGCGTAAAGTGGGGGGTGGGATTAAATGCTAACCTCGCTTATGTTAAAACATGGTAAAGAGCATGTTCCTGATCTGTCTGTTCTTCCACCTACATGGAACTGGATCATAGGACCATCAGGTGCCTTTGTATTACCTTTATCATAATTACCTCCTGCAGCTCAATCAAGGGGAAAGTTTCCCCCAAAGAAAGTGACAAGCGAGGTCTCTTCACTGAAGGCTCGAGCCACTCGTGGAATATCTCCAAAACTCTCCATTTCCAATTCTACTGTAAACTTTAAGGCCCACACCTAAGGATGAACCTGCCCTCTCTACAGAGGATGCTTATTCCCACTGTTAGTGTTTAATATCCCATTCTTTTCATTATTGCAGCTCAAAATCAGCCTATAAATCTCCCAGTTCCTCTACCCTCATTCTTGACCAGACCATGGGATACTTAAACTCCAGCAAGTGCCATTGCCTCATTTCCAACCTGCAGTTTTCCAATTCAGGACTTGCCTCAGTCCTTTCTAGAGATAGGAATTCAAAGACATAAAGAGAGATGGAAATACAATCTGAGACCTTCTGAAGAAGTGTGTCTGAGGAAATTCTATACATAATTAAATTCAAATAATTACACTGGCAAACTAAAAACTAGGTCAGGCAAGCTTATTTATATAGCACATTTAGTTGGCATGAAAATTCAAAGTGCTGTTCACGAAAAAAAAACAAAGAAAAAGAACAGTATATGCATTGGATCTAGAGACAAAAGTGACACACAAATACAGTAGGATAATATAAATGATATATGATAGAAAACACATTTTTGAAGAGATTACTATACCCAAATTTCGAGCTATAAGCTAACTTTTGAATGCTCCTTTTTTGGTCAAAAAAGTATTACTTAGGTTTTCTCTTGATTCAGCTGACAATAATTTTGGCGCATCAATACATTGATTTTTATCAAGCACCTTCATAGGTACATAGTCACCTGATGACATCTTAATGTTCAGCTATGTGTACTCTGCATATCTATGGTAAGTTTTGTTGTTATTTATTCATGGTCACTTTTGTTGTTTATCATTGTCAGAGTCAGGGGGGCTAAGATGGAGAACACTAAAAATCTGGTGATTTCTGTGGTCTCTTATTTAAACCTACTGTCCCTTTTGACAAGGAAAAAGAAAGCTTCTTTACTTCAACTAGAATTTAAACTTGTCCAGTGCTGTACCAGAAATGCGACCCAGTTTTTAAACCACACCAAGAAAATGGAGTGATAAACGGGATTGAATGTTGTAATACCAGCGCTGTGGTTCTTCCACAGTCTGTATTTATATGGATGTCAATGAACACCTTGACAAGGGCAGTTTTAAATCAGTAAAAAAGTTACCTAGAGTGTGTGGTGTTTATAGACCAAAGGGAACTATGGTGGCTGGTTTTGGATAATCAGGTCTCATCTTAGTTCTATGCAGATGATCTAGTTGTGTTGGCATTTTTGTGACATTTTCAGTTGTGTGCTGGATTGGTATAGTGGGTTAAGATTCTGGTGAATAGGGAGAGTCTTTCTCTTAAACAGAGAAGTTTAAATGTCTTGTTGTCTCACTCTCAAAGATGATAGGGTAGAGTGCAAGATGGAAAGAGGTGATCAGGGCTTCGTCTGAGAACATATAAATGGGTACCAAACCGTTAAAAAACGTTTGATTTTTTTTCCCTCACCTGTGTTAATAGCATAGTGATTTGACTATAATAACTATTTTCTAAAAACAAGTGGGTGAAATGAGGACTTTGTATCAGTGCTCTAAAATGTTTATTACACGATGAGCTCCATTAAACAACATAAGACTGGTGTGAGTTGATTTGCATCAAAAGAGAGATGAGGTGGTTCAGAGTATTTATCAGGATGACTCTCTTAGGTACATTCTACTTGGGGGAAATCATAAAGCAGATAGAGAGAATTGAGGCTGCTTTTGATCCTCCAAGTTTGCTGGAACATGTCACTGAAGAGAGGGGTCCATGTCTTTCCTTCTTGAAAAGGTTACCTCAGTGACCTTACATATATTAAGTAAGGGGAAGGCAATGAATGAGTATATAAATTCTATTTTTGATTTATTGGTCTATGATCTCCAAATCTGAAAAATAAAAAGCAGACAAAAACAAAACAAAAACAGATATAAAAAAAAAATAAAAAATAAACCCAATCATTTAATCCTAAAGAAAAGTTAGTTATTTCTTTCCAGGATAGAAATGGGCAAAGGGAGCAAATTTTAAAGGTGGGCAACTGTGAATTAAAGGAATTTACACTCCTGTACATGAAAAAAAAAAAAAAAAAAAAAACAGAAAATTGGGATTCACAGAAATAGAAAAAGAAAAAGTCTGGATACCTGCATTTGCTTTACTACTCTCTGAACTACCAAACAGATAAGAATCTTGTTATATGCAGAGCTGAGCTACATCTACTGGCAGGGCACCGGACAGTGAAGTCACATAGTGAATGGTGCCGCCATAAACCTCAGGTTCATCTGAGTAGAGTTACACGACAGATAAAACGCTGTTAACAGCTTCCTTTATCTGCATGCCAAGTGTCTGTATCGATTACTCTGATCAAAGATCCTGCAATCACTTATCCTTCTGACCTACAAACTTGTTGCAAATAACTGACAATGTGCATTGTTCTGTGATAGTTTCAAAGACAATGAGGATGATGGTACTGTTCAACTGAAAGAAAAAGAGCAAGCAAATTCCCAAAACAGTTCAGCTGAGTTATTCTGCTGCACGCCTGAACTCCAAAAGTTCAACACTAGGCTCAAAAACCTCACCCCTAATTCAGCTATCTGTGTTAATACAATATATGTACTGTTTTCTATTTTTTCTTTAACTTCATTATAAATACGTGTCCATAAACTTGTATGTGCATCTTTATTCAGCACCCCCTGGAATAAATACCTAAATATGTAATGCTAAGTCAGATTCATTGACGAACATCTGTAATCATCACTCATAATCCTTGCCACACATTTTCAATTGGATTTAGATCTAGATTATCATTGTAATATTGTAGCACATTAAAATACTTTGATCTGAACAAATTCATTAATTCTGGCTGTATGTTAAAACATTTTAACATATTCCTTTAGCCCACCATAAAGGACATTTTTGTGTGTAAAAGCAGTGGCAAAGTTTTCCAGAGAATCTTAATCCAATCATTGATGTTCATGTCTGTTTTATTATCTTTTTATTTCTGCAAATTTTCCAACAGTTGCCTTGGCTTAAAAAAATCTAGATCCACCTTTAAAGGGTTGGGAAGGAGCATCTATTAGTTATTTTATTTTACAGATTTTTTTTTTTCAGATGACATTACTTAAAGACATTATTATCTGCTTGTAAACATATGTTTTGCATTTCCCACCTTCTGATTTTCTCAGTTTTAGGGAAACCCTGGACAGTCTGCTGTCATAGTCAGGTAGCCTGCTTGCTACAAATCTTTAAAAATTGTCAGAAATAATAAATAAATCAAAAACTCTGCAATTTAAAAAGGTGGAAGAAACCGTTAAAGATGATCATGGAGTCTGGAGAATTACTGATCCAGTATGGTTAAAAATATCTGTAAAAAATCCAGTTGTTTGGACACAAAATGTGAAGCCTCTGGAGGGGCCTTTAAACCTTTGCACAGCATCATGTGTACATATAAACTGTAATCTGAAACCATATTCCAGGAAAGTGCAGACTTCAGTTTTGGACCTAAAAGTTCAGGTTTATATGAACTCAGCTGACACAGAACGGAGTAATGAATGCTCGACATTTTGATCATAAACAAAGTGCTCCTTGTGAAAGAAAAAATACAATGGAGTCCTCAGTCAACACCACAGCTAATTATTTCCCATTAGAGGTTTAAAAGTTCTGCTGCAGATAAATACCAAAAAGTTCAGTTGTTTTTTTTTTTTCGTTTTTTTTTTTTGTGTGTGTTTTGTTTTTTAAATACTTTAGTCTGAAAAGAGATACACTGAACAGCTTTTCTGTGTGAATTTTCTATGCTCTCCCCAGTGGCTTTCTTTGGTTGCATTTTCATGTCTTTCACATAAGCTGATGAAGCCAGGCTCAGCGCAGATCAGTTTTTGTTTTCTTATTTTATAATAAATAATTAGAGCTTCTAGGCAAACTGGTTACAGGTCAATTATAGTGTTTATTTGTTAGGATGCTCCATTAATTACCCAGCAGGTTTGCAACTAGTCCTCTTGGGGTCCATCACCAGAATGAAAACATAAAAGGGTTAAAGAAAAAAATAGTAATTAAGAAAAAGTGATTTGAAAAAAAAGTTTTCAGAATGACTTTAAAACATCTGAAATAATGGGTCCTTTTTCTAAACTGAAGCCACTGACCAGCAGCTCTATAATGTATAACACTGTCCTCTGCATCGCACAGGCTTTCGCTGTTGGAACTATTTTGTGATCAGTTGCTTGTTGCCTTGTAGAGTAACTGTGCCTTTAATAAACATAGATAATGTTACAATACAAAGACTTATACTTCATCTTTGTACAAATATCATTACAAAAAGATGAGATGATTTATCAATAAACTTTTCTCAACAGATAGCCAAGAGAGAGTTTGATGCATACAGTAAATGCTGGTCCATGGTGGACAACGAAAGGGATAGTCGCACAGCTTTGTTCAGCAACATTTGAAGCTATTTTTCTTTGGAGCACAAGACCATATGGCGGAACAATAACCAAGGGGAGATAATACTAATGATATTAAAACTAGTTTTATTGAAAAGCTCTCATAAACTTGACAGTGCGCCTTTTCTAAGAGATAGCCCTACCCATTTTGCTTACTAACTTCTCAATATGACAAGACCAGTTCAATTGTTAAACCTAAAAGCTCAACCTTCTGCACCTGTTACAGAGGTTTGCTTTTCAAATTTAGTGAACATTACTTAATGAATAATTTGAACCAAGACTTAAACTTTTTGTGTGAATGATATTTAAAACAAGCCTATTATTGTCTACCCATCTAAAAAACCCTGTCTATTTCTTTTTGCTAAAATTATCAAACTCTGAAAGACAAGAGGAAGATCATTTGTGAAAATAGAAAAAAGCAGAGGACCAAGGAAACTGCTTCGTCGAACCATAATCTAGTCCCCTGATGGTAGAAAATTTGCAATCAAAATACACAGACTGATATCTGTTAGTGAAATAGCTCTTCTTCCTTCTACTGCACATTCTGTAAACTTGTGGTGGGCGGTCTGTGCCTTCAAAGCCTTCCCTGCTGGACTGAAATCTATCAGAAACACTAACCTACATTCTTAATCTAAACTTGAATTTCTTCTATACAGCTTTTATAATTTATTCCAAACAATCAATTCTTTTTATTTCACGGCCTTACATTTATGTGGTTGCTATATTTTTCCAATCACATTTCAGAGTCAGTGTGCTGCTATGTCTATTTAATATCTTCAGACTCTGCAGTGCTGACTGTTGTTACCTTAGTAATATTAGTGAGGGACATTTTCCTCAACCAATTATATTTCAGATTTGCCCCACAGGGCCAAGTAACAGGACCGTTTCAGCCCAGACAACATATGCATTCCCCCAGCTCCAGTTATTAAAGATTCAGTGTGGATCTAGGAACCTTTGGCAAGCTCTTGTTTCTGATACAACAGGTACCTAATGGTGTATCTTATCATAATTAAGAGTAATTAATTAGAAACACTTTAATGCATAAAAATAATTAAGGCAATTAATTACAATTATACTAACAGACCGGAATTGAAGACTGTTTTAATTCATTAAATCAATGTACGATTACAATAATTTATCTTTAGATTTTATTAAACTTAACAGTAGGCTATTGGAAAACTGCACCTGATAAACTGTTCCATTGCAGTTTCTATCTTGCAATATAATTTCTTTAATCAGTTCAATTGAGTTATTACTATTCCTAGCAACATAGAGTTTGTCAAATATATCTTTTAGTATTTGATTTACTTTGTCAGTAAAAAAGGCATTGAAATTGTTGGTTATTTTCAAAGGCTTAGCTAGATTTCAATTTCAATAATGGCTGAGACATCGTTATAAGATCAACCAAGTATGTTATTATTAAACACTGTGCAATGCTCTGTTTGGACCGACAGATCAAAAATTTTTTAGTAGCAATCTTATTAGTTTCCTGGCACCACCCCAGCTTTTGAAAATATTTGATTGATTTTCCTCATGGTTGAGGTTAGGCCAAAAGTCAAGCTTCGAGTTGGTCTACTTCATCCATTACAAAACCTGCTTTTATGGCCTGTAAATGGCCTGTACTTATGTATAACTTTTTCAGGAGACCTGACCAAAGCACTTTAAACTACATTCAGTCATTTACCCATTCACAACAACATTGAAAGCCAAAGCCAGGGCTTGGACCAGCAACCCTGCGGTTGAAAGGCAAACTCCTTCATCCAAGGCCACTGTCACCTTGTGTCAAACTATTTATGTAGGTTATGAATTAAAATCCACCTCAAACCTCTTTTAAAACTTTAAAGGAGCTTCTGCTTTCTTAGTTGCTGACATTCATCTCAGAGTGACAGGTTGGATATTGTACCTGAACTTGGCAGAGTGATGCAATATCTGAGCTTATTGTAGTTCAGTATAAATAATCATGAATATTTCAGATCTTTATACATTGTTCCATAAGACATCCCAAGTTGTATAAATCTGTAGGTTCCCCAAAATTAAAACCTATTAGTTTTACAATAAGTCACCAACGAGGTGTTAATTGGCATTTGCCTTGTCACGTTAAAGAATCTTGAGCTCCAAATATTGTAGATTTACCAAAGGGCATGTGTACATTTAACAAGTTATGCAAGCAGTTTTGAATAAATTTGCATAATAAATGTAACTGAAAGGCACGATTCTTGCTTTTGATAATTCCAGTCGTGTGTCATGTGATCATATTGCACAAGATAAAAAAATAATAGGTCAATGATGCTCATGATGTGTAGATTCAAACTTCTGCTAAATAAAAGTACAAAACCAAACTTTAAGTAGAGTTATAAATCTTAAAATTATCTTTGATCGCCTTTGCTTGCACAATTAAACACATGGCCATACTGGTCAGACTGATGATTCAGGTTGAGTTGACCTCCCAAACTTTAAAGAGTGCCTTCATTAGACCTACATCATCACTGTCCATCAATGAGATGCCTTTGTGTCCATATTTCCCACTAAACCTGTTCCCTCTCAGGTTTCAGGGAGTTATTAACTGTTCTTATCAAGCACTCAACATCAGATCCAGAGTTTGATGTCATCATTAAGGTCATCCTGCTTTTCTGGCGAACAGAAACAAGTGAGTCACTCCAGTGGGGTTTCAGGTTCTGGATGACTTATGAAGCATCCCTGATGTTTTTACAGTGTCTTATTGTTTTTCCATGTTTATAAGAAAATAGGTATCAAAGGTCTGCTTTTAGTTTATAAAACACTTAATGCTCTACAGCCGAAATACATTTCAGAGTTGCTTGTAGAGAGTGACCAAAGAAGAAGCACCAGGTGTTCAGATACATGCTAACACAGTGTTCTCCGGACCAGAACTAAACAAGATAGAACGAGGCAGAATTTGATCTTTAAGATCTTAAACTCTGATAAAAAAAAATTTACTGAAAACGTGACATGTGCACAAATTTTAGATGCATTTTAATCAGTACTGAAAACCATTATGCTTAATGCCTTTGATTAAACAATCAGATTTATGATTTTATAAAATCCTTTATATAATGCTTTTATCCTAATGGTGTGATGTTGTCTTGCTTTTTGATATCCTACAGTATAAAGCATTTTGCATTGGCTTGTTGGTAACCTGGAGTTATTGCATTTTTATATGATGTAGTGTTTAATGACAATCTTGCATTTTATTTTATTTAAGTTTGAATACAGAAAATTAAAGCCATCTTTTATGCAGCAATGGTCAAATGTCATTAAGCTTGATCCAAAATCAAGATGCCAAACCATCAAGATCTTCCTCCATTTCTGTCACAGATTTTTTTAAATGCTGCTGACCTTTAATTAATTATTAAAAGAAACCTATCTTGCGGGACATGGAACAAGGGATGAAGGGCCTAAATAAACAGTGAAACTATGCATTAAAAATAATTCTCCAGATTTTCACCTCACTGAGAACCTCTAAACAATTCTCTACTTTTTTATTTTGAAAATAGAGATAGAGAATCCTAGGCCTGGTTTGCAATCTGATTCAACAAAATTGAAAATAAGAATAAATTGGTATTTCATGAGCTTCCATACACAAACACAATGAGCCACTACTCACCCAGGGGGGCAGGTACATCCAGAGACACAGGGCTCGTGTGCAGAGCAGGTGATGTTGAGCAGGAATGACTCACAGGTGCGCTCACAGGCTAAGCCCCTTCCTGGCATGAGGTTGTTCTGCTCATCTGTGCAGTTCAGATAGAGTTGACCCGGTGGGCACAGCCTGTCTGCAGGGAGTTAGGTGGAAAATAAAGAAAATGTGATCAAACAAATCCAAACACTTAAGTTAGGCACAAGAAAGCTTAATCTGGATAAGAATCATCTTACCAGATTCTGTAGTTTGGGACACCAGTTTACCATTAAGACAAAGCCTGTGGGGGATCATTAAGTTATATGATCAGCAAATATTATCATCATACATGTTGAGCGTTATTTCCTGCACACTATAATATTAGGCATTTCCAAAATGAAACCCAGCACAATGCATTTGCCAGTTACAAAATACAAATGTGCTCAAATGCAATTATTTCCCCTATAGCATAGCATACATTTATGGTATTTATGGATTTAAATGACAACTTAATGCACAATTGTGATTGTCTTTTCAGATACTTAAGGAATCTAAAACTTCACAAAGATCTTCATCCATCAGGCTGCCAAGTCCTTTTAATAAAAATATCAGCAGTATAGAAAAACACATTAAAATCTGTGGCACATTGAGAGAAAGAAATTTTAAAGATCTTACTGAACACCTGCTGATGTCAAAATCACGTCTCCCGGCTCATAGTCTACTCCAAGGAAACTGCAGGGACACTCGCTCCTGATTAAAAAGTATTACAACAACAAAACCTGTTGCTGAACTCAGATCATTGATATGAACAACTGCATTAAAAATTCATGTGTATATACATAAATATACAATAAAAACAACCTAATCTTTCAGACAGAATCAACTTCAGATACACATATAAGTTCAGTTTAATTTAGTCAAGTTTCATTTGTTTTGTCATTTTATTCTGACTGTCCAAGAAAAACCTCAAGTTGAGAACAAAACATAAGCACTTATGCTTTGGTTAAACTGTCCTTACTGTTTGGTACAATTCTGAATTACCCTAGAGTTTGCATTGTCCCAGGCAAGATGCAGTGGATTCTGGATAAGGGGACTTTTCAGGCCATGAAAACAACAGAACCCTGGAGCTGAAGAGGAGAGCTTTGTCTGCTGTCTGGTAATCCTTTGATTTAAGGAAATGTTACTTTGTGCAGTTCATTGTATTATCATCACCACACACCACTGGCGGCCGCCAATAGAGGGCGCAAGGGCACCGCCGCATCCACCCAATGATCTCGATTAAGATATAAAAAAATAAAAATGAAATAAAATAATTTTGAAATATATCAATATATTTTTTAGATGTGAAAGATAGATATTTCATCTTTAATCACAAATAAAGCTGTTTCGTTGTTGGATTGGTAACAATCAATTGGTGGTGGTATTTCCACCCTGGGGTGTAAAAATCTTTGTCCATAGACTCTCATTAAAATTTGTACATGCGCAGTAGTAGGACAATCCTGGGCACAGCTCTCCTGCACCCAGAGCTGCCATAAATGTACTGGTGTGATACCTTCGTATACATTTGATTGGTTATTGGAGAAAACTCCACCAGCCGCCACTTCCACATACCCTTAGAAGTTTTATCATTGTATTAAGTTCCAGTAAAACTGTTTAATGCATAGACTTCTTGGCTGTACTCAGCATTTTATGTTCAACAAGGACTGATGTTCCACCCACCAATTCAAATTTTCTTGGATAGAACTATTTGCATCAATAGACCTCATCTAGTATGGTGAGGTGAAGGTAAAGTAGGGGTTCATCCAGTAATTGGTAGGTTTGAGCCCCTGCTCCGTCACTCTCTACCATTGTGTCCTTTGGAAAGCGCTTCAACCTAATTGCCTGCAGTTGGTGGACAGACGCTTGGTGGACCTGATTGTATGGCAACCTCAATTCTGTCAGTATGCCTCAGGTAACTTTGGTTACAACACAGCTTACCACCATTACCATTTGATTTGATGAATGACTGAATTCAGTGTCAAGAACCAATAAAAAAAGGGCTTCTACCAATTATAAACATGCATATCTACAGAGCACATTTGTTAATTGTGGTGCAAAGGAAAATACAAATAAAAACTGCAGTGGTCATTTTCATTTATGGTAGAATTGCAGAGCCCTTGGGTAAATGTGGCTCTATTCTAGACCATGAAGAATCTGGGGTATATGCAAAGTTTATACATTTTGAATAACTATGTTAAATTGGGCTTTGTGTTACACCAAAGAGCAAATTAAATATAAGTTGGTATTGGGAAGATCGAAGAGATGAGAGCTGGAGGTTTTTGATACATCAAGGAAAAGTGCTTAGAAAAGAAACAAGGTTTGATACAATTTTCAAAGGACAAAACAAATACTTATAGGTGCTGTATCCTGTGTTTAACTGTATCAAGCTAAAAGCAATATAGGCCAGCACCTCACATCAGCCTCTCCACTGCAAAGTCTTTCTCACTGGTTATCAAATATCTGTGTCGTCCACAGCCCGACTGGTAATGAAAAGGGGGTTTCAGGGTGAATTCCTAGATGTAACTCTATCACATGGTAAGTAAGGCACCGTGTTGCACTGGGATGTAAAAACCTGGGACATTTAAGAGGAATTAAGCTGTGAGTCTTCAAGGGTGGAGGCGGAGCACACTGAAAGGAAGAGGACAACTATGGGGTTCCTCAAGCTCTACAAGGATTTTCACTTAACAACTGACCCCAGATTCAGAGCAGATACAAATATCACTCTGAGAGGATTTGTGTGGTGGACTGTTTCCAGGTGAACATCTATCTGCACGAAAAAATAAAAAAACTAACTGCAAATAAGGCTAGAGCTGCTCAAATATGCAACGAAAAGGCAAAGACTCCAACTTACTCCTGAGTGAACATCAAAACGATAATGTCTTTTGAAAAGATGATCAAACAATAAAAGAGATCAGACAGAAACTTTGGTGTAAGGTCTTACTTGTGCACACAGGTGTGAGTTTGGTGGTTGTAAAAGGACCCCTGGGGGCAGACACAGCCCTCCTCACAGTACTCCCCACAGTGCTGCGGGACAGAGAGGGAGGAGCAGCGCCGCTGGCAGGAGGACACACAGGTGCCGTACTGCATTGTGGTAGGACAAGTGACAGCTGGGAGAAAAAAAAGGTTTTTAATACAACGCTAATGTGTTGCTGTAAAGTGAAAACATCAAAAAAGAGACATGATATCTTGGCTGGATTCTCACCGCAGTCCGATATGTGTGATCGAAAGTCGATAATAACAGAGAATCTCCGACAATGCCGGGCATAGTGAGCCAAAGCGGAACATAGGCAGGGCGTCCCACACTGACAGGTGTCTGCTCGGCATTGCTGGTAGAAAGGTGTCGGGCTGAGGTATTCGTGACAGGCGGAGAATAGATCTTGATTAAGAATGTCACACATTTCTGAGGCGTAGGTCACTGGGCATTGGTGAAAACACAGGGACAATGTTAAGTTTTTCACTAATGCAAGTCTCTCAGGAACAAGATTTAAGGTCAAAAACATATGTACAGTTGAGTTATTACTGCATGTAACTGAGTGAATTAAAAGGGAAGAATGGAAGAAGAAGACACTGAACTAGTTAGAATCATGAAGCTGAAAGAAGTACTTTAGAAGCATTCAAGGTGGATGGGTTTATGTTTCTTTTGTGTCAATTATCCAAAGTAATACACAAGATGAGGTAGAGTATCAGAAGTGAGAATATCTGAGAAACAGCCAGGGTTGGATTGTGGCCAGGATTGCATGCTTTGGAAAATGCAGAAGACTCTGAGTGTTGTTGGGCTGTCGTTGCTGACTTCAGCATCGCGTGGAGGTCAGGAATAAGGCCCCTGTACTGAGATGCGACTCTGCATAAGAGGAGGAACGGGAGGGGGTGTTTCAACTATACGGGAATAGCTACAGATCACACCTCTCTGTCTTCCCAGGAAGGCATATGCCAGAGTGTTATAAAGGAGAGTCCAGCTGATTCTCAAACCTTGGCTATAGGAGGAGCAGTGAGATTTTTGTCCTTATCATGGAACAGTGGACCAGCTCGACATCCTCTGTAGGTTGCTCAAGGATGCTAAGGAATTTGCGTTTTGCAGACCTGGAGAAGGCATTAAACCGTTTCCCTGATGGCACTCCAAGAGTTCTCTGTGCGACCAGTCTCTGTGAGAGCAGAGCAAGAGTTTGGTCTGTATTGTCGACAATAAGTCGGAATTGTTCCTGGTACATGTTGGACTTTGACAGGGCTGCCCTCTGTCACTGGTCCTGTTCATAACCTTTTTGGACAAGGTTTTTAGGTGCAGCAAAGGGGCCACAAGGGTTCTGGTTTGGGAACCAGCAGATCTCATTCCTGCTATTTGCAGATGATGTGGTGTTGCTGGATCCCCCCTGCAAAGACCTTTAGAATGCACTGCCGGGGTTTGCCGCCTGGTTTGAAGCAGCCAGAATGAGAATCAGCTTCTCCAAGACCATGGTTCTGGACAGGAAAAATGTGGGTAATCCTCCTCAGGTTGGGGGAGAGTTCCTAATTCAAGGGGAGGAGTTCCAAGTATCTTGGGGTCCTGTCCACAAGTGAGGAGAGAATGGACCAGCAGATTGATAGACGGATCGGTGTGGCTACTACCATAATGTGGGGGCTGCACCGGTCTGTTGTGATGAAGAGAGAGCTGAGTGAAAAGGCAAAGCTCTCAAATTTTAGGTCAATCTACATTCCTACCCTCATCTATTGTGATGAAATCTGGATCATGACCTAAAGAACAAGATCCCTGATACTAATGCCAGAAATAAACTTTCTCCACAGGGTGGTTAGGCACTCCCTTAGAGATAGTGTGAGGAGCTCAGCTATTTAGGAGAGTCTTGGAGTAGAGCTCCTCCACATGGAGAGGAGTCAGCCTAGGTGGCTCAGACATATTTTTTGGATGCTCCCTGGATGCCTCCTTCATGCCCTGGGCCTTCTTCTCCGAAGAAGGCCCAGGGCATGAACCGGTCGCGGATAAAAAGGAAGACAGCAGGTAGGATTATGAGGAAAATGGAGAGGAAAAATAGAGGATATGAGGTAAGACTTCTACTTGGAGCAAATAAACTCAAGTGTTGCATTTTCAGTAATGTTAACTGTTTTAACAACCTCTATCATTGAACTATTAAAAATAATCATGTGACTTTTTCATGGCAACAGATTAAGAGGATTTTCAAATGTTCATGCAAATTAACCTTTTCAAAAATAAAATACTCCAATGTACAGTAATTATTTGGAGAATGTCTATTATTGAAGACCATAACAAGTTGTGTATGGGGACATAAGCAAACATAAAAACTCAATAAAAAGAAGAATTTAGAAAATCTGCTATGCCACTGACGAAAAAATATTGATCAAGCATCACATTCTCAATACTGTCTGAAGTCTATATTTTATTTGTCTTTATAACACAATGAAAGGGTCAAAATAGAAATATGGAATTCTATATTTAACAAAAAGCCCAGTTGCTCAAAAGAAACAATAAGAGAAAAAAAAGAGAAAAAAACAAACCAGCCTGTTGGTGAGTGTCACAGGGGTCTATCTGAGGTGTACTCAGGCTCATTGAACAGGCTGATGACACCTTCCAGGAATTTCCAAAAAGATGAGGCGAGCTTTCAATCATTCCTGATGGAGATCTACAGAGAAACCAGGAGGCATCATGAGATACTGTATGGTCAAACCTTAAAACAAAACTGTCATGTGTTGGTGATCCAATGGTACCACAATCTTTCACTAACTAGTTTTTGTTGTTTTTGGTTTTTTTGGAAGACATACAACAATTTAAATGACCGTACTCATGAATCAATACTCAGAGCACTTAGAAGTCTTTTGGATAAATTTTCAAACCATCATACATTCTAAGAAAATCCTTAGCAAAATAAATAGAAAAATGTTTTCCTTATGTGAATATAAATACAGTAGGTTATGACCTTCTAAAGCAAACCCAGGAACCAACAAGACTACAGCCTGCAATATATTGGAAGACCTCTAATAGTTCAGTGTATTCTCATTATGAGTTCGTATGAAATCGTACGAAAAGTTACGCACCATAATTTCGTACGTTTTGGACGGTTTTTTCATCGTATGCTCATGCGCATCAGTTGCACCATTCACGAATATAGAATATAAATTACAATTAGCCCTAACCCTGACCCTAACCCTAAGATATAAAACAGCAAGCAACGTAGTTAGAGACATGAATAACTGATGATTGCACTGTTTTTCCCAGTTTTACGTCCGTCCGTGTATCTGCTTTTTTTTTCTGTCTGCCAGCGCATACGCACTGATGTGGTTTTTTGAGGAAAAACGTCCAAAACGTACGAAATAGTGTGCATAACTTTTCGTACGATTTCATACGAACTGATAATGAGAATATGTTGAATAGTTTACTATGCGGTTAGTTTTGCATTAGAATTGAGAGATAGCGTAACAGTCGTAAAAAAAAAGAAGTTGTAATTAAAAACAATGTAATACAGCTCAGATTAACAGACAACTTCCTTTCAGGATAAAGTCAGGCTGAGCAGCATTTCGTTCACCACAACAACAATCTTTGTATCTTTGAATGTGAGGATTTACAGCGTGGGTCTCAAACACTAATTCACTACCTTCAAACTATATATTCTTGCTTTAACAGCTAGATAGTTGAAACTTCGCTGAAAACTAACACTGCCCCCAAAACACATCAATTCAAATCAAGTTTCTGATGGAAAACAGACACTAATATAAAGCTTCTACAAGGGCCATTCAAAAAGGAGATCTAAAATATTTGGAATACCTTTAAAAGCCAAAGGCATTGCAGAACACAGCAATAAGAATCCATTCTACTAGTCAATCTAGAACAGATAAGCTTGTTAATAGCTACAAAATGGGAAGCTGAGACACACCTTACTGATGTCAGCATCCTTGAAACAAAATGATTTCAGTATGATGCCTCTCGCCTATATTCAGAATCTGTTCATATACAAAATATAGTTTTGTCATCCTAACATATCCTCTTTTCATTCACCTCAAGATTATCCAAATGTCTAAAAAACAAACAACAACAACAGGGCTAATTCCCATCAGTAATAGATTTTAACATGAGGCATTTACTTAAACCCAACTCTGATGCCACCTGGGTGCCACCAGGGCCTTCACAACTGATTAACATATTAGTCCCATTTCTATATTTTATTTCTCTTTAAAATTAGATTAGTAGAAAGCAGGTGGTGTATTTTATTCAGACACCAGAGGTGTATATTTTTTTAACTAGGTATAAACAAGAGTTTGTTGAATGTGAGAAGATGGCAGAGGACCTTGGATGGGTAAAAAGTGTATAACAGACATCTGGTTTACTATAGCAGCAAGCAACCACCAGCTTCATCTACCAGCAGTGATGTATATATCCATTTACAACATCCGGCCATTATGGCAGCACAGTGGAGCCCCTTTACCACTAACAGTAAATTCCTTGTTGAAGTGGCATGTCCAGTTGGGCGCTCATCTGGTTGGCCTAAAAAAACTGATCAGAGAGCGAGTCTTTTGATGCGGGGCCGCCCCAAGTCGTGTGCATTACAGAGGGGAAAAGCACTTCACCTGTCTCCCTTCACCTGTAACAGGAGTTGCTCTTAATCGTTAGAAAGGAGGAGGGAGGGGTTAAAGGAAGGCGCAAGAGGGGTCAGGACCACCAAACGCACACTTACAGAAAGTCATCTTGACTGTTGCCGTTGAAAGTGCCGCAAAGCCCCACCATGTTGTCTTTCCACGTCTCGTCAGCCTGTAAGTAGAGACGAAACTCTGTCCAGCTGTACTGCAGATGCAGGCCAAACCCTGTCCGAACCTGGAGGAACATGGATGACAGCTCCTGGATGTGGAAGAAGTCTGTGAGAGAAGGTCGAGGAAGACTTTTAGACTTTTTTAAATCTCATGAACAAAACTCAGAAAAATCTCAACAACTTAGGATCATATATTTTGAGACTGTTCTGTTGCTGAGATTCTGTATTTCTATTTGCCATTAAAAACTCATTAATCAGTACTTAGTTTTTCTTTTACCCTAATAAACCCACTGATATATTGATACCTTTAAGCTGTAATGTAATGTATCAATCATAAGTCAATCTAAAGTCAACTGTCCTATTACTGTACTTCTTAATTTAATCAGTTGCTTATTGTCACCAAGTCAACCATGCCAACAACTATTTGAAAACAACTTGCTTATATGCAAATTTACAGAAAAAAATTATTGTCCTAATTTTTTTTAAATATGCAATTATCATGAGCAAACTGAAACCAAAGTCCTTGCTCATGCAGCAACCTTGATTACAGCTGATTAATTTGTTCCCATTAAATCTCTAGTTTTTTTTTTCTCCCTTTAGTCTCAATTCCCTTTGAATCATAAAAAATGGCAGTACAAGTCAGCGTGAATCTTCTGGATATTCCACCTTTACATTAAAATGTAAAGGTTCCTTTCCACTGTTGCAATGTGTTTGCTCACAATGAGAGATTGCTGCAAAGTCATGGATGAAATGTAACATCTAGACTTAGCTAGATAGATTATTCCCTTTCCTTACATACATTAAAGTGCAAATTTGGAGTTTTGTTTTGATCTAATCAACTGAATTTGTTTATGTTTACATTGAAATGTTTGAAAAAGATTAGATTTTTATTAAAGGCTTTGGGTAAAATAGGAATCTTTATGGATGAAATGGATCTGTTTGTTCTGGATAGGATCATGAGTTGATTCAAAAAAGTTAAAAAACAACTTTTTGGTGCTTTGTTGGGCTACTCTATATAAAACTTAGGATTCAATGCTAATTCAGACATTTTGAATGGATAAAGCTTCCTGAATGGGAAGTGAAACGTCTTCAAAATAGGGAAAAAAGACACCAGTGGTTTGTTTTTGAACTTTTTGAACTTTTTTGGTATGACTTTGACCTGGATGACTGAGAATCTTCACCAGCATTTTTAGTTGATATTTGGAGAAATGTTGAGCAATACAAATAAACAGTATTGAATTAGATTTCAGTATATGACATTTATTGTTGATCTTTATTAATAAACATGTAAAAAGAAAAATAATTCCCATCAAATGGATTTATAATTTTTGATACAAAGACGAAGCTTTGAACAAATTAGTGCAATAAGATTATCATCAAGATCCTGCCCCAGAACATAAAGTATAAATGGTTATTTTATTCATTTGAGTACAAAGTATCAAATGATCCTCACACAGTTTCACATAAAAACACACAAAGGACTATTGATGTGGACATGAAGACGTTGACATGTAATAAGAGCAACACTCAGAGGGACACCACTTTCTGCCCCACAATGCTAATTCTAAGCAGCATCCTATTAGGTAAATATTAATTCAATACACAGCTGTCATTCAATCTGTGTCTAGCATGTCCCACAGAGTGCTGAAAGAAGAAGATTCCAAGATGGGAACAATGCTGGTCAGCGATAAAGGATGAGAGACAGTACCGTCAGAATAGGGCAGTGAGATACGGTACTGCCCAGCCATGAAGACCTCGCCGATGTGACTCAGAGTGATCTCTGTCCTTGGATCCTCGTTAATGACCAGGTTCACTGATTGGATGCAGGCCCCGTCTAAATTCTGCAAACATGACAAAATGGACTATTTTCCCACACAGAAGCAATTCCAGAAACATAAAATGCAAAACTCAGGCTTGGAGTTTTTTGCTAATACAAGGGAAAATGTTTAGACAGAAATATGCAAGTAAAAGTAGGCCACAGAATCATCATTAGGAATTAAAAGAGAAATACTAAGGCAGTTACAAACGATAAATATACATTTAATTTTTTCTGCATTGCAAAAAATGTGTCAATCTAACCATGTCTTACAGTCTTAGATCAAGTCGAAAAGTCTTATTGATCATGTTTTTAGACTGATAGAACAAGCGAGAGCAGATACAGTTAGAACATTATTTCAACTCAAAATCAGTGCAATGATCTGCCAGTGCATTTATACAGTTGTATTCAAATACAACTTCAAGTTTCAAGAATATAAACCATAATTTCATCGAGTTTTTTAATCAAGATCCTATTCAACCTCTAGACAAGGCAACCACAACATGGCAACTTATTGCATTTGATATTTTTTTGTTTTTGCCCACACATTTTAAGGCTCCTTATTTGGATTCCATGGAGATCCGGCTGCACATGTTTTCATTTATATAACCAGCTATGAAAATCAGCACAATTCAAAATAAGTGTTGAACCGATACTGAAACCAGTATCGGGGAAGGGCCCGATCCAGCACTGAAATGGTAGTATCGGTAACGGCGAGTACCGACAAATAGGCCACCATTACCATTTATTTAACTATTGTCACCCATTTCAGGTAGGCAATAAAAAGTTCTGCTGGATTCACTTTGTATTAGGGGTATCGATATGGTATTGGTCAATACTTCACAGGTATCGAGTATCAGTATCGGGCCAAAAAAGTTGTATCAGCACAACACTGTTCAGAATCATAAGGTCAAACCCCAGTGAAAGCTGGAAACTAGTATCAGGCTGTAGTACAGCAGAAATAGAACCACCTTCTAGACACGTGCCTTGCGAAAGTATTGACACCTATTTAACTTGCCTGTAATAGTTCACAACATGGCAACAAACTCTTTTTATTTTAGGATTTTATAAAAACATCATGAAAAATGTTTGCATAATTTCGAAAATATTATGTTAAAAAAGCTTTTTTCAAATCATTTGAAAACTTTGCCTTGCATTTATAGTTAGGACCGTTTATCTTTATACCCCCAAATATAATCTATTGACAACATTCTTGACAGGTCAGGGATAAACTTTTGAATAAGTTTACAACATTTAGGTTCTAAGAATTACTCCAAACCTTAAACATCTAACAGAGCTTTGTTCAAGCAATCATCTAATAGTGAACAGTATGGCACAATAAAAAATTCATCTTAAAATGACTTTCAGGCCAGCTAGGGATGCCATCAATTCGAGAAGCAGCGAAGCCAAAAAAACACCATGAGGATCAACAAACATCATTACATGTTGGTGACACAATCAGTGGGCAGGGATGTTTTAATTTGGTAGGAATTAGATCGCCACTGACTACATGTGTTCGTATCGAATGGGAAAACTGAAGAAGCTTTTTACAAGCAAAGAGTAAAATAGTCAAATTCCTGCCTTGAGTACAGGAGTTAATTTTTATCAAGTGTATCAAACTAAAGCGCAGAAATGAAAGGGAAAGCTCTATGTTTACATTTTAAGATTTCTCTCTCAAATTCTTTCCTGAGAAGAGATCACTCGGAACACTTTAAATAACACTTCATAAGGTTTATGTATTAAATAACCATGAGACAAGACAACATATTTTTTGACAGAAGTTGTAATCTTACTCAGACGAGAGAAATGGCTCGGGTTACAGATGGCGGCGCTTACAAACGGGCTCGCTTCTTCAGAAAGCCAGCCCATCATACCAGTTAAAGAAGCATTTTATAAATTTCCAGTGTCACGCCCTGCCACATCATCAAAGCTGACATCATTACATCATCCACATGTTTTGTACCAGTGGCAGCACCTGCTCCCTGAAACAAGAGAGGCTTAATGTGTTAATGAAATCCAAACGTAATGTAATGTATTAAAAAAAACTTAAAACACATCACTGCAACGGTAAAAATTGTTCAACAAAATTCTTACTAAAGTATCACTTTTTCCTCTCTCATCTGAGTCTCATGAGAAAAACCTCCTTGCTCTCTGTCCACTGTGAGTCAAAAATCCTTTGCCAATCAGCATCGAGCAGCAAGCTTCATGACCCGCCCCTGCTCCATAGACCTCCTAAGAGGCTAGCCTCACTGCAAGGGATGTATTTTTGCATGTTATCCAATTAGGGCCTTCCTTCTTGCTACTTGCCTCAATAGGCTCAATCCTTAATGGAGATTTCTCCAAGATACTAACAGGTAGTGTCCTGGTTCTTCAGAGCAGAAGGCAGATTGCATCCAGTAGCTGGCTCAACAGCTAATTAATGTGCAACATACTCGGGAAATCAAGCATCTTTTAGTGTATATCTATTGCAGTTAAATTACTCAATTTATGGAGTTCACAAATGTGTATTTCACCATTTACTTTATTTAATTTACAGCAGAGGTGTCCTGATCTTGGCACTGATGACTGGATTACTGGTTCATTCCACTCTGGCTTGGATTTCCCTATAGTACCTCTTCTGATCTCTGATCTTCTGGCCTGGACTTCTGCTACCTCATCGACTCCAGCTTTGGCTTCTCGTTCTGTAAACTCCTGCTCTTCCTCATCTGCTGTCTTCTGCTCATCAGTTGGCTCTGCAGCCCTCTTGGTTTTGTCTCCTGGAACTTTCTGTGTAGCGTCCGCCACGTGCTGTGGAAAATCATACGGCTAGATTCCACCTTTATACTTTATAATTAGGTTAGTGACTCACACGCTCGTTACTGTCCTCTGTCAGAGTTACGTGGTCACTAACCTGTGTTTTCCACTCTACAGAGGTTCCGGCTATTTAGTCCTAGATGCTGACCCGCTGACAGTCAATAAACACTTTTATAAATCATTTCAGTCTGCCTGCCGGAATTCTGGGTTCAACGTTCTGAGTCCTGACAAGAGGCTTAGTCTCCCTAGCATTCAATGAGAAACCGCCACTGTTTTGTTCATGAGGAGACTTCACTGGCTCCACCATATCAATATATTAAACAGTATTCTTAGATCCAGGACAACACACAGTACAGTGACAGAGCTATCTGTTAAGAATAATGCACTCTGTCAGTATGCTCCCATTTGATTCCCAAATCTTTTTTTACATACATAAGGAAAATTATTACTTTTTATCCTGACAGAAGAACTATTTGAATTAAATAAAGTTCTTGGGAAAACATTAACCTTAACATGTAACAAGTAGATAATATTAGGGTTGAACAAGCACACACATGAATTATGAAAATACAGCTAACAGTACTTATGCTCCAAAAAAAGAAGTGCTAGACGGAAAAGGGTTAACAATTCTGCTTAAAGAGGAAGATGATTAACCTGTAGCATCTAAAAGGTTGCCGCACCCGTCCATCCATTTACAAGCTTTCTCTCAGCTCAGGTCGTGATGGTTGCTGGTGCCTATCTCTAGCTGTCTACAGGTGACAAGCAGGTGTCCAGGGTGTACCCCAATCTATCGTAGAGGTTGCAGAATCCTCTCAAGTTAAAAAAATGTGTTCGATTTTTTTTTTAACTATCCTTAATATTTCATATCTAATCATATGTTGTAAGTTATAATCTTTCTGCATTAGTGGCGTGAAGCAGAAAACAGATCAAGATAAATAGAATCTGTGACAGTTTGTGCAAATTATTATGTTTTCAGGAGTGAGGCAGCCTGTATCGCTGACAGCTAACAATCTGCCTCGATGAATCGTTTCTTTCATAAGTGGCACAGCTCCAAGAGCGAAGGTTTTCAGCACAAACCTCCCTAATTTTTCCTTCTCTTCCCATCATTCAGATCCCATTTCTCCTGCATAATCTTCTCTCTGCCCCCTCACTCTCCCTCTTACTACAAAGCCATCCACAGCTCTGTCAGTCGGGCCAGATAAGGTAATCCAGCTCAGTTGGCTGTTAGAGGTCTGGGGCCTCTGCTCTGATGAGTGGGACATCTTATATCTCACCCCCCTCACCTCCATTCGCCCCCTCCGTCTCTGTCTGCTGGGAAACTGAGGGATGGCAGAAAAGGAGAAGAAGCCCTTCTCTTCTGTCACTTTTCTTGTTCATTGTCTGCTCCTGCAGTTGCAGCGCATTTCTCCAACAAAAAACCCTTCAACTCAGCAGGAATCACTGGCCACTTAAATTTTGATATGATCTACATGACAGACAAATTGGCTAAAACTGCAATCCGAGCCAACAGAACAGTTTGACTCCAGAAGCCACAATAAAAGACTGAAAGAAAAATAAACATGTTAGAGGCAACTCACGGCTCCACAGGGGGCGTTCTGGATGGTGACGGTAAATTTTCCTGAGTTACGACTTTTGGCGAGGACGTACTGACATGTCGCAGGGAAGCTGAAGATCCGGCCATCAAATGACTGAAAATACATATCGCCCGTCACCGAGCATTCGCCTGTAAAGCAAAACAACAAATTGTTTTTGTTTGGTTTTTTCGACTAAATTCTCAATTTTGCATCTGTACAGCTATGCAGGTTTAGCATGTAGGAGAGGATTGGATTATATTGGTGAATACAGAGTTGGTTTGAATTATTTTCTTTTATATATTTAATCATCAATAGAAAAAGCCTTATGCATTCATTCATGTTATCTTTGGCTGATAATTCCCATTAATGATCAGAAACATTTAAACCAGAAAAACAGTAAATATAGACAGAACTTTTTAAGGTGGAAAACTTCTTTTATTGGACTGTAATTGACTTTGCATTGATAACTGAGATTCAATATTTTGTGAACATCTGTTACTTACTTTCTAGCTTGAAGGCATTATTTGACATGAAGACAACTTTCCAACCTGTCTGTTTCATTCTTGTTCTCTGAATGTTTCAGGTTTGGTAACAGTTGGTATTAAGTTACTGATTGTTACTGACTTAAAACCTTCCGCAGGTGCATCGTTATTAAATACAATGTTTGACATCTGAATGAAAGATTAAGCAGTCAATTAAATGTTTTGCCTCTGATGCATTTTCCCAAATCTAGTACTTGAATCTCCACATCTCAAAGAAATTTTTTTTTATTGATTCACAATATAAAGTCCTACATTTGCAAGAGAAAGCAAAAATTTGACTCAATTAATTCATATTTAGATTTGCAGTGAAATTTCACTTTGAGACAAGTGATGATGTATCTGACTATAGATCTAAAAACTGTGTAATGTTTTGCTTGTGTTTTGGTTTAAACTTATTTCTGCTCCATAAGAATATTTCAAACATAATTATTGTAAACTTTTAATCAGAATATCTTTTGGATTTCTCTGTCAAATTAGCCAGAATCCTATTATATTCAGCATTGTTGAAACACACAAACCTGACATATCTCACCTTTAGTCCAGCGGAAGGCTCTGTTACTCACAAGTTAAAACCTTTTTATATACTTTATTACTTTCTCTGTTTTCCTATCTGAAAAGAAATAGTGCGTTGGACCTCCTGTCCCTCTGTGCCTCATAAAAGCTGGGAATCACCATTGTAATCAATTTCATGCACTAAAGTGGCTCTAGTTTTGCTCTTTATGATCTTAGAAGAAGAAACAAAAAAAATTGAAACTGAAAATTTTTGGCTGACATTAGTATAGCTGTGAAGGCTGATGACCATTATTTACCAGTTTTATATATATTTCCTTACCTGTACGACTTCATGAAGGAAAATTACCCGTCATAACCCAACCAAATAACACATGACCCAACCCCTTTCCTTTGTTGCACAAATAGCAAAAGATGGAAATAAACATCAGTTATTGATATTAGCACAATATCACTTGCAGAACCCTTTCCAATATGTTCAAAATTGCAAATTTATAGCATTGATACCTTTGGTAATAACACAAATACATTGTTAATCTCTAATGAGGATTTCAGGTTAGTTTAGTTCTGTCATTTCTCCTTAAAAATTGCTGAAGTTTTAGCTAGAGACCTAATTATAATTTATTATAATTTTTCTTAATATTTGTACACCTATTGGTATTTGTTTTTTGTTTTTGTTTTTTTGTTTTTTTTACTCACTCTGAAAGATGTGTATTTCGACATACAGAAATTTACCTCTTAAAATAAATATCTTTTAGATTTTGGCTGGCCTCTCACTAAAGGACTATTATTACATGTATGGACCAAGTACAATGCCTTTTAATGTGCTCTCCATTTGAGCCCTTTTTTCCAGGGTTTTGTGAAATTAAAACTAAAATGTGAGTTCCTATGTACCTGCTCCCTTGAGATATATTACTTTATCCTAAAACACTGGTTTAAGAGATTGTTTTTTTCTTTATCTTGTATTTTAAATATAAAAAGATGCTTGTATTCATCTGTCTGTACAACGCTCTACTCCCTATCAAAAATGTCCTCAATCAGGAGTAGAAGACCATTACAAGAGATATATTTCTATACAGACTATGAAAAACAGTTTTTCTTGTCTAATCCTATACATGTGGATCCTAATCTCTGTAATCACATGCAGTTAAAGTAAAATAAACCCACAGAGGAAAGGCACAGACCTGGGCAGCTGTTGTCTGTGCAGTTCCACACTCCACCCACACATGTGCTGAAACAGAAAGCAGAGAAATCCACAGGTGGTTCTGGGCTACATGAAAGGCTGAGCTAATAGCAGGATTACTGGGAGAAACTGGACACACCGAGCACAGGCGGTCAGATCTGAGGAGATTAAAGGAACTGAATGCAACCATTAAAAAAAAGATCAGATTTTGTATGCAGCAGTAAAATGTAAACTTAACAAGGTGTCCATCTAGAAAAAGAAGGTGTTAAGGAGGGAAAAAACTGTAAAATAAAATAATGAAACATAAACATACCATTTCTTAAATTTTATTATTTCAAAGAGACTGTAAAAAAAAGACTTTGCGGATTTAATGCAGTACTCAGCTAACATGTGCTCACCAGTTGTTGCACTCCTCCTTCAGTGTTTGTCCAGACGGATAAAACATGCCGTGGTACTCACAGGGACAGTCAGCTGGTGCCACACAACTTCCATCCTCATAAATTAGACCTGTGAGAGATAAGTGGCAGTTTTGTTTTTTTTTTTACATTAGGAACTCAAATTATGAAATGGCACAACAAGCAAACATTTTGGGGTGAGTAGCACCCCATTTAGGATTATGTTAAAGTCTAAAACCTGGGATTCATGTTTACATATTCTCATAAACAATTTATAAGGGCTGTGTTTTAAACATAGACAGCTGAACTATTTCTTATTATTGTTATCAAATAATAGTGATGTAGTTTGCGATGTTGCAACAAAACTAGTATAGCCTACCATAACATCTAATTGGATCAGTGAACCTATAAAGTTATGCTCCCAGTCTTTTAATACAGATGGGCCAAGTAAGGACCTCCCAGAGACCTGAGTACAAAAAAAAGGTGTACTGTTTGCCCTTTTTAGCAGAATTTAAAGGAATTTGATTTTTCTGGGCACTTTCATCACAGCAGTTAGTTGTGAATTAAACATCAGCCTTGGTGGTTATTGGCAGAGTTGTCCTACTATAGAGCTCACTGATTATATTGGATATTATTTAGGGTTACTTTTTTGACATTCTAATATGTATAAGGCAGTAAAATCAAGGCAGATGGAGAGAGGCCAAACCAAAATGCTTAAATGATGATTAAATCTGGGGGGTTTCTGCATGAAATAATATAAATGCTACTGTATGGTTCCAGAATCAGAGCAGCAGGTACAAAAATAGGTATGAGAAGTAGCTTCAGTAAAGTCACACATTTATATTGTATTCTGAGCTCTACTCATGTCCTATCCCTCCTGAGATCAAATATTATTTTGTATTTCTTTTCCACACTTAATCCTGGACTTCTCTTCGTTTTCGCACCTCCAATCTGCTATGTTGATAAGGTGCAAACAGGTGACCTCTGTACAAGTCGTCTTGTCATAGTAAATATCAGTGGTGAAAAGTAAAAAAGTATATATACCTTATAACTGTACCTAAGTACCTTTTTTGAGTATCTTTACCTTACTTGAGTCATTTTGGGGGGGCGCTACTTATAATTTTCACTCCACTATATTTTAAATACTACTTTAAATACTACTGCACTCTATTTCGAGAAGGCTGCTACATAGTTCGTTGTTCCGTTTGGCTCAGCTTAGCTTTAAAATCTGCTGGGGTTTTTTTTTCTTTTTTGAAATGGAATTTTAATATTTCAGGTTGAAGCCCCCCCTGTATGGGGAGCCACCAGGGAATTAAATAAAACCTAACTTCCATATACACATATTAAATTAAACTCTTCCATATAAGATACTGAAAAAATGTGCATAAACACTAGTGAAAAGCTCTCAAATAAACCAGTGAAAACATTTACCTCTTATATAACCCGATTTTCAGTAGTGTATATGAAAGGTAAAGCTTTTTACCAGTTTATATGAACAGTTCTCACCTAGGTAATAGATTCAACCTTAAACAATATTAAATAAATATTGTGGGGGTTGGGTTTTTAACTCACAACCCCAGGATTCCAAGCCCTATGCCCTAACCACTACAGTAGGCCGCAACTCCCACTAAACCTCTATTCCATAGTGATAATGTGACAAGAATCAAGACACTCCTGTTTTCTTTTTGGTTTCTTTTTAAATAACAAATAATAATCAAAATATCTTTCCTTATTTTTTGTGGAAGTTTTATGCTAAAGTTCTTTACAAGTGGTGTAGAATTTGTAGCAGGTGATTTTATGCATTAATACATCAGGTGGTTTCTGAAAGTTACAAGGTTCTTTGAAATCGCTCTGAAAATTACACAGAAATGTATTAATATTAGAACATTTTATTTGTGTTTTTGAATACTTAAGTACTTTTGAATGTATGTACTTTTGAATACTTAAATGTTTTTAAAAGTGAGTACTTCAATACTTTAACTTGAGTAGATGTTTTACAGAGTAACTTGCAGTTCAGTAAGATTTCACTATGAGCATCAATACTTTTACTTAGTTACTACTGTTGGGTACTTTGTCCACCACTGGTAAATATACACAAAGTACTTTCTTTCTTACTCTCATGTTTTTGCTGTAAAACAGGAACAAAGACCAGCAGGAACTACTGAGGTACAAATCTGTAAACTCATGGTACAAGACTCCCTTTTACTTAAATGACCGCAACAACATTGCCCAAAACTATTTTTAAATGCTTGATAAAACATTAATTAAATCAGCTGCTGTTATCTAACCCTTGTGAGGGTCTAGCCTGCCAAATAAAAGCACTGATGCTTATTTTTGGCAGTATGAGACAGCAAATTTGGAGGCACCAAATGACAGTTAAAAGGTTAAAATGAAATTGAATAAAAGCAAGATTAGGTAGAATAGGTATAAATAAAGCAAGTATGTTCAATTATATCAAGGCACATAACACAAAAAATAATAGAAAAGCAAGCACTGCATGCATTTGTTCTGGAAAAAAAAGTTCAAAAACCCTAATAAAAAAGTGACCACTTTGAAAAATTCTGAGTCATTAGAAGGGAGGTATAGAGTTTTCAAATGTGTATGCTTGCAGTGAGCCTTGTAACATTAGTACATTACTTTTGTTTTATAGTAAATTTTAAAAAAGGGGTTTTACTAAAAGATGGTGCTACATGTTTTTTGTTCCAGATGATTAAATAAAGGATTAAAGAGTTTACCTTCAGGACAGTAGCATCCATCTAAGCAGGCCAGTTTGCTATCTATGCATGTTCGCTCCAGGTTACAGGATTCGGGGCAGCAGCTGATGCATTCTCTGTACTGCAGCCCCAAAGGACACTGCTTCACTGGTCACAGAAAGTAAACACAAGAGATTATATACTTTTAAACCTGTCACATTGAAACTGTGAAATAAAATGAGCTGCTATTGATTTTTTTTTCTAAATAAATCCAAAAGAACAAACCAGCTGGGCAATACAAACTTTTCAACCCACTACTTTATGTTAAAAAGGTAAGCAACCAACTACAAAACTACATTTCACACTGCAACAGCTTCACTTTTTTGCTTCTTGGTATAATGCAAAAATAGCGTACCACACTGAGGAATGTGCTGCCTCCAGTTGTGCAGTGGGTGGTCAGCATGGGCGCAGGCTCGAGCGTATTCGCTGAACACCTGGCATACCACATCTCCGCTGGGACCCGACCTTTATCGAAGGGAAAAGACAGAAAAGGACTGTTCGAGCGAAGCCAGGAAACGTGTGGTTATACAACCTGGTTCAGCGGGCTGATCCGACTGCAGCTGAAAATAACAACTCAAACAGCCTGCATTGCTGTAAACAAAAAACTTTTTACAGGGGCAGTTATGCTTGAGACAACAAATCACTGTGGTGGCTGTAGTTGTTGGAGCAGATGACTGGGACTAAATGTGTTTTATTTTAGAAAATATCTAAAACAAATGTAATATTTCACAATGAAATGAAATTAAGCAATAAACTATAACTTAGACATTCTTAACAAGGTTCCGGATGCTAAATAGTAACATTATAATGTGATCTATTCTTGCACCAGTGTTTTTTGGTTTGAATCATGTATTGTTGAACACCCAATTGTGTATTGCTTACCAGCAAGCTCATTATACACATGGGAATATAGTGATAAATAAAAAGAGGATCATCTAGATTGCTCTGCTCAAGTTAACATATGGGTTCAAAAAGAGGACACTTTACAGTGTGAAACTGGAACGCGGATTATAAACAATCACATATCCACAACATGTTCTGGGATAGGTAAAACAAGCTAACTGGAAGCTTCTGGAAAGCTTATTAATCGCTCGGACCTCATACCGACTGAAAATTAAATAAAGTAAATAAACTCCAGAACAAGGGTCAAATATCAAATGAGGAAAATGCTCAAAAAGGCTGTTTTGCTCAAAGGGATATAAAAAAAAAAAAAACTTTAACTGGAGTGTATTTTTTGTTTTGATCACAAAAAATCAATTCTGAGTTCTAATTTGTGTTCATATGTATCGTCTCAGAAAACTTTTTCAGTTGTTGTAATTATTTGAATATTCACTCATTGTGAGTGCAGAAACACATTGTATTCTAAAACTAGATTTACAGACACTGATTGAACATTTCGGTTCTATGATTTTACAGTTATCATTGATGCCCTTAATTGGTATTATGGCTTCTAAAGCAGCACTGTAACACTTTTACCACAAAAAAAATGGCACCAATTGCATAGTCTGCCTCAGTGTTTTGTAATTTGACAGCAGACCACTGTGGGCCAGCAGACTGAGAACTTATTGGGTTATTTGGAAAAAGTAGAAAATGCCACATTCATCACATCCAAGATCAGAGAACCAAACAATAAGTCTGATCAGGTGTCATACCTTTTTGTTGCCTAACAACAACTTTTTAGTGTTAGCTTTCATGCTTAAAGGGGGCTCAGACTATCCCCAATCAGCACTCTTGTTCACATGACTCATTCAGTGACAGATTTGACCCTCTAAAGAAGGTATAGTACAGTATATACAATTCTCAAATTCAGCTAATTCTTGTGTTAAATGTTACGTAGTATTACTTTAAATTGTAGATAATGTGGATAATTACAGTTTGAAATATGAATTATATGGTCAAAGGCCTGAGTTGCCAGTTGAATATAGTAAAATGATTTAAACAGGATAGATTGGAATAGTTCTTCTTACATGCAGAGGTCGTTTGAGCAGCTGGCCATGTAGGACAGAGGGCTCACAAAGTCATGGCAGCTTTGGAAAGGTGGGTCCAGCAGCATTGCGCAAACCTCCTCCACTTTCTGGAGCCAAGCAGAATCAAACAAAGAAGTTTCTCCAGATGACACTTTTAAATGTATCTGGCTTTGTTCCAGTGGCTATAAGTATTACTATTATTATTGTCTCACCAGAAGGATTTGAGTATCAACAAGAGCACAAGGCGATAAGAAGTCAGTCGAAACCTGGGTACATCTGCCCTGGTGGGGCTCCATCTCCATCCAGCTGTTCCCAAACATCTCTACATTCTGGCTTAGCACACCTGAAAGGCAGGGAAACTCTTTAAGGGACTGTTGTTATCTTTGTTTTTAAGGGTAATAAAAGTAAAAAAAAAAATACTCTCTTTGTATAAGGTCTGTTAATTAACAGTTGATATAACTCCCATAACGAAACAAACTGTCTCACCGTAGCTTGTCTTCAGGTCATCCTGAACGTCTGCATTAAAGTTGCCACACAGGCCGCAAGTTCGGCCCACAAACTCTGGGCTGAGTTTAATGTAGACTGAGCCACGTAGTCCCTCCCAGGCCAAGGTGAAACCCAACTGCTGCGTCACCACCACATACTGGGAAATCTGCTCCAGCTGCAGGTCATGGATGCGATGAGGCAGCTGCAGACTAAACAGACAGTGGGCTGATTTTAATACCTGAAGTATAAAAGTAAAGCACATGGATAGCAGGCATTGGGTATACTACTAACCTTTGGCCTTTGAATGTGGTGCTGGTGGCATACAATCGTATCTCGCCTTCCCATGGGAGAAAGACACTAACAAACCGCTGACAGGTGTAGGGCGCAGAGCTGCAGTCTGGGTCATTATGGACCTGTACACATACAGATTCAGAATGAATAAAATGATCTATCCATTAGCTAAAAGCATGTAATGTCAAATGATGGACAAATTCTTGGCTTTAGAAACTGCTGCAATGCTGCTGCAAGCATTATTTGAATCACAGTCCTCCACTGGTGTAGGAAGATTTCTTAAGTAAGTATTAGGAGTATGCAGTTGTGCACAAATGCATTGAAATAAGTGGTATTTACTTTTTAAAGATTATTATCACTCTGCCGTTTTTTTGTTTTACATGATCTTGAACCAAGCACAGGATTACCGAACTTGATGAAACTGAATTCAATTTTTAAGTCAATAGAACCTGCACACTAGAGAAATTATCCAGCTAACCTTACTTTCTTTATTCAAAAAAGCAAAAGTAATCTAAAGTTTATCTCTCCATTTCCTCTATACAGAGCTTCGTAATATATTGTGGACATATCTTCATAGCAGCATCAGTCTGTGTGATAATGAAACTGCAAAGAAGTGTTAAAAAGGTAGGTGTCTGATACTTTATTCCAAGGTAATGAACTAGCAGTTTGTCCATACAGTTTTAAGGTTATTGACAGTCTTCCTGGAGTGACCACAGATAGCATTGTAGAAGTCAAAGGTCACAGGCTGTTAGAAGCACAAATGAGGTACTTTTTGCAGCTGAAAGTATCCTAATATTTAGCAATAATATCACAATGGCATAGTATTTAGAAATTGGCCACCTCAGATTATATGTACAACAGGGATAAGCAGAGAAATTATCCTGCACCTGAAATGCATTCTATCTCTCTTAACATTTATCACAGAACAGCCACAATAATAGCAACTTAGTTTAGCCTTTGGTTTACTGTACATTAGCGATGACGATTTTTATCTAAAGAGCAACAGGGACCTCCTAGTGCTGTAAACTTGGTTGCTTGTTCGTTTTAGTTTTATTTCAGTCCATTTATGGTATTTGACTATTAAAGTCAAAGAAACTTTAATGAAATCTGTTTAACTGAAATTGAATCGAAATTGAACATTTTTAAATGGATATTATCTATGGCCAGAGTTAATGCAAAATTATTCTGATAACGTAATTCATACACAAGGTAATCTAAAGGTAAAGGACATCAGAACTTTCATTGTATTTTCTAATCTTTTCTAATAGGATTTACTCTACAGTAGCATATCTGCAAAGGTATTTACAACTCTTGAATTTTTTACTTAAAGCTATTTAATTTGAAGGAACAACACAAAGTAGTTTACCATTTGCTCATATTCAATTCAATAATGTGTTGTATGGAAGTGTTGTAGACACTTATTTTTAGAGACAAGTTTGATTGGCTGGACAGTGCCATTATTTATAGGAAGCGGGTTTAATCACTAAAGCCGGGCGTACATTGTGCGATTTTCCAGTCATGCGTGAATCTTTCGATCTGGCCAACTTTCAGCCTGATCGTGCATCGTGACTCGTGTAGTTTACAGGGGGGCACGAGCGGCGAACAGCCTCTCACGACCATCTCCAAATCAGGAATCGTGAGGTCGGGAGAAAATCAAACATGTTTGATTTTCTCCCGACCTCACGATCCGTCGTGGACAAATCGCTCAGACAAGGATTCTTCTTTTTCTTCTTCCTCTCAGATGTAAATACAGCAGCATGGCAGGGATGCAATGAGTGAAATTGAGTTCCTTCTGTAAAATTGACAGACCGTAGTAGCCACGTTTGCTCAGCCGTGTCTTTGTCCAAATACGTTGTTGCCTTTTTCTTTTTAGGGCTTTCAGCAAAAATTTGCACAAATTACCAAGGCAGAGCATTTCACTCTAGTGAGCTTAATATTCCCCTTCTATTTGTTTGGCTTCCGGATCGACGAGTCAGAGCAGCTCCATCTTACTGCGGAGCTGAGTCCGACGTGGTTTTTTAGTCGTACAGTGTGAGCAGGTAGATCGCATGAGTTGTGAACTCACACTGTACGACTAAACCCTTCGTACAGTGTAAGCAGTAGCTGCATGCAACGATTGAAAAAAATCACACAGTGTACGCCCAGCTTAAGTTTGCCATATTAACTAATGCATTGACATGCTTTGTCCGGACCATTTAAATTTTAGTTCTGGTTTAGGGTTGTTGTCCTGATGGAAGGTGGCACACCAATTTCATGGTTTTGGCTGCCTCTAATTTTTTTCTTCTAGTGTTGGCCTGTTTTATCTTATGTGTATTCAGGGTGATGCATGGTGTTTGTTACACACCATTTTGTATGTGGTTGGCGTAAAAGTAACATTTTAGTGTCATCTAACCAGATCACCTCTTAAAAAAATTGAAAAAGAATTTTTTTTCTTACAAATTATGAAAGATGTTGGGATTTTGCTCTATTATAGTCTTGTTTTTATAGTACCCATATGCTTTCATTTGCCTATTTAGACATGCTTGAATTTTCCTACTGTCACACAACAGCAGAAAATGTCCACTCTATTCTATAAGTTAAACCAACTTTAAACTTCACAACTTTCTTTCTGGACAGTCAGCTGTGTTCCCATCCTTCAAAAAGCTGTTCGTTCATTATTGTTCTCTAACAAATCTCTGATCCCTCATTCACACAGACTCCTTAATCCATGTGTCCTTTTTTCTGTCGCAAATAGAAGCCTATTGGTACTGAATGAAGCAGTGACGTGCGGTGAGGTTCATAGCTGGTGAGGCACTGACGTCATCAGAATCAGATTTGCAAATAGATGCATAGATTGACAGCAGTTTACAGGTTATGTTTCACTTCTGCATCCTTACACATACAAACTGTAGCTCACAAAACACACATTTCCTTAAAAAACAAAACAAAATAAATGTTATTACTGTCTTACCTTTACTTATAAATGAATAGAAGTCCTCCTTATCTTCCTTCAGTTTTAAAAGTCTCTCTGTCTCAATGGAGATCACTGCCAGGGAAGAAAGCCTTCCTTGATCCGTCCTGTTCCTGCCTTATGTTTTCAGTCTCTTGAGCACCCCCTGCCATGAGGCAAGAGAACTGCCTGCCTCACCTCGAACTTGTTCTCTGCCGTTTATAATCGCTCATTACACGAAACACGTTACACAAACACAGTTGGTGACAAAAAGCTCTGTACATTATATACATAAGCCAAATTATTAGAAATAAGTTCACATATTACATTTGTTTAAACTATTTTATTGACGCCGTACAGCAACATGCTCTCTCCGCTTTGCAGCCAGCGCAGAGCCAGGGGTTGCGCAATCCAAGTCGAGGCAGAGCTCGCTGCTGCCTCACCGGCATCGCTTCCAAGCATTTGAATGGGAAAATAAGAAAATTCAGTGATTTTGAACAAATAAAAATCGAAATTGGTGAAGCTACATGAAAAATGAATATTTTTTAGTACAAACCACCGGATGAATATAACAATTTAAATTACTTTATGATTATATATTTTCTTTCTTTCCATGATGGCTGGTGAGGCACTGCCTCACCTGCCTCCCCTGACCGCACGTCACTGGAATGAAGTAATGTCAACATTGAGAATTTGGTGGGATTGAGTATACCCAGACCAAATACTGGAAAAGGGACGTAAGAGAACATGACTGATTTGTTTGTTCTTATATATAAGCATCCAACATTGTTACAAATACAGAGGAGCCAAACTTCTAATAAAAAAATTGTTAAAATGTATTTTCTAAACTCTCAGCTAACATGTATCCTACATATACAGCTAGATGATGTTTGTTGTCAAGCCATTTATAAATAAAATGGCAGAATCAGACATAAAGAGTGGGACAAATCTAAATTTTTAGGATTTTGACCATTACCACAAAATCAAATGCTCAGTTTCAAAATGAAAGCTTATAAACAGTTTTGAATTTTGTGATACTTTCAAAAGCGCTGGTTTGTCTACCTGGAAGAACATACGTCCTAAATGTGTGTGATGAGGCTTTTATTTGTGTGTTTTATTTGTGCTTTTATTTGTTAAAATGACATGTTCTGTAATTATTAAAAGTCATGCTCATAATATGTACATCTTCAAGTTTTCCCAGGCAAAGGTACAGTATCTACTGCCTTTGATAGAAACAAAGCTCTTTTCTGTTCCACTTAGCTTCGAGGAATTCTGTCAAATTGCGGTATTTAAACGTAATTGACTCAAATTACCCTTTGAATTAACTTAAGGACAATCTTTCCTCAGGCTGGGATTGATACTCGCAGAATCCAAACCTTACTGAAAAGCTTGTCGAAAGCCTCCCCGGCTTAAGGAGTGCAATGCATGAAAACACTGAGCTTTTCAAAATCAGTAGACTTGTTTAGTCTGTACTAACCTGGACAACAATGCTTGCTTGCGTGGTTGCTTCACAGTCCCTAAGGAGTGTATACGTGCATCTGCCAGGGAAGTAGAAGTAGAGACCATCAAAGGTCTCAAAGTTGTACTGGCCCCAAGTCCTACAGGTCATCTCCCTCTCAAAGCCAAGATTTGGAACTGGGGACATAGAAATATAAAAGTAAAATGAGATCCCTCCTTAATTTATAAGAGCAGAGAAAATCCTGGGATAACTGGGTAAAATTGTTATATGACATAAAACTGCACTGACTTTAAAAACAGTATCATAACACAAAAGTTTACATTTCAAAATGTTCTCTTATCTTCATAGGCTGAAATTTAAGGACAGATTCAACAAGGTACCAAGCACCCATGCCATTTTTATTCAGTGAAATTGGCAGCAAGCTTCTCTGTTATTCTAATAAGTTATATTATGACTGTATCTATTTGTTTTTGATTAAAAAGAAACAGAAAATAGTATATTTTCTTTTAACAATATTGCCTCACATGTAATCTTTAAAAAATCAAAGCAAAACCTTTTTCTTTCCAAACATTTTATTCAAGCAGAGCACTAAGAAGACCTCTTATGCCGATGATATTGTGATGTTATCACTAAAATTATGTTTTGCTGAACAGCTTTAATTTCATAATACCATGACTCCCCAACTAGGGAAAGTTAAAATATCTGGGGTATGAGAGTCCCAGCTTGTAAACAGATGGTATATGGGTTAGTAGTGGGTAAACATTCTTTATAAAAGGAAGAAAGACCTACTTCCTATGTATTCCAGGATTAAACCATTGTTTTGCGTGACTCTGTTAAGCTGAAGATAAATATACTTGAATTAAGAGATTTTGGAGAAGTTTGTATGACGTGTATGTTTGAGGTTACCTGTCTGACATCTGTGCCCAGTGGCCTGAAACAAGCTGCAGTCACATGACTCTGATAAAATGCACTGTCCTCCATTGAGGCAGGGATACTCACATGGCTCCCCTGAGAGAAAAATTAAAACATTGTAATTATCATGCAGCCATACAAACATTTTAAGGGCATTATGTTCTTATTTTCTTTTATTTCAAGTTTTGTACTGCATTTTATATTCTCTCCAAGAAAGTTCTTCAATTTTAAACAGATAAACTACTTATACTACTTATAATACTTTGGTCAAAAAAGAAGAAAAATCCCTCTCTACAATCTAAATCCCATCTGTTTAGACTTGTTGAGCATCAGTTAACATTCTGTACGATGAATACATCCCCAGCCAGCAAAGATGGGCCCTCAACTTACATAAACACCATATGCTATATGTCAATCTGGTTTCCTAACCAGTCAAGCACAACATGCATAAAAGGACAGGTATTATTGAATGGATAGTAGAGATCATTTTAGGCTGACCCATCAGATAATAGTTATTTTCCTTCTGTCCTGTCTGAGTGCAAGATTACATTATTGCTTCATCTGTCACTGAAATTGAAAACTCTATATATGTTGTTTAAAAGGCTTTGCAATGTTGAAAACTAAAATGTTTTCTATTATAGAAATATAGTTACAAACTATACAGCTGGTCGCTGCTTAGATATCTTAATGACATCGATACAAAAAAAATAGGTCTAGGGCTTAAATAATTAAATGCCTAGCCCATATTAGCCCATATATCTAATGCCCCTTATTATTTTATAGAACTTTGATAAACTTAATGTTTATATTAAATATTATAAAATAATCTGTTATTTATCTCTATTTTCTTGACAATTATCTTTCAGTTTCTTTGGCTAAATAAAGATAAAACAATACACCTAAACGCAACAAAGATATTTAGCAATTTGTTGTTCTAATGTTTTTCTCAGAAAACTCTATTTTTGTAAATATTACAGTTAAAAGTTAGTCTGCCAGAATGTCTTATATAAGTAGAGATGTACCGATCGGATATAGGCTCCAATATCGACTTATTTAATATTAATCAGATATCAACGATCAGATTGAAGATTCAGTCCAGTTCATTTTACATGGAGCTGTTATTTCTTATTTTTCGCTGTTTATTTTTCATAAATAATAAAAAGTACAGTGATATCTTTGAATTTGTTACTATATCTTTTTTTTTACCTAACCTTCACTCCCATGGTAAGATATGTTGTTCATTTATTCAACAGTTAAATTGGATCGGTATCGGATATCGGTTAATATGCTTAGCCTAGGTATCGATATTGGACTGGGTCAGAAAAAATTGGATCCATGCATCTCTAATTATAAGATTAAAGAAATACCACACAAACTGCCATCAGGTAGTAGTTTAGGTAGTAGTGGAGGAAATTTGATTTTAATGAATATTTATACATTTTAGGGTTATTATTTTAGGAAACTGTATTTGTCATTTTTTTAAGATGCAAAGGAATATTGAATATAAACAGTTATAGATTTTGATCTCAAACAAGTTTAAAAGGAAAAAATGAAAACAAACAAAAGAAAAATAGCAGAGAACCGCAGTGCACTTTGTGCCACATCCAACCCAATCATTAGCGGTAAAAGGGACAATGGAAAACAATAGAAGAAAATACTTTTTGTCTCAACGTGGAGACATGCATGTATTTCAGCAGCAAATGTATAGGAAATGTAAGCATGCAGATACACACAAAGGCAAAAAATGTTTTTAAATAGCGAGAGTAGAAATCTGCAGTAAGGTTAAATATACAAAATAAGAAGAAATACTAAACATGCATTATTTATTAAAAATAGTGGAATCAAGAAATCATAGCAGTTTGCAACTGAACCAGGTCAATACCAATAAATGTGCAAACAGACATTTCTTTCTTCTAAATCTTTGTAATCTTACCTGGAATTCTACGCTTGGATGACTTCAGGGCTTCCTTTGCCTGTCTTGTGAGCTGCGAGACATTGACTGGACGATCATCAGATGAAAGGGCTTCACTGACTGAATTTCCTGATATTGTTAATCCAGTCGCCAACTGCGGTGATGAAGACCCATTAGGTGACTGGTCTGTGTTTGTCAAATTAAGCTGGGTATGATTGTTTGATATCAGGTTGTGAGATGTAATCTGTGAAGCCGCTGAACTTGTCACTGGAGGTTCAGTTGAAACTATGGTAGCTGGAGATTGATTAGAAAATGTTGTGAGGAAGGGCTGGCTTGTTAAGTTTGAAGAAGTTCTAAAGGGGCTCAGTGGCATTTGGCTGGATGGCAAATGGGTTGATTTTGTTGTACTATCCACTGAAAAAGAAATCCTGGGAGGTAATCTACCAACTGGTGACTGGCTAACAGGTTCTGTCTGTTTCAGGGATTGTCCAGACTTTGCTGTGTTTATTGGTGAAGGATTAGATCCAGTATTTTTAGGTGTAGATTTTTTGGACACTTGTTTAGCAGGTATTTGTTTTTCTTTTGGGGAGCTACCAGACTTCTTTTGGGCTAATGTTGTACTCTCTACTTGTTGGCTGGAGTGTTTTGTCTTCTTCGCAAGTTCATTTGGTACAGTTGCACTGTGCTTTAATGGAGTCTGTTTGAGGTCTGTTGCCTTAGTTGGCCTTGGTCTGGATGGTGTTATACTTTCAGACAATTTGGACATTGCTGGTGTGGATGGAGATAGGGCTATAGTGGTTGGTAACTGGCTGGTTTCTCTTAGTTTCTCTATGGCCTGGTTGTCCATTGCTGCCCTGCTTGAAGTTTTTCCTCTTGCCGTTGTTGCAGTTGTTATTTCTCTATTGTCTAATGCAGCATTGGTTGGCATTGGGTTTGTTGGATTGCTTGAAGCTCCTGAGTCATTGTTTGGGGCGGTTGTGATGGGTGGTTGTTTGGCTGATGGTTTGGTGGATAGTGGCTGGCTGAATGGTCCCTCTTTGTTGTGCACCTTGTTGTTTGGTGTCATGTTAGTAGGTGTTTCGCTTTCTTTATTTGTCCAGTTTTGTAGCTGTTTTTCCGTAATTTCAGATGTTTGATTAATTGATGCAACAGTGGATGTTGTTTGTTTAGAAATCACGTTGGGGCTTGACAGTTGGCCAGATGATTTATTGGTTGTCAGTTGTTGGGTCAATGATGAATCGTTAACCTTAGATAAGCCTGTTATTACATTCTCAATAGATGCTTCATTAGACAAGGTTGTGCTGCTTTTTGATTTAATAGTATCTTTTGTGAAGCTTGCCAAAGTTTTTGTTGACTGGCTGGTTGTTTCCGATTGGCTACTGGAAACTAGATCAGTTTGGGATTCATCTGACTGAGCTGTCTCAGTCATTTGGCTGCCTGATGCTGTTGAAGACCATTTTTCAAACAATGGTATTGGAGTGACTTTTGGATGGCTGGATGATGAAGATTTTGTTGACGGTAGAATTGCGAAAATTGTGCTGCTTAGGGAGGGATTAGTATTTTCTGTGGTATGTCCTGATTGGCTGGCTTGTCCAACAGTGTCTTGGGACTGGGAGTTTTTTGTTGACTGACTGGCAGAAGCAGAGTTGGTTTGGGACAGGACTCGGTTAGTTGCTTGGCTCATTGATGCTGCTTCAATGCTTTGCTGAGTGGGGGGTAATGGATTAACGTCCGACTTACTGTCTGTTGCAACAGCTGACAGATCAGATTGTTTGGGTGGGGTAGTTCTGCGTGAGGATGGATCAGGTGAGAATGTGTTGACAGGTAACTGAGTGATTGCTGGTTGTTTGGTTGGCACTGTGCTGGTTTGGGGTCGGCTTGATTTTCCAGCCTTAGTGTTATTTTCTATATAATTTTCTTCATCTTGGTTACCGGTTATTGTCTTTGATGATGTTTGACCAGATTCCCCCATGGGTAAAGATGATCGGTCGGTGCTTTGATTCCATGAATCATTTTGTATCCTGTCTATCCTGACAGAGGTCAGATTGGACACAACCAGTGATTCCCTCGAGGCAGAAGTGTTTGTTTCTAAAGAAGTGCCTGAAGGGAGGTCCTTCAAAGAAGAGAGAGTTAATCAGTAGCTGTTACCTGTAATATTTGCTGCCATTTGGTCACAAGTTATATAGTAAAGTTTTTAATGATTGAATTAATTTTGTCAATAAGATCTCAAAGAAATACTGGAAACAAATATTATCTGTCAAATATCTCCTCTACTGTATAACAGATTTATGCTTGGTAAAATATTCCTCTTTGAGTTTTGTCACCAACTAGGAGCAGAGAGGATGGAAGAAAGATGGTTTAGGACAGAGGATGCTTGAAATAGGAAGCCTTTGTTGTTGATTCTTTGTGAAACAGCTTTTTTCATCCAGGTTATCTGAGACTCGCTCTCCATTTTGTGGCATAATTAGATGTTTGATGTCTGTTCATTTGAAATTTGTAATCATGGGATGCTTTTGGCATGTTGAATTATTCTATGCTTGAAACCTCAATCAGGTCCCAGCTTGTAAACAACCTCGATCAGGAGCCGTCATATAAGAACTACCTCCAGAAATATAATAAAAATATCTTTGCATTAAAATGATAAAAAGTTAGAAATGCAAAGTATCATGAAATCAAGTTTGGAAAGATTTTTGGTTAAATGGCTTTCATTAACCAACTGGACCACCTTGTTCCAACAATTTGAGCCTCCTTCGATACTCTAGCCCTAAAAAGGAGCTTTCATCTCAATGAGCATGAACAAAGCAGATGGTAGAGGGCTAAGGTGGGAGCGTGACCACAAATTATTAATCACTGATCAGTATCAGTGATCTGAAAACAGAGCAGACACATGGTAGTGATGAGTAAAAATTTGCTTTTAACTTGAAAGCAGTTGCAACTAGTTGTATTCTTCATTTATGAGCTCCCATAGTTTGGACTTGATTCTCATGTCTCCTTGTGCCGAGGGGATGCCAGACAAAAGGGAGACCAGATAAAGGCTCAGATGGAGGAAAAGAGAGACAACAGAGCAGCTACTGAATAATCCTGTTGGGACACGTTAACATGTGAGCTGGTAAGGAACAAATGTATCTGGGGAATAACTCTACTTCAGCATCATGACATGTTTACTCTTAAAATCCTTTATAGTGCCCAACACAAGTATTATATATAAAAATATTTAATTCTGTCTTTACAATTAAAAACACTTTGTACATTAATCAGTGACGTGTGGTCAGGCGAGGCGGGGTCTGATTAGTAAATTTAATGTTTTAAAGATGAGAGGAAAAAAAACTTGATTATTTCTTAAAACCAAATTATTTTCTAAATGGATTTTCAGTGATAATAGGAAGTCTTAGAAAGAGGAAGTAAAAACAACTCTGGGGCTTTAAATTGTATAAATACTCTTTTCTAAGTGTGAGGAACCAAAAAGAATTAGGAACTACACAGAATGAATTATTGTTAAATAAGCAGCATTAACTGAACACCAGCGACATGAAGGTTCAGAGCTGTAGGTTTAAAATACTGATTAATGAGACTTGTTTCTTGGACTTGTAAATAAAGGTAGAATTGAACTACAATTGAGCCAATTATATCGTAATTAAAAACTTTTAAAAATAACTAAATGTACCAGTAAGGTAAAGCTAAAATATAAACTTATTTTGGGTTCATATAATTCTGTTTAAGGCTGCAGAGGACTCAGTGCTTTACCAGTCATGAACTTATTAATACATCACTGATAAAGTATTTCTTTGGCTAATCAAGAGAAAGTAGTGCATGATACTGAAGTGTAAGAAAAATAATGTATGATCTGTAAATGTTTTACAAATAACAAATCAGAAAAGCACTGTGTGTATTTGTATTATTTAACTTTGAGTTTAATCAATTTGTAGAATCCCCTTTTAATTTCATTTTGAAGTTTGCATCTAAAACATTTTCAAAAAAGGGTTAAAAGTTTCTGTTCCACTGATGTCATGCTTTAAATTAAATAATTCAATTCTCACTCCAAATTCTTTTTTTTTAATTTTTTTTAAGTGAACATCTACTCCATGATTAGTTTTTGCTCCATCCATCTTCTTTAGCAACTCTAGTTTCTGCTACCTTTAGTGATAAAAAAAAAGCATCCCAAGAATATTGTGCTACTACCATGATCATTATTGCAGCATACCCCATTTAGAATCCGGAAATGAATGTTGTTTAGTATTTTTGTCAACATATCTTACCTTAGCTGCAGCCCAATGAGGCTATTAAAACAACAGTGTTGCATAAATATTTAAAATCACATATAATTCTAAAACTTTATCAAATGAAAGGCTATATAGGGACCTCAAGGGTCTCCAAAATCCTTTGCTTATAATTTTTCATGCCAGAATCTGGTCCCTCTTCCATGATGATCATACATATAATTACTGATCAGTATCAGACATATATACAGTAGCACTTGGTAATCAACTAACAGTTATACTGGTAAAGATTCTCAATCATCCAGGTCATAGTAAAAAAAAAAAAAAAAAAGCTTCCTGGATGGGAAGAGAAACGTCTTCAAACCTGGAAATAAAGTCCAGTGGATTGTTTTTTTTATATATATATACTTTTTTAGAATAACAGTTATACTGTAAACAGATTCTTCTACCTGAACTCTGGATCTCTGAATCCCCTCTAGTCATAATTGCCAACCTGGTTCCTTCCCTCATTATTCTCTTTTTGCCTCAACAGACAGACTAGGTTGACGTCCTTATTTTGGAAGGCCTGTCATTTCCATCCTTTATGTTCAATATGTGTTGAACAGTGCTATATGTTTTCTCTACCTCAATTGATCTTAATTCTAAAATGCTTTTTTAACTCATTTTATAGAGCTTACTTCATCAAGTTCTAGATGCTGATCGCTGTTGCTAATGTTCTGCAACAAACCTAAGAGGCCTTCACTGAAGAGTTGCATCTAAGTTGAGGTTACATCACATGTAGGGGAACTTTACTAATTAAGTTCTAAATGCTACAAGTTGTACAAGATCTTTTGTAGGGGTATTAGTGTAAAAAATACAAATGCAACCATACATTTTTACCATTTTAAAAGTAAAAAAAAAAAATATGATCATTTACTTTCCATGATAATTCAAACTGATTGGTGTTATTAACAAATAAGTCAATGTACTAATTTGTGTGGTTTATATATCAACAAAATGCAGAAAAAGAAATATGTCTGCAGGCCAATGTTCAATGTTGAACTTAAATGTTAATATTATTGTAAATATTGACAATAAAAAATGATATCATATTTGTATGTTTAAACTCTAAATATTGCTTAACCTTAGCTGAGTGTATTAAAAGAATATGTTTAGCTAAATTGGGAAGAGCGACATTCTTATCAGAAATGATCCAAAGAGGAGAGAAATCCTGATTTCTCTGTGATCTGTGTGTTTGCTGCTCCAAGAAACTCCATCAGCATCAGTGATCAATGCAGCAGCCTACCTGCCCTCCATGGGAAGCGGTGTCCCATTTCTGATGCTTTATCCTGCTGCTCCCGCTGCTGGGACAGAGAGAACAAGGAGAGGTTTGTTCCTACTGCTGAAGAATCCCCCTTCTTCAGACAACAGAAACCCACCACCAACCCATGGTGGTGGAACCATCCCCTCCATGCAGTAAACAAAACAAAAAAAACAGCAAATACTAGCCAGGGTTTTAAGTTATTTTAGGGGGTTTATGTGGGTGGGTGTTTTTGTTCAACCAACAGCTCAATCAATGAATGGATTATAAAATGGTGAAAAAATGTTAGTTATACTCTCCGCTTTCAAGATTCTACATTTTCTGTATTAATATTTTCTTTTAGATATCACTAGAAACAAAAAGGAAAATAAATTTTTTCCAACAATTACATTTTAAAATATGACATAAAGCTGTTAGACTGTCACTGTTAAAGGATTAGTAAATAAAACCCCTAATACACAATAAAAAGTATTTAATTTACCAACATCAAAAGGGATTTCAAGTATTTTTTATTTTTTTATATTGAATAACTTACTTATTTAAAACATCCCAGTTTGAAACGTTCACTCCCTCACTACCCCTGGAAAGATGCGCTGAAATAGAAAAAAAAACATCATTATCTACTACGAGGCATAAATAAAAGAAAAAATAGTTTTTAAAAGATAATTTTATATTCAAAAAAATACTGAGATGCGGCTTGAGTTCACAGATTTTAATTTCTATATTTTTCAGTCGCTGCTTCCAGCTGCAGGTGAGACTCACCTTGATAAATGAGGATCACACACACAGTTATTAATGAATGAAACAGCCTCTTCCAGCTGCGTAGGAATAAATCGGGATCCATTGATCCGGTAAGTAGATCAGTCGGGTTTGGACAGCATCACCTGGTAAAAACCCTCCGACTGGACTCCACGCGGCGCTCCATCGGCTCCTGCATGAGCGGCCCGCCGCGCGCCTCAAGAGCCGCTGCACCTGCTCATTAACATAATATATGCGCGCGTGGGCGGGGCCAAGTCTGAACTGCAGTTATCAAACAACCTTGATGGAAAATGTCATCTGCGTTCATAAATATCACTTTATTATACGATGTGTTTATTTGTTTCTATAACCTTACTAATAAACTCTTTACAAAGTTCAAAATTATCTCAGCTATTCTTTTTATGTGCTTAGAATGACAGGCAGTGCCACCTAGTGGTCAATTAATTAACACTTAATGCAATAATTCAACTGGAAATTCATCTGATTGTTGAATAAAGTATCTGGGGCTATAGTGCCATAAAACCACATACAAATTAATGTAAATAAAACCTTAACATTTATCATTAAACTACACGGATCTATAACATATTCAGTTTTCTTGACATTTATTAAAAATATGTCTAAATGCTTAAGTTAATTATGAAATAAAACAGACAGACAGATACATTTCAACATCTAATTTTGCATTTGGGTCAGGTATTTTTAAAATGTAAATAATACTGTTGGCCCCTATATATTTTTTTTACACATAAAAGATGTTTCAAATTAAATTTCTCTTTTTCTAAGGTAAGTGAATGAAATAACAAAAAAAAAAAAAACTATGGTAAATAATAAAATTAATTATCTGCTAAATACATATATTTTTCGGAAGCCGTGGATTTTTTTTTTATCTGTTATTTTATCTGTTTCTTACACAATTGCTAACCCAAACCACCCAGAATCTGTGCAACCAATATGGCAAAGTTTAGGTATGTCGTATTTTCAAGCATTATTGTCTTTCCTTTTTTGTTTGATGACGTTCCATCTGACTTGACCCTTTTAAGATCTAAATGGTAACAGAAACCTCAGAAGTTACGCTTATAATATTACCAGCGTGACCCCAGTGTCAGCGGGGGCAAAGACCTGAATTTGCATGTGAAAGTGTGGATTTCGACAGAGGAAACACTTCCTGTGACGGTCAGTCTGTCTGCCTGTCTGGGTAAAAAGGCCTTTGACTGACTGAAGCCCTTAGAGACCTCTCAGGCATTGTGTGGCCGAGCCAGGAGGTGTCTGCTTTCATAAATGAAAAGGACCTGAGCAGAGCAGCCAGGGTGCAGAGAGGAATGAGAAAATCTGGCGGCAACATTAAAAAGAGACTGAGAAGTATTCTGCCTTTTAATCTTGTAAACATAGATTTATTTCGTACCTTCATCAACCTTCAACATCTACTTACTAAAGTCTGATTGTGTGTTTGCATTTCAAGAGAAAATATAAAAAGCATTGTTGGGAAGATAGTAAACCCATATTAGCAGACAAAAAACATGTTGAACTCAATTGATTGTTTTAATATTTCAGTAATAAAACCAATCTAGATTATGTAGATAAGTCTGATTTACCAAGGATCACTGCAACCCATTTTTCTTCCAAATTCATCTCTATTTTGCACTTGGTTCTAATTAATTTCCTGTAATTTAGAGTTTATCAAACCTGCATGTTTCATCTAAGTCCTTGTTTTAACCGGATTTGAATAGATTTATCTAAAAACAAATTCAGCATTCTGCAAGTTAAATCCAGCGTGTTAAAGCAGGTAAACATGCAAGTTGCAGTGTGCAAAGGAACAAAAATTCAGAAATAGCTTGTGTTAAGATTTAAATTGGCTTTTCTTTCCTGGAACAGAAACCTCTAGATTAAGGTGTGAAAGATAGTCAATCTGGTTCTTTTGCATTAAGCATTGTTTCAGAATAAAGATTTGATGCAGTTCTAAGACAAGGTCTCACTACCTGAAAAAGATGACCTTGTTAAAACACCAAACTGTATGTGCTTTCCTTAGAAACTGAGGCACTCATCCTCACTGGATTCAGCATTATAGATGTTGCTGGATTGCAGCAGAATTGGAACTAAGTTTGTTTTTTATTTATCTGTGCTTCACCTATTATACAATAATATGAAATGCAGTTCGTGATTTTTCTGTCTTTCCCCTTTAAACTTATTGCAAGGGTTTTAAATATGAAAAAGGCTATATCAAACCCTTTTTTAAAATAAAATACACATTTCCTGTGTTTCAGCTTGCAGTTTATTGGCACATTACATTATCCTCCAAGATCAGATTTGAGAAGTTGGGGTAAAGTAAACTCATTCCAGTTCTCCTCTTCTCCACAAGTACTGTTACAACCTTAGCATTGACAAAAACATAAAGTCCTATATAGTAATACTACATGCTGCAAAGATGAAGAAGCCAAAATGAAGAAGTCGGGTACCATCCTGTCGCACCAGCTTTACGATCTTTTCTCTTTATGACTTACTTGGACAACAGTTGAAATTTTCATCCATATTTGAGGCTTGGGAATGCATGGATATCTGCCCAGTTGGGAGCCCTAGTCTAAGGTGCACAGGTCATACTGAGAGTGTGTTCCGGTTGCAGATGACACTTAAACTCTGACTTTGGAATAAACTACGCTAACGCTACAACAACGTTCTAATTCCCACTTGGAAAGTAAAAGAGGTTGGAAATTTCCAGTACCAACAACAGTTGGAACATGTGGAAAGGCTGACTGGATCGAATATGGCAGCTACTTTAAAACATGTTTATTTTACAAGACCCTTTTAAAATTGAGTTTAAAACTTGTATTAAATGTAGGGGTTGCATCTGTAAACTTAAATAAAAAAGTGATTTGTGCATGTGGAGAGTAGAGCTTAAATCAAGGTACTTGGAGTAATGGCTACTCGGGAGGTTCAAACTAGACCTTGCCATACTTCCCTGATTGGACTGATGTGATGTCATATCAGCTTTTCTTTTGCATTTGTTCTCGGATGGCCAATGTTTTAATTTTAGCAGCAAGGTAAAATCATTTTGTTTAGAGTTAAAACAGTGTTGCTATGCAATGCTCATCTGACAGTTGGCTGCTACTGCTGCTTCTTCGGCCCCAAAGAGCCTCCTGACACATGCATTCGTTTTTCAATACATCATCATAAAAATCTGTCTCAAAAAGTCTGAAAAAAAGATTTAACATAAACCGATTTATTATTGCAGGTCTGTATCAACCAGATTTTCCATCTGTGCAAGTTTCATTATTTCATGGACTTAAACCAACTAAGCATGCAAAGCTTGCATGTTTACCCAACTTCTATCCAATTTGCAGTCCAGCTAAGCATTTTGTTTTGTTTGTTTTTTTACAAACTGTACACAAAGATAATCAACATAAAAACAGGTGCAATGAAAAAAACATTCAGTGTGAGGAATTTAACAAAGACTCAAAGAATTAACCAAAAAAGAGCAGATGAATGTGAACTTTTAGAGATCAACAAGGAAACACTTTGATACACAAGTTAATATAAGGATAAAAATAGCTCATAAGCCCCCAGCTATTCTGAAATGACACCATTTCAGCACCGAAATCTCTCCCATTTAAACTGTAAGCTAAGAGAGCAGGATGAAGATTAGCAATCTCAAGATAGTAAAATTTGATTAGTATAACCGATATGATCAAGTCAAAACACAATGTGATCATTCAAGCTCAAAGGCTTCCAAACAGTATGATGTTTTTTTTAGAAATGTAGCCTTATATACAGATTTTCCACAAGGGGCAGCCCTAAAATTTTAGATGGTTTTCAGACATCTGTCAGATCAGTTTGTGAGAGTTACTCCTTCCAGCAGAATCTATGTGATGTCAGAGTTTTTTCTAGTGTCAGCAGGAAAAGTCAGCAAAAAGTAAACACTGACCTGACACGACTAAGTGAAACCTGTGTTTCTTAAATAAATAAAAACACATTTCAAAAGACAACACAAGATAAATAAGCTCTCGTGTGAAAAGTAGGTTCAGCGTGTGTTTGTTAATGTTGAGATCTTTGGATTGAGTCCTGAAAACTCCTCCGCTCGCAGCGTTATCTAGCCCTGTGGTTGGCTAGCAGGAGGTCTTTGTCTTTGCAGGTGAGGCACAGTTTGAGGTTCCTGAGGGAGCCGCCAGCTGTGTAAAACGCCCAAACACCCATCAGAAACATTATGATGTAGGTGGGAACCAGGCTGGAAACGTACTGTGGGTTCTGGAAAGTCTGCGGGGAACAAATTTTAAAAATGATCACATTATTGTTCTTTAATAGGTAAACATTTTTTTAAAGTTAAGAGTCGTAGATGTTGCCAACAGATGTTTACAAAACAAAGCAAAAATTATAAAATTATATGTGAATCTAGTCATTGTTTCTTGCATGAAATGATCTCAAACGCACAAAGAATTACCAACTTCATTACTTAATTTTCTCTTTTTGGACTTTCTGAACATATTAAGCTTCTAGTCAGATGACTTTATGCTATAAGTAACATTTTAATTTATCGCATTAAATAACAAAGGCAAAGACAACAAATAAGATAAGCTGTCTAGCCCTCAACTGACAATAATGATTGGATGTCGTTTAAAAATGCCAAAAGTTTGCCGGTTTTAGGCTTCGAAGATCAAATAAAGCTCACCAATACTTTGATAGTACACCCCATACAAAAAATATAAAAGACTAAGCACAAACCAAATCCTAGTAAATATAGCTGACAGCAAGTCTTATTTAAGGTGTAATCATAGAGAGGATATCTCTTAGTCTATTTCCTTTGGGCAGAAGAAAGTCACTCACCAAGCAGGAAACGACAAGATGACTGACGACCACAGCAGCAACAACCAACCAGCGCTGCTTCTCACATCCATCGAAGAAGACGACACCCCAGAACATGTGAAGCAAGATGATGGCCATCGTCATGAAGGCTAAAGTAAGGAATTTTAAAAAGATGAATATCTGAAGAAATACACTTCAAAATCGTATTTCTCCAAATCTTTAGCTTATCAAAAATGGAAGTTTTGTTTATTTTTTTTTTACAATGGTATTTTTTGATACAGTTCATTTAAAACGTTTCTGTAACAAAACAAAAAGCCTGAATGTCTCCATTTGAACACAGGTTTGTAATGTGAAGAACGGTTTTATTGTCTTCCGTTTATGAAGTAAGAGTTCAATATGTGCATTTGAATGCATTGTACAGGAATACCAGTATCAAAAAAAATAAATAAATAAAAAACATTTTAAAAAGGCTTATTTAGGAACCAATACCTGAGGAGAGGAAGTAGTGTTGAGAGTCACCATGGATACCCACAGTCCCCGGTCCCACAGAATCAGCGAGTATGTTGACCACAGAGAACGCTCCGCTCATAAAGCCAAAGCCAAGGCCCGACACTGAGGCAGACAATGATAACACTTGAAAAGCTCTGATGAAATCAAGACTTTTCTATGTCAAACAGCTTTATATTATATTAAGATATTTAATTAAAAATTTAACCAAAACTAAAAGTGTATAAATATGTTTGGAAAAGCTAATCCATACCATAAGCAAGCTGTCGTATGGAGATTGGCATAGTTTCCTCTTGACTCAGAGCAAGGAGGCCTTCATTTGCTTTCCTGCAGAGGTAAAAAAAATGTTTTATCTCATTTTGTGTTCTATAAAGAGATAGCTAATGAGAAAAAATGTCAATGAATGATTGCTTAGACGTTAACAATAAAAAAAGGAGATACAAATTTCATAAATAAGTTTGTAAACATGATAAGAACTATGGACAAGTTTTCCTAATGAATCAAGTGTAAAGTTTTATTTAATGAAAACCAGAAACGGTGAACAACATCAGCAACAGTGAAGCGGCTTACTTGAGGAGTTTGTAGTAGGCGAAGCGGAATGTTTCCTGCAGCAGGACCGACAGCACCACGCCAAAGATGAGCAGGCCCTTCTGCTGCGAAGCGCTCTCTTTATTACTGATCTGAACCGAGATGAACCACACCAGCGAGGCCAGCAGCAGCGACACCAGCCAAAAAAAGGCTCTAAAATGAAAACAAAAGCAAACAAAAATGGACATTGAGAAAAGTTAAAGTACGTCTGTCATTTAACAATTCTGTTAACAGTTATATCTACTCTTACTTTATTGGGAAAAGATCATTTACTTCTAGTGTTTTCCATTTCAAGCAGCAAGGCAGAATGTCGAAGTTACCAACATACCGTCAGCTGGCTAAAAAGTATGGATCCCATTTGCAGTATATTTTATTCCAAAGCCTAAAGGAACTAAGCTTATAGCAAATGACAGTGTGAAACATAAGATTACATCCTCCTGCCCTTAGAGGATGGTACAGAGGCTTCTATATGCTGAAATATTAAAGGAAAATCTCCAATATCTAAAGCTTACAAAGTGATAAGTTCCAAGCAGCAATGGCTCTAAGCAAAGACCACTGATACCAGGGCTGAAACAATTAATCCATTATTTAAATAATCATCAACTAATTTAATAATTGATTAATCATTATCTGAAGTACAGAGACTTAAAAACCATGCCTTTAGCTTATAGAGCAACCCACTCAGAGCAGTAATCATGCCAATTGTAAAAACAAACATAAAAATTTGGCATTTAATAATAAAACTAATTTCTTAGTCCGTCAGTATGCTCTTTCCAAAACTCCTCAAGTGCAAACGTTTTAGTTTCACTCGGTTTTATTCTGTAAAAAATCTTCTTTAAGGATATTTTGCTCTCCGATTATTAATCAAAAAAAAAAAAACAATAAGCAGAATAATCAACTAGCAGATTAATCTTCAGTTGCATCCCTAACTTATACAATAACATTTCAGGCCCACAGACATTGTCACAAATCATACTTTTCTAACACCTTAGCAGATTTAAAGAATTTCTGCTCATTTTTCTTTCAAAAACAAATCAAGCTTAGTTGCATTGGATGACTGAGCCTGATCTGTTAAACTAATGGATTAATTTAGGCTTCACACATGAACAGAACTTGATCAAAAACACTCCATTGGAGCTATGGTGTTATCATTACGGTGGTCCTCCTGGAAGATCACGTTTTACTCTTTTGACTACTCCAAACGCTCCAAACACTTTTGCCTTCAATTTAAAGCCGTCCATCTTCAAATCAACTCTGACTTCCACAGCATGACACTGTCATTACGATACTTCACTACTGGGTGATATAGAGTTTCAGTTTTCTATCAATGTTTTGTTGTTGTTGTTTTTTTCATAAGACCAGTAAGTTAATTTTTTGTTTTATCTGATTAGTTCACATTTTTCCCCAGATATTTGCTATATACCCCACAGGGCTTCAAGCAAACCGTAAACGTGTCTACCGTATTTATTTTGCTACTCTACAATCAAGACAGGATTTGTATCAACAAATTTAATAAGTGAGCCGTGGCTCTTGCTCTTCGTCTTTTCTGCTTCTCTGTCCGACCATTTAGTGAAGTTGGCCGGTCATTCTTTGACAAGTTTGGGAAAATTCTGACTGCAAGCCAAAAGGAACCATCAGAAGTAAAATATAAAAACACAATAGAAATCAGCTGGTCGAAAAAAAAGCAGAATTATATTTAATCCCGTGACCTTTTTGTTGTCGTCATGGTTATGTATTCTGACTGTGCCAGTGATGCTATTTGTTAAGATAATAACTCACTTATTATTATTTTAAACAAAGGGTTTTTAACCTGAGTAATTGAGACTCAGCGTCCTGCACATTTTAGGCCTTTCTTTACCTCTACAAACCATTTTTTTTTAAAGAGTGAGCACTTCATGGTGTTAACCAGATTATCCAATTACTTATTTCAGATGTGCTGGAGCAGGACAGATCTAATCCATGTTGTTTAACATCCATACAACATACTTTTCTTATTGGTGTCTAAATTCAGTCCTCGGATGCTCTACATCAGAGGTCACAGATTAGTGGAATCCGATCTGGATCCAGACCCAACTTCTGGCTATTCCGGACCCAACCTGACTTAAAACATTTATAAATTACCACATGTTGTCAGAGGGCAGTGTCTAACTTCACGTGCGCTGCTTCTCTTGTTTGTACGGTAAAGCCCTCGGGGACCAGGCTACACGTGATGCATATTAGCCAATGAGCTGTGCCAATCAGGGCAGTAGCCACAAGCTACTTTTAGTTAGCAGGCAAACCCTGTGGCAACCTGGTCGATGGGTAACGCTGATGAGAAAAAGTGAGAGAAAGTGTGAAATATGAAACGGTGTGCTCAAAGATGACCCTGGACATTTTTAGTATGTTTAGCTCAACCTGTTGCTGTTAAGCAAGTTTCTCCACTATGACCAAATCAAAAATAAATATCTATCCAGGCTCAAAATGAGCACCTTGATATGTGCTTTAGAATGGCTTTGTCGCCATTCAAACCCAGGTTTAAAGCCTTGCAGGGCAGCCTAAAGCCCACTGCTCTAGTTAAGCCATAAAAAACAAAAACAAAAAACAAACAAACGGCCAGTTCAGGTGTTTTATACAAAATCTGAAACAGGAAATTGTCTATTTACCAAATTGAACGATTGTTGTTCTCTACTTCAAAAAAAAACTTTAGATTTTAATATGGAAAACATTTTCTAATTTTTTTATTTTTATTTTTTTTAAATGTAAAAATACAATGTATAACATGAATGCATAAAAACCTAATTTTATTTCTGCATCAAATTCCGTTTAAAGTAACAGATTATAGTTAAAAATATTTTTCTTTATTCGAACCCTGCTGATTTTTAATTGGTGACCCCTGCCCTACATGTTTCACATTTGATCCAAAACATTTAATAGAAATGAATGGATCATTAGAGGGCCTGGAGAACTGGATTATTTACTGATTAAACAACTTATTTTACTCCATTTAATCAGAAAAAATATATATATTGAAAACATTGAAACTTGATGATTGAAATAGCACACGGATTATTTTTATGCAGTGAAAGTAGCTCATATAAACATTGACGAAAACCAGAGAGAGGCGTGATTCCAATTTCGGACACACTGATAGCTAGTTTTGTACCTGCTAAATACCTGGTGTTTGTTCTGGGTTTTCTATTTTGTTCTTGCTTTCAAGATTTAAGTATAATCACAACAGACGCTTGGTGGCAGGTTTTATGCTAGTATGGGAGAATACATGGAAGAAAATGTGTATTTGTGTTTAACGGAAAATTCAACGTAAGCTACCATTAGCAGCTAACAAGAGCTAGCCGGCTAACAAAGATTGTATTTCTTTCGTATAACTGTCAGAAACCATCTATTTGAAATATTTCTCCAACAGGGACATCAGCTGACATCAGTTCAAGCCTAAGACAATCTATTTTCTCACCCTGCTATGAGGAAAATGACCCTCAGCGGCTCCCGGGCGATGGTAAACAGGAACAGGGAGATGGCTGGGCCGAAGGCGATGAATGTGCAGCCGAAAAACACCGCTGCCGTCATGTTGCTTCGTTAAATGGTGGCTCCAGTGGCTCTTAAATTGGTTCAGTTTTGTCAACGGTTAAAGTAAAGGTTTTTGTTTTATTACCACTAAACAGGCTCTTCTGATCACTACATCTCCTTCATATTTTCACTTCAGTGTATCACAGGATTCTCGTGACGTTAGTCTCACGTGACTTGTGAGGAACCGGAAGACTTTTGTAACATGAATAATCATAGGCATATATGTCTATGTGAATATCTACACAACTATTTGAAATACAAACCTAAAGCCTACATTGGAATATAAATATTCATTGACACACAAACCAAGAGAAAAATATTCTTGAACTATGCAAAAATGACAGAAATCTTATTTTTGAGCACTGCTTATTTTTGAGCACAGCAGCCTACAGTGTTTCAATGAAATCTATGTTGACAAAATGAAGAAAATAAAATTTCCACAAACATGATTATATTTAGATTACGGTACTAAACTATGCAAAGTATTTGGCTGGTCAATATATATTTGCATGTTTTTGCTTCAAATGGTATTTCTACCTGTAGCTCTATAAAAAGTCAAGGTTTGTGAGATAGATATTTCCCGTCAACAGATTCTCCTATCTGAGCTGTCTCTTGAAGTATCTCTTTGCTTGATTTCTTCCACTATGCCCTTTATAGAGAATGGTTTCCCTACTCCTGATACAGAAAAAAGAAAAATCCCCACAGCATGGTGCTACCACCACCGTGCTCGATTGTAAGCTTGATATTAGTCTGGAGATGATCAGTGCTTCTTTTTCAGCTGAAATCATGCTTTGAATTCAGCCCAAAAGGTTCTGTTTTGGTATTATAGGTCCGGATAATTCTGTCTCTGCAGGTTTCATCATCTCTAAACCAAGTGTTTTTGCTAAATGTTAAGCTGTCATGTCTGTTTGGTCTCTCTACCATGAAGGCCTGCATTAGCAAAGGTCAACCTTCTCTTATCTCCAAAGAAAACATTGAAGCTCCATGTAAATAATCGTTGAGTTCTTGTTCACCTAAGAACGACAACAAGATGCTCTACTCCCTTTACTTATTTTTGCAAAGCAGCCATCTAGATGCTCTGCTGTTTACACATATTTTCCAAGTCCAAAGCGAATTTTACATTGGTTTTCTGGATGTTTTCAGAATTTCTTTTAAAGAAAGTTTAAACAAAATGGTTGTAGTATACTGGTCAGTATTGTAACAAAATGTGGAAATGGTAAAAGGTGGGAATATGTTTTGGCTTTGTATGTAAGTTAACTGCAAATAAAGAAGTTAGTCACTCATAAAATTATGTTGGATGTACTTCGAGGCAAAAATAAGTATTGGTCTAAATAAATGTAAAACTACAAAACCCATGTTTCTCCATGAATAGTGTCACCTGTTGCTTTCTAGTTTTCCATTTAGAAGACACAGGACATATAAAATTTGCTGTTTTTACTACTTTAGTTAGCAAATCAAGGAACAGCAGACACAATTCAAATTAAAAATGCATTCAATTATGTTGACAAGTTTAGAATAACTTCAATTGATCTAAGCCTCTGTCTCAAACATTTTCTTCCTTCCATCCATCCCGGCTTTATCTTCAATGTTCTTCCTCCAGTCCCCTGTCTGCTTCTCCTGAAACACAACGAAAAACAGCAGAATGACTCACACAAATCACCTCAAAGGGAAAAAAAAGAGAAAAATCATTGTTGATCATCTGCTGCACCCACCTCCTCCTTCACCTCCTTTTTCACCTGCCTCAGGTTGGCTCTCAGGTCTAAGGACACTTTATGTTTGGAGCCCAGCAGGGCAGCCAGCATTGCGTCTGCTGACATCCTCACTCTCCTCAGAGTGGGCTTCTTAAACCTGCCATTAAGATCCTGGACCTTCATCTTTAGATCATCGATCTGGCACAAATAAAACTCATTTAGGTGTGTGCTTAGCTGAAAACTTACAACCTACCCACGTTGCCCTCTCAACGCCAGCAGGGATCTGAACTATAGTTTGAACCTTTTGTTTCTTTGTCAAAAAAGCAGAATCAGGACATTTATTAAGTAAACAGCAAACCTCTTTGTTGGCTTTCTTGACTTTCATCTCCATGTCATATCGTTCTTCATCCACCAAATCGATTTGCTTGTGAAGTTGTCGACACAGCTCCTGGAGGTAGAGAGCTACAGTTAGCTTTGTGGTGAAAAACTACAGAAAATCAATTATCTGAATAATTCATGCTTCAAAGCCATTCCAAGTTTCCAGTATGTTCTAGCATTTTCTAACAGAACATAAAGATTTTGTTGGATAAATAAATAAAAAGGTTTCTTAACAATAACAAAAGATATCAATGAGAAACATATAGCCTTTGTACGAGATTTATGAACTCTAAGTGCGCTTATTGATCTGTTGTAAGGTAGGTATTTCTGAGGCTTGTATACCAGTTTATGACCTCTTCATCAATTTTAAACAGTCCTTTTTTGCCAGTCAAAGCATGTTAAAAATGTAGATGTCAGTGTCAGTGATAATGCAGATTTAGAACTGAGAAGGTCTGCTTGCATTCTTGTGGTACCGTTTCCAATCTGGCATTTCTTTAAATGTATTGTTATAGCAGTTTAATGTTGTTTTTTATCAGCTGTTCCCCAGGGTTTCTTAGAATCTCTAAATGTTTTTCTTTGGACTTTGGCTACTTTCTTATTAAGCCCTGGTCTGGTCATTGTATTGAATGATAAAATGCTGGGCAGTTTGTGCTTAGAAAATAGGAGGTGATTTAAAATAACAGAAAAAATAAGAAGTGATAGGTACCTAAAACAGTCTTGACAACATTAAGAAATGACAGCAAAGATCTGACACAGGATCTAGGAGATGTGTTGTCCCTCAGGTGTTTTTTATGGATTTACCTCAAGAAAAGTGAAGAAATTGTCTCTGGCTGCAGCAGAAAATTGAACATAGACCACAGATCTGCCAGCTTTACAATCTAAATTACCTTTTTGACCCTCAAATAAGAAAGCAAAGTCCCAAGAAAAACCCAGAGATTCTAAAAGTCTGTACAGATAATGATACATTTTAAAGATTTAAAGATTGCAGATTTTTGGGTGAATACCTGAATCTCCTGTGTGCATTGTGGAATGCAGAGGGAGGGACAGTTCTCCATCATGTACTTCATTTTTTCCTCCTCGGCTTCCCGAGCTTCCTCCTCCAGCATTTCTTTACCGATTTGGAGAAGCAAACTCTGAGAAGAGACGTAGAAGCAGACAGCTTGAACTGTTGAACTGGTGCACTTATTTACTACAGATTTTTGTCCTCATTTAGATTTATTCTCTTTTAAGTTTCATGTCATCCTGAATAATGTTCAGCAAATTCAACTAATCTAATAACAAATAAAGGTATTAATTTAAAAAAATACTTTAACCCCAAAGGGAAATTAAGCTTAATTCTTTTACCTCTAGTATATAAAACAAATACATTTGAAATAATGATTTTATAATAATATATTTATAATTATTGATTAATTAAAAAATTTAGCTTTCCAAACCAGTTTGGTCTCTCTAAAAAGTGTTTGACCTTCAAATATAAAGATGCATGCTTTGCAGCAATTACTAGTTTTTGTGATCAACCTTTTTATTTAGACCCTTGTTTTGACCCACTTGTTTTTAATTCAACCACTCTGAAAAGCTTTCTAGCTTGAACACCTTTTCTATGCCATTAATGGACCATCTGCTGGACTTCAGATTTTTTTTTTTTTTCATAGAGATCAGAGTTCATAGTTGCCTTAAGAGCTCCTCCAAGCACAGAAGCAACAAAACAAACCCAAACCACTATACTACCACCTCTATGTTTGACAGTCAGTATTATGCTAATTTCCTGAAACGCTTTTAGTTTTATTGCCGATATATTGAGACATACAGAATTTTTTTTTTTTTCAAAAAAGTCAGTGGGATTATGAAAATGATTTTTCTATTTTTATGGCAAATTTGAGGCAGCCATTTGTTTTGTTTTCAGTTATCATGAGGTTTCAGCCTTTTATTCTGAGGATGCATTTGGTCCAGTTTTGTTTTCGCTGTTGAATCATTTGCTCTAAGGCAACTAAAGCCTGCATCACGTCAGAAATGTATCGTTCTTTGACCTCCTGGGTGAGTAATTAATGCATTCCTGGACAAATTTAGGTCTTACCTCCCATGGGAAGATTCACCACCAATCCTTGGTTTCTCTATTTTTGGAAGTTGTTTTTTTTGGGCGAATTGTATTTTATCATGTTGTCAGGGTGGTTGGACACCTGTTTTCTTTTTCTTTTTACCCCTGAATAAATGAAAACCTACTGTAGAAAGGCTGCTTCTGAAATGTGCCCATTATCTTTTGCCTTTTGATAATCTGAAAGATTCTACTGAGAAATAATTTAAATTACTTTAAAATCTGTAAGAAAGCAAATACTTCTAGATTGCAACATGACAGAGTAAAGCGCAAATAGTACAAAAGTGCAGCTTAAATGTATATTATATGAAACATGTTCTCCCCCCCCCCCCACCCAAAATGGATACATTAAAGCACTTTTCCTATGCAAAGAGTTAAAAAGTAATTTAGTTAAAAAAACAAAAACAAAAGTAGCAGCTATTATAAATGACTATATCCAGCAATTAAAATTTATTTTTCTTAATAAAATCATATTAAACCTCTAAAGATCAAGCAGATTAACACCACTGTTGCGAAATACCTTGAGATGATTTTTGCGGCTTGGCGACATCTTCTTCCTTCCATTGAAAATACAAATATTAGGGAGTATTTGATTGATTTAATTAATCAGTGAAAATCAGTGAAAACACAATCCATAAGCAGTAACTTACTCAGCCATGTTCTCAGCAAATAATTCCCCCCTTGGATGAAAACAGAGATGAATGAATCTGCTACAGGTCTGGTCTCTTTATAGAAGCTGAGGTTAAGGGGTGGGCTTGTTTGAAATGAGGCAGGAGCAGTTGTCTGCAATCAAGGCCCAAGAGTCGGCTGCAGCAGCTGAGCCTGAAACAAACGCTTCAGGAATTTCCTTCTGGAAGCTTCTCTCCAAAACAGTGGAGCCTTAACAGATTTACTTTAATTTATTTGGTTTATTGGTTTTCTTTGGCTACAGTTTGAGGAAAAGGTGTTCAACAACTAATTGAAAAGGCATAACAATAGAGAGAAACGAACAGATTTAAAGTGACTGAAGTTGACAGAG